TCCAGGTTCAGATCCTAGAATAATCCTACTCGTAGTAACCCCCCCCCCCCCCCCCCCCCCCCCCCCCCCCCCCCCCCCCCCCCCCCCCCCCCCCCGCAAACCTGTTTCCCCGCACTTTCCTCTTCCTTTTTTTTTCGTATCTTGACTGTTCATTCCCTCTAGGGCCTTTAGCGGAGATTCCAGTCTTGGCTTCTGGGGAAGATCCTTGTCCATCACTGCCCTCGTTGCCCTCTTCTGGGGTCCTTCATTCTTCTTTGGAGTATCACTCGTAAGTCTCTGTGGCTTTCTGTGGCTATGAATGCCAACGCCCACTACATCACACCCCTTGACAGTCTCTAGCTTCTTGGCGAATATATCTATCTATCTCTCCCTCTCTCTCCTATCACACACGCACACACACACACACACACTCTCTCTCTCTCTCTCCTATCACTGTGTCTTCCTTTCTTGGCATTAAAGAGGGGAAATGTAAGCTTTTTTTTTTTTTTCACGTACCGGTACAGTGCTCCGACGACTCCGTAGATGATGCATCATGCCCCCGTGCAGGTTGGGTAGCTACGTAGAGAGAGAGAAAAGCTTGGCTATGATATCCGTCATCTCGTTGGACAGGAGGACGTGAGAGGGTGTCATCAATCCGAGTTTATTTCATTCCACCGTCATCGTGACAAGTTCGCGGTTCGCGTAGAGCTGGGTGCTTCCGGAAAAGAGAACTGGAAATTGGACTTGCTTGGCTGCATTGAAAGACTGCGCTTTACAGGTCAAGAGCATCCGTTGCTCCGTGCTCGATACAAACTAATCTCGTCGTTATTATTGCTTGGCAGTCCTTGCCTTTTTTTTTCTTCTTTACACCCGACAAGGTAGGCAAAGCTATTACCCTCGTTCTGGGGGACCTATGCGTTGAAATGATGCCTCCTCATCGTCCCCAAGGACAAGCGTACCAGGGGAGATATCACTGCTACTCCCAGACGGGTAAGGATGTCCGCTGTACCGACTGGAGACCGAAGGCTGAAGGCTGGAAACCAAAGACTGGAGACCGAATACGACCGGAGCATTGACTGAGTAGGTAGAGTTGGGGTCTCGGACGAACGGCGTCGTGTCCCTCGTGCGACCGCGTCGCAACCAGCCATCGATCATCCAATCTGCCACGATCTACCTGTATGAGTACTCTCTGCTCTCTGCTCTGCTTTTACCTCCCCACTCTGTACAGCGTACGTGCCTGTGCTCGTAATATCCGTACGAGTACGTCGCAGTCGAACCTCTTGGGCTGTCATCCAAATAGGACTGATGCAATTGGTGGGTAGTTCCATACTCTAGTCCCTGGCAGGAGTCGTAGTGTATGCCGTGACTAGTCTGAGTCCCTGCACCCCCACCCCCGCAAGGACACCTCGGTACCAATCAATACCAGCAGCCGTCTCTCCCCACAATGTTTCTGTCTCGTCACCCGTACTCGTAAAATTGTTTTGGCGTACGGCGTGGGGAGCGGGCGGCCGAAAGTCTGGGGTTGAGATGGAGAAGGGCAGAGGAAGGTCCCGGTCTTGCCGTCCTCTCCGCATGTCTCAACTCTCGAGGCGGGACGTCTAGTACTCATGAGTCATATAACGGTATGTGCAGCTGGATTGTCCCTGGCAGAGGCATGGAGGTGAAAACTTGACCAGAGTACGGGCTCTGCCGCAAAATTTCTGACGGGAAGGTATACGCTAATATTGCCGCTCCCACCATCACAATGTCTACGACGCTGCTCCCCGCAACGCTCCTCCTTGCCTTTGTTTTATGAGCTTGACTCTCTGTTTCTGAATCGTCCGCGTGACAGACACCAGGGGTAGGTAACACTACACACCCAATCACCAGCCTCCGATGTAATGGGTTTGAGATGGGAAGAAGTGGCGAGTCAGACTTGGTGGACTTGGTGGTACCTTCCCACCCTTTGTACAGATTACATTTACTTGTTCGGTTTAACGCGGCACCCGAAATCCTGGGGCTTTTGGGGCTGGGGCACTTGATTCCCAACTTCTCATCACGTTCTCATCCTTCTCTCCTGCGCAATCCACACGTCCCTCCATGGGTTCTGGACCCATGGAGGAAGGGTTGGCATCCGAATCCATTCCCGCACGCTTGGCATGGGTTTGCAGAGTCCAGCACGGGGGTGACCCAACGCACCGACCACGCATTATCTATCACGACGTATGATTCTATCCTCGGTTCTGCAACTCGGTCGATGCGGTGAGAGAACCTGGACATCTGCAATCACCACCACGCTGCAATCGTACGGGTACAGTGGATGCATCATTCCATTCGCCTGCCCCGCGTGGTTTCCCCTGCCCTGCCAGTCTTTCTATCAAGACTCCGAGAGGCAAGCAACCAGCCGGTGCGACGCATCGTAGCGGGAGAGCTACCTGTACGTGTGAGCCAAAAACCTGGCGAGTGGGAGGGTGAGTATGTCGAATGTGGAGAATAACCAATGGAAAAGAAGGGACGATCAACAGGGAGGGAGGGCAGCAGATGGGACGCTCTGCCCCGTGCCTGTGTTCCAGCCCAAGGGACGCACGTACGTCTACGTTCCATGTAGAATCCTCATCAGGGCCTGCATGGTAGCTTTTCCTAAAACAGGTGATAATTGTCATGTTCAGCTTAGCCGGTATTGCCGTAATTTGTTCTCGGTGCACACACTCTTTTCGGTGTGTGCACACATCTTGACTCCTTGACTCGCACATAGACACACACTCTCTCTCCCTCCCTGTCTGCTGTTTCGCAGCGGTAAGCCCGGAGTCGATCATGAGAATATGCGCAATACATGCCATGTTTCTGACAGGATCTTTTATTCTGTCTGAACCTGCCTTGCTTCTGCAGAGACGGGACGATCGATAATCATATATTGGCTCAATCAACCTAGCCTGTATCCATTGTCTGGCAGGAAGAAGGCAGAGAGAAGGAGGTGGGCAAAGAGTCTTTTCTTTCTAGTCTGGATGCGCTTCATCCTGACAAAACTTCTACTCAGAGAAGCTTCACGGTACCGTATTGCTTCATGGAACCGTACAAGGCACGCACACACGCACACGCACAAGGCACCTCATCTCATCCCGCCTTTCCCCTACTCTCTGCTCTCCCCGCAAGAACCTGCCTGCTACCGCGTCTACATCACCAGCTTAACGAGGAGCACAGGCCGTTTCTCGACTGGTGTATTGGAGACACGAGGAGACAGGTCAGTGATTGCGGTCACTCGATGAGAGGGAGATGACTGGGACAGAAAGAATCACTTTTCTCCTCTTCGCTGAGACTTTTTACTGTCTTGTTCTTCACAAGAAAAAGAAGAAGAAAAGGACATCTTTCTCTTGAGTATTTCTTCGTTCTTGGTCCTTCATTTTGTGATATTCGCTTGTTCCCCATTCCATGTATTATATGATTCGTATCGCTGGCGACCCCGTAGCAAACTTCATCGTACTGGTCCTCGTTGTTTGAAATGCAAGTGACGGAAAAAAAAAAAAAGGAGGGGCCTCGAAAAAAAGAATACTGTTCGTCAAGACAAGTAAGAGACATACAATCATTCGCTTTCAAGATCCCCCAAGATCCTCAGAAGAGACCACAGACGCCGACGCGAAAACACGGCGAGGACAGCGATACCAATCACGGCACATGCAGTCCTCCAACGGGCTCGGTTGTGGACATATCTACCGAGCGCCTCGCTGTCAAGTCGGGGCAGACGAACAGGTGCGGGGAATCGGTCGGGGCGGTTCACGGCGTTGCTGCCACCGTGGACCTCACTGCTGGAGTCGATGGCGTTGAGGACGATACTGGCCTCGGGACTGCCACGTTGGGGTTGGATGCCGCCGTCGATACGGTGGGGGCATGGTGACGGCTGAGGTGAAGTGCAAGAATTCTCAGGTCTCGGAGGCAGGGGAGGTGGCGGTGATCCAGCACGGTACGTTGCGGGGCTCGGCGGCGGCGGCGGAGGTGGCGTCAATCCAGTAGACAATGTTGGAGATGGCGGGCCGTGATCTTGGGCTCGGCTCTGGTTCTCGTCCTCCTTCTCGTCCTCCTTCTCAGACTGACTCTCGTTGAGGCTCAAGAGTCCTAATTCAAGGTCTGGTTCTGCGTCGTCCTGAGGCTGCTCCTAGTCTTTTGATGGACGGTCCATCTCGATGACTCCGTTGCCGCTCGAGCACGTCTCCTGCCTCTGTCCAATATTGGATGTTCAAAGCTGGTGTATGAGTTGGAGATTGGATGGGTTTCAGGGTACAGAGAGAAAGGAAAATGATAGAAGATCGGTCTATGGTGGAGAGGAGGAGAAGAGGGGAGAGATAGACATGATCGAGGATCGGTTCTTCAACAGTACTGTCATGAGAATCGTCATCCTAGAAGGAGCGTGAGGGTGGAGGGGGCCAAAGAGATGGGAAGGAGGAAGGAGCAATGGCCAAGAGCAGGGTAACAACCTAAAGGTAATAATAATAGTAGTGAGTAGTGATTGACTCTAATAGATTTTTTTTTTCTCTTTTTTTTTTGATTTTTGATTTTTTGTGTATGAACGATGCCTGTGTTTCTTTATATTGCCTAGAGGAACTGACCTTGATATCCAAGATGAAGATGTAGAGAGGAAAGAAGAAGAAGAAGAAGAAGAAGAAGAGAGAAAGAAAGAAAGGGGAGGGGGGGAGGGGGGTTCAAAGCACTTTCTGCTGTGCCTACGCCTTGGCCTTGTCACTTTCCTTTCCCCATCTCGACGTCTCGTCACCGTCAGCCCACTCATTTTCAACGTAACCGAGTTGCTTCTTGACTTGAGCCACCAGGTCCTTATCTCCAGTGTTCTTGCCAATGTTGTCGCTTATTTTTTTTTTTTTGGTTCAATCTTAGCTTTTCTCGGATGATATAGGAGGGGAGAGATGAAGGGGAGGGGAAGAGAAGACGTACCTTATCTTGATGGCCGGACGGCCAGCCGCCGAGCTAAGCTTGATGACGATATTCAAGGGCACTGACTTGGTGCCCGTCTTGCGATGAGTGAAATCATTGGTGAGGAAGGTGCCAACACCAAATGTCGGGTTGAAGCCCTCGGCCTCGGCGGCCTTCTTGTAGAGGAGGCAGCGGTCAATGTTGAGCGAGTCGGAGAATACAATCGTCTTCCCAGATGGGTCTATGCCCTCGGAGTCGTAGTACTTGCGCATGACGCGGACGAACTCCTCTGGGTCGCCGGAGTCCTGCCTGACACCGGCGAACAGCTCGGCATACGTCTTGGCGGAGCCATCCGCCTGGGTGAGCTTCTCGACGGGGTACGTCCCTCCCTTTCCGTCCTCGACGGCCTGGACGGGCTTGCTGAAGGCCTTGAGGAACTCGGGGGTGCCGAACGTGTCGGTCAGGGCGATGGACAGCTTGGGGCCGAAGACGCTGACCCATCGGCACAGGGCCTCCTCGGTGGCAGCCCGGTAGTCCCCGATGACGGCGGCGGTGCCCATGAACCACTCGTGGGCCACGGTGCCGACGGGCGGGATGTTGAAGCGCATGGCCAGGTGGACGTTGCTCGTGCCCGACAGCCTGCCGACGGTGTGGCCCTGCTCCTTGGCCTTGTCGGCGGCCCGGACCAGGCCGCGGAAGACGAGGGCCTGGGTGTGGTAGTCGCGACGGCGGCGCGTGCCAAACTCCGAGGTGACGCAGCCGGCCTCAAAGAGCCTGAGGCCCTTGTCGAAGGCGGCCTCCTCCTGGCCTTCGTAGTCCCAGTCCGTGTCCATAAACTTGAAGTAGGCCTCCGATGTCAGGGCCAGGATGGGGATCTCGTACAGTATCGTCTCGACCCACTTGCCCTTGATGCTGATGTCTGTGTCGCCGAGCTGGTCGTCGGATCCCGTGTCGGTACCTCCCACTGGGTGGAAGCTGATGGACACTTGCTCGCGCGGGTGAAGGTGAAACTCCTTGAGGAAGTCGACATAGTCCGGGGTCAGGTAGTCGCAGTTCTCTACGAGGTAACGGTATTCCTCTGCCGAGAGGGATATGTTGCCGAGTTCTATTTTCGTACCTCTGGGTTAGTCTTGACTCTGAATTGGGGAACTAAGAGGAGATTAATGGATATGGAAGAAGAGAGAGAGAGAGAGAGAGAGAGAAAGAAGAAGACAGAGAGGGGAAAGAGAGGGGAAAGGGACAGAGAATGGCATAGAGAGGCAGAGGGTGAGAGAAATGTCGTACTCTGAATCTGCTTCTCCAACCAGCGAAATGCCGCCCTCGAGAGCTTCTTGTCCGGGGTCCGATTCGTGTAGGCATATGTGACCTCGACATCGGGAAAGCACTTGAAGACGGCGCATTGCATGGTAAGCTTGTAAAGGTCCGTGTCCAAGAAGGAGATGACTCCCTCTGGGAAGGGCGAAGAGCTATTAAAGTCCATTGTGTGGTGGGTGGTTGCAGAGCGGGGTGGAGGGGTATTTGTCCGGTAATTCTGTTGTTATTCGTGGCTTGTATGCTGCTCGACTCTTTTTCTGTTCAATCAACCGATGCGGTCCTGCTTTCCCGATGTACAATGCGACTGAGAGGCGAGTCTCTCAATGTTTCAACGTCGTCGCAAGTTATGCTCGTCCAAGACCGAGTCCGGTATGGTGACAAATGCGGGACAGGATGGAGTTAAGGGGGGGAGGGGGGTTTAGTCTGCGCAGCGCGTATAAGAGGGAGGAGATGACTCTTCGTCGCTCGAAAGTTGAATATATAAGATCGGAAAGGAAAAGGAAGAGAGGGGGAAAGGATTTTTTTTTAGTGATATTCAAGCTCTACTAATGTTGAGACGAATAATAAATTATATGTTAGAAGAAGGAGAGCAAATACTATGAGAGTTTACGCCATAGACTTTTTGGAGATGACGACGCTGGAACGGCGCAAGATCGGAAGACGAGGGGCAGCAAAAAAAAAAAAAGGAAAAAAGGAAGAAAAAAAAAAGGAGTACGTACCGATTTGGAGGGGTAGCCTTGGACCTTGGCAAAGAAGCACTTTGTCACTGAGAGACGCTTGGACCAAGGAAACGATAAGATCTGGAGAAGCCATGATTTAGAAAAAAAAAAAAAAAAAAGTTCTACGCCTTCATTCTCTCTGTAGGCTTCTCTCAGCAAAAAAAAAAAAAGTCCCCGTCACCACCAACATCTCTCCCTTTTCTCACCCGACCCTGAGAGAGGCCAATTCGATTCGATCCGCTTTAATATACAAAAATAGAGGACGTGATCAAAAGGGGGGAACAGGGAAAGAAGAAGAAGAAGGGGAGGAATCAAAGGGGAAAAACATTCCCCAGGGCGGCAACCGCAAACATGGACGTCCACCGCTGCCGCTTCGTGCCATTCCAACCCTCGGCTATCAACGCCATCGCCCTCTCTCACCCTCGCACCCGGACGGCCAAGCACGCCAACGTGGCGCGCATGGCCATAGGCCGCGCAAACGGCGACATTGAGATCTGGAACCCGGCCAACGGCTCCTGGCACCAGGAGCTCATCATCCGTGGCGGCAAGGACCGTAGCATCGACGGGCTGGTCTGGGTCAACGAGCCGGACCAGGACCTGGGCGACGGCCGCACCCTCGTGGGCAGGTCCCGGCTCTTCAGCATCGGCTACACGTCCACCGTGACCGAGTGGGACCTCGAGACGGCCAAGCCCAAGAGGCACGCCAGCGGGCAGCACGGAGACATCTGGTGCATCGCCGCCCAGCCCAGTGATGCCTCCGGCTCTGCCACCATCAACGGTGCCGTCGGCAACGCTTCCGCCGGCGGCACGAAGCTCGTCGCCGGCACCATCGATGGCGAGCTGGTCATGTACTCGGTCGAGGACGACGACCTGCGCTTCCAGCGTGTCGTCGTCCGCTCGCCCACGAAGAAGGCCCAGATGGTCAGCATCACCTTCCAGACGCGCAAGGTCGTCGTCGTCGGCTGCTCCGACGGTACCGTGCGCGCCTACGACATCGCAAAGGGCCACCTCCTGCGCAGGATGACGCTGGGCGCCGACGCCGGCTCCGGCCCCGGCGGCTCCAAGGACATCATCGCCTGGTCCGTCCAGTGCCTGCCCAACGGGAACATCGTCTCGGCCGACTCCACCGGCCAGGTGTGCATCTGGGACGGCAAGACGTACACCCAGACCCAGAGGCTGCAGAGCCACAAGCAGGACGTCCTCAGCCTCGCCATCAGCGCCGACGGCTCCTCCATCCTCAGCGGCGGCATGGACCGCAGGACCGTCCTGTACAAGCTGAACGGCTCCCGCTGGGCCAAGGTCTGGGGTCGCAGGTACCACGATCACGATGTCAAGGCCATGGCTTCGTTCGAGAGTGGTCACATAAGTGTTGTCATTTCAGGAGGTAATGTTCTCACACGCGGACCCACGCAAGCACACTCACACTCCCTCTCTCTCCCTCTCTCTCTCTCCCTCCCCGTGTCTTTCTCTGTCTACACACCCATACTGACCGACCACCCCCTCCTCCAGGTCCGGATGCCAACCCCGTCATCGTCCCCCTCAAGGAAATGGGCCGCGAGAACCACCGCGTCATCTCCAACCTCCCACAGCAGCCCCCCATCGCCAGCGCGCGGAAAGCGCGGTTCATCCTGAGCTGGTGGGACAGGGAGCTGCACATCTGGCAACTCCGCCGGGCCGCCAGCGACATCATCAACAGCATGGACGACGACAGCGGCGAGAACGGCGATCTGAGCCAGAACCGCAAGCTCCTCAAGACCATCGTCGTCAAGGGCGACTCCAACATCTCCGACGCCACCATCAACGACGAGGGCACCCTCGTCGTCGTCTCCACGGCCACCGACGTCAAGGCCTTCCGCCTAGAGCACAGCGAGCACCCGGTCACCAAGCCGTCCGACCTCAAGCTGTGGACCGTCAGCGTCATGTCCCAGGAGCTAAGCAAGAATGGCGCCTCCAAGGTGCAGCTCTCGCCCGACGGATCCTGGCTCGCCACGGTCCAGGACGGTCAGCGCATCCTGGTGACCAGGATTCAGCAGCCGGATTCCTCCTCCGACAATGCAGACGACGACGACGATAGGTCCCCGGCCACCCAGACCCGCAGGCTGACCCGCCTGCGCCGTCAGATCCCCCGCTACATGCAGAACGGCGGCCTGGGCAAGTACGACCGGACGGTGGCGCACGTTGCCTTCAGCGCCGACTCCAAGGTTCTGGCGACGGCCGACCTGGCCGGATACATCGATACGTGGGTCCTGCGCGGATCGCAAGGAAGGGCCAACGGCGCCGGCGAGAACGAAGCCGAGGCCGTGGCCTCCGAGAGCGGCGGCAGCGACGACGACGACGACGACGACGACGACGAGACCACGACGGGTGGTGGTGGTGAGGACGGCAGCAGCTGGGTCCGCAACGCCAACGGCAAGCTCCTGCCCAAGCTCCCCGGCTCACCCGCGGTGCTGGCCTTTGCCCCCGGCGGCGGCTCGGAGTCCTCGGGAGCGGGTGACGACGACCACACGCTCCTGGCCATCACGAGCTCGTGGAACGTGCTGGCCTTCCACGCACTGCAAGGCTCCCTGACGCCGTGGTCACGCCGACACCCCCGCAAGGCGCTTCCGGCGCCGATCCTCGACCTGCTAGACATCCCCAAGGCGGTCTTCTGGCAGGGCGCGTCGCGCGTGTGGATCTACGGCGTGTCGTTCCTCGTGATGCTCGACATGTCGCAGGACCTCAGGCAGCCCACCGTCGGCCAGGACGGACAGGTCTTGACGGTCTCGAGCCTGAAGCGCAAGAGGACCGGACACGGCACCGGAGCCGGAGGCAGGATGACGCAGAGCAACCTGACTCCTCACCAGATCACGCGCCACGTCGACGGTCGAGAGGAGAACGTCGTCGACGCTGCTGCCGTCAAGAACGGAGGTCGAGGCGGCGGCGGCAAGCGGTACCACGATGACGATGACGACGACGACGGCGACGGCGACGACGACGACGACGACGATGACGACAGCAGTAATCAGGAGGACGGAGTGAGGCCCGGGAGCAGCCTCGAGGTGTCTGGGGCGGGCGCCGCGGGCCAGCCCAAGGCTTGGTGGATGACGTACAAGTACAGGCCCATCTTTGGGGTGGTGGGCCTCGAGGAGGATGAGGTGGCGCTCGTGGAGAGGCCGACTTGGGACGTTGATATGCAGGAGAGGTATATGGTCGAGGATAGGTAGGGTACAGCGAGAGAGGAGAGGAGAGAGAGGAGAGGAGGGAGGGAGAATGAGAGGGAGGGAGGGAGAGAGGAGCAAAAAAAAAAATGTTCATCATTGATTTCTTGCTGGCGCTTCTGTGATTTGTCTGGTATAGACAACGCCTGTTGTTCCAACCCATTCCAGTTATAGGGCGCGGTCTATCAGTTTTCTTGCATAGTTGATTCGACTAGATGTTTTCCACGCAATACAAACCAAAGTCTTTTTCGATGAGGTTGAATACGGAACAAGAGATTTTCCTCACGAGACGTACTCTCCTCCCTCTCTACATATAATTGATGTCCAAACCGACAGTACGCCACGCATTTCATCCGAGTCAATCCGTGCCATCTTCTGCTGTCGGTGGTGGTTGTGAAGAGTGTCGATGTGTACCGGGTAGGTAATAAAGTCGGTGAGAGCATCACACGAGCATCACGAGACGAGACACCACACCACAGCAGGAAAAAAAAAAAAAAACCCCAACAACGAAATATCTCACTCAGCCTTTGTATGATGACGGGTGGACCCTGGGGAGATGAAAAAAAAAAGAGAGAAAAATAGTAGGCTGGTTGATATCACATGCGTTTCTAGTCATCCATCGAACCATTGATCCCTAGAGAGCTTGGCAACCTGGCCTTAATTCTAATCTTATTTCTCTCTAATCTGCACAGACTGCTATTACAGTCTACAGAGTACAGCCTACAGGACAGTATCACGATTCACGATTCAACCTGGGGTGGGAAGGAATTGAGAATGGCAAGGTGGATCCGCCCACCCTTCGAGATGGGGGTTGTTTGATCATCAGCGGGCGTGGACGGGTGGTGGCACCGGTGGGTGTCGGCGGATGGTACGAGTAATATGATGTATGGGAGTGTGACGGGATGGTCGAAGAGGGTGACGCGTACTCGGGTGTGCGTGCGTGTCTTGTGTGTGTGTCAGAGGGGTTATGGGTATAGGGGGAAGAAAGGGGATGATGATCCAACGGAACATGGGAGAGAGAGAAGGGAGAGGGAGGGAGAGAGAGGTGCAGGTTGCTGGCTCGGTTACGCGTATCGTATCGCTACCAATACACGATGACAATATGTGGTCCGTGGAACAGGCTGGGAGGGACTCTGCGTGTCAAGAGGACCGTCTGGCATTATGACGAAGCCATCTGTGAAAGAGAAGGAGTCAAAAGACCAGATAAGATGAAAACAATTGAAAACATCCCCAGTCTCGTCTTCTTTCCTTCTTACCAATGATGGAAATACGGCCACGCTCTCCGAATATGGGACTCGACTCTCTGGCCCCGTACGCTCTCGTACGAATCATTGATCGGCCACTACCGAGTATATGTAATCCGTAGAGAGCGTACGGAGTGATGGCTAGAGTGGACTATGTGAGTATGTGGAATAGGTACGGATCATGTGCAGAGAGCACTAGAGTGACGCTCCGATGTGCTGTATATTCATCAGCCTACCGGTAGCCTAGCCAAGTATCCGGCTAGTAGTGGTGATGCTGGTGACGCGTGGCATAATCGCATCCGTTCTCCCTTGTGCCTCCCCTGGCCAATTTCAATGTTACGTCGCACTTCTCTCCGCTCTCTGCTCTCTGCTCTCTGCGTCTCTTGCTCTTCTCTGTAACACCCGCACACGCTACACATCCTATTCGTCACGCCTTCTTCATGCTGCGCACGTAAAACGTCAGAGCCAAGAAAGCAATCTCTACATCCTCCCGTACGGACGTGGTTCGGCGCCCCATTTGCAATGCGCTGGACATGATTGATTACGGGAGACGTATGGGGTGTAAGAACGTATCTCCGTCGCGACTGCTGGATACTGGTCATATCAACAGCACCACCAACCAGTGACGGAGTGCTCTCAGCCATGTACGGGTTAACCTGTATTGTATCGCAGAGTACGAGCTCATGCCCTGCCGCCAACCGCTACCACCACGGCAGGCCCACGACAGGTGGAGATCGAGGAGCAGAGCATATAACCCGTGCTCGTACGTACTCACCCAGAGACTCATCCTCTCTACGTGTGAGAGATAACTCTCCCGCGAAAAGTGGACAGGCGGTTTGGCTGAACTCGTCATCGCCTAACCCGAGGCCTCTCGAGGTAACGGTACACGTTCGCGGGGAGGGGCTGCGCAACCCCGACGGCTCCCACCCAGGGTAGGCTCGTGATAGGCAGCGATGTGGCAGATATACAGCGCACCGGGCCCTGGATACAGATCCAGGCCCCCCCTGGGGCGCAAGGCGCGCGGAGCCTTGCTGCGTACCTCTACCTGCCGTCCACCACGAGAAATAGCCTCGTGGGGACGGGGCAGTGTGAAGGGGAGCCGACTGATTGGCCCGGAGAGGTTAGCTGACGCGTACGGCAGTCTGCAGTAGCCACCCATTACGGAGCTCTAGGCAGGCCTCTTCATTACAGAGTACGAGCCCTCTACGGATGACTCGTATATACATGTACGTGCGTATACCCGCATGTATGCTCGCATGTAACAAGTGGTAACATATATAACCTGTACAGATTACACCCGTATCATCTGTCACTCCGTATAGAGCAGCCCGTAATCCGTACAGAGCCTTGCTCGCAGTCTGCACCGCTCTCACAGTCACGACTGAGTGATCTCGCTCCCCGAACCACCTGCTTACGATCGATACCCGTACTGCCCTACAGGCTACCTGTCCACTGTAGAGAAGGTTGGAAAGGGGAAGGAAAGCAAGAAGAGAGGAGAGAGAAGAAGAGCAAGAGAAAAAAAGAAAAAAAAAAAAGGGCCCTAAGGCCCAGAGGTCCCCACTCCACGTTGGCGGGTTGCGCAAGCAAAATCGGAGAGAGGCGACGCAATACTCTCCGTCACACTTGCCTCTCTCTCTCTCTCCCCCCAACGTGCATGTATGTTACTCGTACTCGTAGCCCGGGTATCCACTCTCGTCCCCTCCTTCCACGCTTCCACGCTTCCACGCCTTCCCCTTCTCTTCTTGGCTTACGAGTACTCGTCAGGTCTCTCCTCCCAACCAAGTCATCTTCAGACAGACTCGTCTTCCACCTTTTACCACCTTGCTCTCCCACACAGATTCCGTCTTCGACGATACCCTCGTTTCCCCTCCTTCTCCCTCTTCTCCTCTCTTCCATCCCCGCTCATCACATCTGTTCGACTCGCATCGTCTTCGCCCGACATCGACCCACGCCGAGCGATTCGTACCTTCAGGACACCACCATCGAGGCTGTGCGCATATCCGCCAACCGCCGAACCGCCCACCCGGTTTCAGACAAGGCGGCAAGCCCAGGCCTTCTCACTCTCCCCCCATCGAGAGGAGGGAAAGAAAAGGCAGAAGGTCGCAGTCGTACGAAACAGTCCATCTCCGCGATCCAAGCTTACCTATACACACCGACGACACACTGGACGACGCCCTACTCCGGACGACGCAGGTCTCTGCCTGCTGTCCTTGATCTCCACCACCCGACGACGTTCGGTCTATCCACTCGCTCCCGACGACGACGACGAGACCACCACCCTGTCCTCCTCGGCTCGCTCCATAGTCTAGAGCCCTGATCTGCGAGGAGCAGATTCCGCAGACAACACGTACACGCACACGTACACATACGCAGACGCATCATGGCTGGCCGGAACAACACCCCGCTCGGCAGCGGGCCCGCCGGCCGGGACGAATATGGCGAGGAATGGGCTCACGACCTGCGCGTGCGCTTCGAGGGCCTCCTCAGGGATAAGCGCCTCCACGAACTGCGATCGTCATCACGACACGCCTCCCCCCAATCTGGCCTCGCTGAGCGTGCGTCGAGCGCCAACTTGCGCGTGTCCTCGGCCGACGATCTCGCCCGCCCCGCCAGCGCCCACGGTCAGCCCTCGGTGCCTCCCTCGTACTCCCCATCTTCCATGCGCCATCTCCCCATCATCCCCACCCCGCCCACAGCCACCGACCGCGAGTCGCAAAAGTTCCGCAACCTCCTCATCAGCCTATCCCTCACCCCGACCAAGTACGAGAACCCGGGGCTGCTCGACGAGGCCCTCCAGGCCATTCCGCTCGACCGTATATACGGCGAGGCCGAGGAGGAGAGCCAGGTCATGCGCGCCGAGGCCGAGAGTATGGGCGATGGCCGGAGACCCGAGTGGGGGTACCAGGACTGCGTCATCCGTGCGCTGCTAAGGTGAGCACCTCTCGATTCCCCTCACCCGCACCCCCCCCACGCGCATCCTCTGCGCCGTCTGAAGCGCTCCCGCCGCTGCCTGGATCGTCGAGAGCTGACACGACCGTCTATGCAGGTGGTTCAAACGATCCTTCTTCAGCTGGGTCAACAACCCTCCCTGCCAGGCCTGCTCGTCACCCACCTTCGCCGTGGGCAGGACGGCACCGACGCCCGAGGAGAACGCCTGCGGTGCCCTGAGCGTGGAGCTGTACCAGTGCTCGGCGTGCCGCTCGCACGAGCGTTTCCCCCGCTTCGGCGACGTGTGGCGTCTGCTGCAGACGAAGCGCGGCCGCGTGGGTGAGTGGGCCAACTGCTTCACCATGCTGTGCCGGGCCGTGGGCGGCCGGGTGCGGTGGGTGTGGAACGCCGAGGACCACGTGTGGACGGAGGTGTACTCGGATCACCAGCGCCGCTGGGTGCACGTCGACGCCTGCGAGGAGGCCTGGGACAACCCGAGGCTGTACACGGATGGCTGGGGCAAGAAGATGTCGTACTGCATCGCCTTCTCCATCGACGGCGCCACCGACGTCACGCGCCGCTATGTGCGCAAGTCGGAGCACGCTCTCGAGCGCAGACGCTGCCCTGAAGAGGTGCTCCTCTACGTCACCCAGGAGATCAAGGCCCTCCGCCGCGCCAACCTGGGCAAGGACGAGCGTTTCCGCCTGGAGAAGGAGGATCAGTGCGAGGACGGCGAGCTGCGCGGATACGTCGTCGCCTCGATCGCCCAGGCCGTCACCGACCTCGTCCCCGGAGCGGCTCCGTCGGCACGCGCCGCCACGGGTGCCACCGCCGGATCCTCTGCAGGCCAGGACACCAAGAGGCCCGCCGAGCAGCCCGGGCGCAGCAACGCCGCCAGCGACAGGACGGCGCGGTGGATGGCCCAGCACCGCAACCAGCAGTTTGGCCCTCGACGTGATGGAAGGCCGTGAATATCTAGCTCGGCTACCCGACGCTCACCCGTTGCTCACCCGTCAGCTCATCTGCCGCCATCTTCCGACTCTTCAATCTCACGCACCATCTCGCAGAGACGACACATGCAGCATCTCGCACCTCACATCCCGCGATGCACGCACACTCAGCACACCACCACCCCCCCACACACGTAACATACAGCACTCCTCATCAACGGCACACATCGAACGAAGTAATTCCCGACGGCCGTATACAGTCTCTTGTTGTCTCTTCTTCTTCTTCTTCTTCTTTGTTCTATACACACCTCTGCCTCGGCATAGACCTGGCGTTTCTCCTTTCTTATCATCTTTATATTGTTTATTTTCCCCTCTCGTATATACCTGGGTTTGACATCCTTTTATATCATCCGAAAAAAAAATCCGATTCGACGTTGTAATCCCGTCCGAATCCATGTACTACTGATTTGCAAACGCATTCTCAACATCTTCATGTCATTTCTTCTCATCTCTTTTGTTTGTTTCGGTCTGGGGAAAGGGCTTGGGGATTAGGTTGGCATTGGATGTGGAGGGCGTTTTTTCCTCCCCCTCCTTTTTATACTCACGGTGTTTTTCTTCTTCTTCTCCTCTTTTTGTCTATTCGTGGGTTGGTAACGGGGACGTCTATACATTGCCTTGGGGGAACAAATACACGTTAATCTTCACCTTTTGTGTGTGCTCTTGGGTGCTCGTTGTGACGTTTACATGCCTACCATCGTGACGCGGCACGTCCGAGCGAAGCGGGACCAGCTCCCGGCAGGGCGGCCGGAGGCGGATAACATTATCCTATCGTTTACCTCCGGCGGCCCTACGGGGGGGGGGGGGGGGGGGAGAGTCCCTCTCGCCTCGCTCGTGTCTGCCCTGTGAGGATGGCAGGTGAGACATACAGGTACGCGTGCTGTGCTGTGTGTGGTCAGTGTGGATCCCTAGATGCCGACACGGAAAAGAAAACCCCCCCAATATACGCGTGCAGGGATGCGCGACGGCGACACCAATCTCGCGTTACGGGGAGTGTTGGTATCATCACGCATTTTAAGGCAGGGCCGTCATCCTTCCCACTCTCCATCTTCTCCACGCTCTCCCACTCTCCCACTCTCCCACTCTCTCCTACCGGTTCGCAAATGGTATTCGAGCCGATACATTTCCTCTTTCCTGTTCGGAGCCTAACCTCTCATCATACAATCGACGCAGCACCCTAGGCAAACATGATGCCCATTCTCAAACGCAAGCGTTCCTCCTCGGAGCTGTCGTCTTCCCCGAGCAGCACGTCGTCTTCCCCCCCTCGCAACGACTTCATGACCATGGAGACGCCCGTGCATCTGCACTCGCGTACGCTCAAGCGTTTCCGCGACTCGAGACCCTCGGAGAAGCTGATCCACCGTATGTGCATTCCCTCCGTCAGCCCCTCCCCCCTATTCCCTTCGGAGCTGTGTTCCTGACCCGTCAACAACAAACAATGGCAGACCGGACACTCGGCATGCTCTACTCTGCTCAACGACAGGCAGCACCCACACCCATTCCCGCACCGATACATGAGACGCAGACACCGTCTCTGCAGCAGCAGCAACCTCAACGCCAGAACCTCCATTCATTCTGGAATATATCTTCGGCCCCCAGGACGGTCACGACCCCTGCCCAGAAGCGACGGCAAGATGACGACGGGCCGAGCAGCTGTGAGGACTGCGGTGTTGACGTGTGTGCGGACGGGATGGACGGGTCCGACGCCGGATGTACGATTTGCGGAAAGGGGGTGTGCTTCAGCTGCTCCGTCAGCCATCTCGGGACAGGGAAACGGTGTCTCTGCTGCGCGGGACGGCCGTTCCCCTAGCTGAGCGATCGGTCGAGGAAGGAGAAGCGAAGCGAGCGGAGCGAGGAAGGAACCCAACCCAACCCCCCGGGTAGGGTCGCCGGAGGCGGTCTCTTCCCTATCGAATATCTGTCAGGAGGAGGAGCGAGCGGGGCGAGAAGAAGGAGGAGAAGAAGAAGAAGAGCTCCCGGTGGGGCCGCCGGAGACAGATGGCGTCTGGGACTGAACGGGTGACGTGTGCACGGGCGTTGGATGATATCCCTGACTTTATACAATCTACGTAGTAGGAAAAGGGCGTTTTTCCGGGTTTACGATATCCAACAGTGGATGGAAGGATTGCTTGGATCAAGCAGATATTATCTATTATCGAATGTATATATAAAAAAGCATAGCAAAGCAAAAAGTACAGAAGCGCAAGTCCGGCCGCACCTCAGCTCGGTACGCGCAGACTAGCCCCGTCGACGAGTGGTAGGGGCCTTCTTGGGCGTGGAAGCGCCGGTAGACTTGGCGGCGGTGGCGGCGGAAGAAGGGGCAGCAACAGCCCTTTGCTTGCCCTTGGCCTTCTCGGACGGGGCATTCCAGTACCAGACCATCTGGAGGGCGAGGACGAGGTTGAGGGCAAAGCCGGAGATGAAGCCGTAGAGGATGAGCTTGTCGTCTACCTCCTGGAGGGTGGTGAAGATGCGGGTGAGGGATCCGGCGAGGTAGTTGAAGATCTGGAGAGAGAGGGGGGGGGAGTTGGGGTTAGCAAGAGGAGAGAGAAACAAGTGCGGGATAGCAGGAGGGGCGGCCGGAGACAATTCCTTCAGTCGCTCCTTGTAACCTGAGAGGGACGCCGGAAAGCGAGCGGAGCGAGAGGAAACTCCCGGTAGGGCCGCCGGAGGCAAAGAAAGAGGAATCAGAGGAGAGAGAGAGAGAGAGAGAGAGAGAGAGAGATGAACTTACGGCAAAAGCACTCAGCTGTCCGGTGCCACCCTGCTGGTAGATGGCGACGATCTGGGGCAGCTTGCTGGCGACGCCGAGCAGGCCAGCGCCGGCCTGGAGGTATCCGAGGGCGTTGGCGTCGACGACGTCGGGGCGGACGAGGACGGCGGCGGCGGCTGCGAGGCCGGCGACCAGGACGGCGGCCAGGGCGGTGCGGCCGGTGAAGTTGAGGACGAGGACGCAGATGACGACGTTCTGGCCCATGATGAGGGCGGTCTCGCCGTAGGTGCTGAAGGGGAAGGCGTTGCGGACGTTGTAGGCCAGGGTGATGAGGTAGGCGGTCGTCTCGAGGAGGTAGGACAGGAAGGACACGCCGTCGGCGGAGCGGGAGCCGGCCAGCTTGAGGATCTGGGGCACCTTGACGACGGACGAGGCGCCGACGATGCCGACGCCCAGCCCCTTGGAGACGGCCAGCCGGAGGCAGGCCTCGTCCTCGAGGGAGACGTCGAGGAGGAGGGTCCGGTAGCAGGTCGGGGTGATCAGGGACTCGCCCAGGGCGCGGATCGGGGGGGGCAGGTTGTGCGTTATGGGCTGGACGACGGAGCGGAGGGTGTCCATCTCGGCGGGGTGTCCGGGCGTGGGAGTGGCCGTCGATGCGTCGTCGGGGTTTGCGGTTGGTGATGCTGGTGGTGGTTGTGTTGATGTTTGTGAGAGCGGGTGTGGTAAATTTTTTACATTTCTCAAAATTTTCTCTTCTTCTTATAATATCTATTAAATATTTATTATTATTATCTCTCTATATTTTTCATTCCCTTTTGTAGGGCCAGATGTGGGGGGACCAACGGCGGGATTGCGATTATCAGCAGGTTCATCACTGATACCGTCATGAAATAAACGGCAATGAACCGCCATAATAAAGTAAGTTGCAGGTATTTACAAGTTGAGTATTATCGGTAGTGTAGACGGGTTATATGTTAGTAGCAACAATAGGTAAGAGTAGTATGTGGCAGTAGTATGTAGGTAGTCATGGTAGTTAGTAGTAAGTAGTAGTAAGTAGTAGCAGTAGTTTAGTAGTAGTTAGTAGTAGTAAGTAGTAATTAGTTAGTAGTAGTAGTAGTAGTTAGTAGTAGTAGTAGTAGTAGTAGTAGTGGTAGTAGTAGTTAGTAGTAATAGTAGTAGTAGCAGCAGCAGTAGTAGTGGTAGTAATAGTGGTAAGTACTCCGTAGTAGTAGCGGTGTTACTGATCAATCTTAGAGTAATTTCAGGTAATAAGCGTCATTAGTAATCAGCTGGTTAAAATCTGGTCAGAATTCCCTGTGTCAATACGTCAAGATGTCAATATAAGACGTGAATGCCCTGCAAGACGATGCATGCCAATACACCATCTCAGCACATGCGATAGTAAAGAATAGTAAAACCTGTAATCTGTATTACTCTTTAGAGTGGCCAAGTCAGCCCAGCTGTGCCCGTTAGGTGATGATGCTCCGCTCCGGTGTTGCCCTACTATTAATTATAAGCTGTCATGTTATTATTATACAAGATGACTCTGTATGCTATGTTCTGTTATGTATTACTATGAATGATGATGCTCTTTTTCTTAGATGGTTGACAGACATATCGAGACGATTTATATGATACGGCCATGATTATCCGCATCCCGCACACTCCGTATCAATACATTTGCCCAGCAGAGTCCCAGGATCATGACCGGTAATATGACTTGCTGTGGGACTACAGATTACGTCTGGTGATACTATTGATACCTAACACCTACTGCAAGTTGTTGTAATATAAATAACATCTTACCAGAAGGAATCACTTACCACAAGGAATGCCTAGAAGGATGCAGCAATATCCTCCGATATCAGTTGGCCGCCCCAAGGTCCAACACACATACAAGGCACGTTGTCAGCCCGCATGACCCAAGCATTCCCATCCTGTCCCATATCACGATGCGATCCCTCTTCAATCCTGCTCTTCGCCTTCTTTCTCTTCTCTTCGTGTAGCAGCCTGCTGACTGACTGGGCGCGTAACTATTCATATCCCGTGGTTCTGAAGAGAAGGGTTAAAAAAAAACCAGGAAGAAAGACCCCCATGCACACACACACACACACACACACAGAGAGAGAGAGAGAGAGAGAGAGAGAGAGAGAGCGCACTGCTGACAAAACAGCGCATCTCGCTTATGTACACCGTCACCTCGCCGCTGCCAAATCCATGAATCAGACCAGCAGCGAGAGCGACAGGCTCTGTCTCGCCTTCCCCGGATCCCTGCGTCGCTGGTGTGTAACAAGCTAGAAGTCAGGTATTAATGCCCGCATCCAAACTCGTCCACGACGACGACGCCATCATCTATCGTCGACATCACCACCAACGTCAGAAATCACTACTACTACTGCTACTACTACTGCTGCTACTACTGCTGCTACTACTACTACTACTCCTACCACCATCACCACCACCACCACCACCACCACCACCACCTGTACTACATAATATAATACTACTCATCCCAAGCAGCAGCAGCGGCCTGAGCAGCAGCTTGAGCAGCAGCCTGCCATGGTTACGGCTGCACAGGATGCATCGTCGCCATTCAACCATGGTGACGAAACCAGTGGTGACGGTACCAGCACCAGCACCGGCACCAGCACCGGCACAATCAAGTATGAATACATGTTTGAAAAGGACAAGAGTCCTACCAAGCAGCTCGACGCCATACTGAGAGCCATGGCCAGCTTTATCGTACGATAATTCCACCCACTTCCCTCGCACGGCACTCAGCACCGGACAGACAGAGAGTGTTGTTGCTGGACTGACAAGCACTGACCGCCGCTTCAGGCTCACAACATCGGCGACAAGCACGATCCCCACCTGTGTCCGCAGAAGATGGCGGCCTATTACAAGGCCGTAGGTGGTGACTATGACCGTACGCGCTCCTGACTCCCCTCAACCGCTCCCTTGCACGCTCTGACTCTCTCTCCTCCGCCTCCCCGCCTCCCTCCCGACCCTGCAGACTTGTTCGTGCAGAGAGATGACGCCTCGATATCGTGGATGTGGCAAGCCACCGGCTGCCAACACAGCCTCCAGCCGACCCGTGACGCCTTCCAGCCGCCGAGCATCCCGGCCCTGACCCCGCGCGGCTTCTCGCGCTGGCAGTCCCTCGAGATCCTGCTCGGCCCTGACGAGCACGTCCCGTTCGTCCAGTACGCCGTCCAGAGATGGGGCCTGCGAGACCCCGACACGGGCGAACCGTTCCCGCCTCACCTGCCCCGCGACGTGTTTCCGGCCGAGCCGGACGTCGAGATCGACCGCTGGCACGAGGGCTGCGCAAGCAGGCTGTGGAAGGATGCCGCCGCCGCCGGACCACCCGAGCCCGGCGGCGACATCAGGCCCGAGAAAGACGCCGACACCCCGGGCGGCACCAGGTCCAGGCCTGAGCCGTCCAGGCCTGAGCCGTCCAGGCCCGAGCCCAACAGCAGCAGCAGCAGCAGCAGCAGCAGCAGCAACCACAACAACCACAACAGCGACAGGCCGAAACCGGTATCTCACCAGACAGAACCCATGTACGCACACATTCACCCGGGCGGCAGCAGTCCGCCGCCCACATCCCGAAGACCGCACACGTCGCACCACCCCCCACCGCAGCCGCAGCCGCAGCCGCAGCCGCAGCCGCAGCCGCAGCACCAGCAGCAGCAGGGACCGTCGCGACCCTTCCCATACGCTCACGCTCAGCAGCCACCGCCGGTCCGGCACAGGCAGCGCGCCGCCTCCCCCGACATGAGATACCATCGATCGTCGTCACCGCTACGCGAGCGCGGTCGCCGCCGCAGCTTCTCCGACTACCCGTCCTCACCCGTCCAGGAGCGCCCACCGCACCGCCGCTCATCGCCACCGCCGCTGCTGCACCGCTCGCCGTCACCGCCATCTCGTCTCCGTCGCTATTCACCGGCAACGGCGAAGCCTGACCGGCCGCCCTTCCGACACGTATCCTCGTCCGAGCGGCGGCACAGCCACGGCCACCCCAAACGATACTCGTCCGACTCCGCCGACGACGCCCGGCCCGGCAGCCCGTCCCCGCACCTCAACGTCCGGCGCCGGCCTCACAGCCCGCCGCTGTCCTCCTCGTCATCCGGCGGGAGGCGATACGTCCCGGTCCCGCAGACTGCGCCGGTCACGAGCAGCGGCAACAGCAAATCGAAGCGCCGCACCAACACCAGCCCCTTTGGCAGTCTGCGCAGCAAGGTGACCGAGACGGTGACGGGCCTCCTGTCCTCTTCGGGTGGGGGCAGCATCCGCCGTTCCAGTATGGACCAGCTCGCCAGGCGTGAGCGGGAGCGAGAGCGGGAGCGCGACCGTGAACGCGACCGTGACCGCGACCGTGACCGCGACCGTGACCGCGACCGCAACCGTCCCCCACGTATGCAGCAGCGTCCTGCGCCCCCTTCCCTGCGCCACGCCTACGTCGACGTCGATTCGGACGAGACGTCGGATCAGGGATCCAGCGACGACGGGACCGGTGCTTTCCGCAGAAGACAGAGCTCTCTGCGGGATCCGAAGCGTTCCGGTGCCAGCCCCGCAGCTGCTGCCGGCGCCGGCGTCCCGCCCCCGTTCAGGGAGAGGGCGGTGCCGCGGTCATACGACGCCGAAGAGCGGCTCGACGGCGACGGCGACGACGACGACGACGACGAGGTCGACGTGGATATGGGGGGCATCGGCGCCTCGGAGCCGCAGAGGCACAGGTCACACCTTCGACGGCCGGGCGCGGCTGACCTGCACAGACGGACGAGCAGCCATGCTGACGTCGACCGACGGAGGGAGCCGTTCCCCCCTTCCTCCTCTTCCTCGAAGAATGGGAATGCCGCGCACCCGTTTGACCCGCGAGGGAGGGAAAGGCTCAGGGGCGATAGGAAGAGGTTTGAGGGGTTGGTTGGGAGGGATAGGGCTTCTCTGAGTCCTGGGGGGAGACATGTCATGTATTGACCCTCATCTTCTCCTCGCCTCGTCCTCCCCCCCCCCCCCCCCCCCCCCCCCCCCCTTTTTTTTTTCCCCTTTCCCCTCAAAAACACACCCCCAAATTTTTTCCCCCCTTTTTTTTTTCCCCCCCCCCCCCCCCCCCCCCCCCCCCCCCCCCCCCCCCCCCCCCCAACTCTGTCCATCTCTCTTCTCTCTTCTCAATTGCTGTGCTCTATTGGGCTTCTCTTGGGTATGCGTCTCGTCCTCTTGTCTTGATTCTATCATACCTCTTGCCCTCTCGCTTGAGAGATGGGAAAAGACTAGCGATTGCATCTTGTTGGTCTCCCTTCTTCTTTTTTCCCCCTCCCCCTTTCCCCTTCCATTATTTTCCAATTCCTTTTTTTTTCGCTACGAGGGAAATTTTTGGACATTTTGGATGAGTACTGCCTCTAAATTTCATCACTTCTCATGAGCATCACAAAGTTTCTGGTCAGTGCACAGAAAGTAGCGAGTTCTTATTCATCTTTTTTTTTTCTTGAAAAAAAAAAAAGAAGCTTTCTCTGTCTTGTTTTACGAGAGACCGAAGAATCTGAAAACAGGCGCAGTCCAGTTTTCAGGAGTATATCACGTCCATCCATCGTCCAAAGTAGATAGCCGTACGGTAGAAACGAGAAGCGGTGGTGCCCCATGGTCTGACTATACACACTGGTCGGGATCAGACTACAAACCGAGCACCGTGGAAAAGAGAGCTGTCAAGGTCCATCAGGCACCGATACATGTACATGGAAATGCTGTGCGTACGATTGGAGGGGATCCGGGTCGAGAGGGTTGATTCGGTGGGGCGCATCGCACGCATCTCAGTCAGTGGTCACGGCGGTTGGGAAGGGCTGCCCGGTCTTGCTGCTCGGGGAAGAGTTAGGGGGAGGGTGGGGAGTACGGGTGAGGGAGGGAGAACGGGACCGATGATGATATCACATATGTCTATCCGTGGACCATGGACCATGGCCCGAGGTATCTGTCTCTCGTTACGGCGGTGGTACGTGCGTCACATTAACGAAGCTGAAGGTGTTTTATGCTATCTATTGTTCAGACCTCGTGGAAGACGAGTAAGCAGGGTAAGTTATGAATCATGATGAGCATGTACGAGTATCATCAATACTCTCTCTCTCTCTCTATAACCGTAAGAGACCGGCAGCAGATGGTATTCGTAGCAGATGGCATCGGTAGATAAAAGGGGGGGGGAGGGGGGGGGAGGGGTATGCATCATCAAGAGTCAGAAGAGCAGCATTGCAGTGATAAAATGAAAGGGAACGAATTGATACTCTACGGAGTAATAATGCCGAGTATTTTTTTTGCAAATTGTCTTATTTTATTTTACCTGCAGGGCTACAGACTACAGATCGGTAATCTGTAATACAGGCTACGAATAAGATATTGGCATTAATGCTTCGCACGAATTGATACTGATACATTGCACATATATATCAGTGTCGATATTAGCTCAGGCATAGCCAGACACCCAAACACCTAAACAGGCACCGGATACCCAGGACAGGCACCAACGTCAGGTGCTCTCCACTGCGCCCATCCCGTCATCCTTTCCACCCTCATCCACGCCGTTCCCTTGGCATCCATCATACACTCACTCTACTGACCTATTGACGAATATTGTCCTATTAACCTGACCTTCCTCCCACCCAACCTTGTACGGGATCGTTCTCATCTCCGTGCCCGTCCGGAAGTCTGACACGCACACACATACACACACACACACACACACCACCGCTCACGGGCCTCCTTTGTCCCCCCCCTTCAGATCGCTTTACTCATCTCCATCCGCCACGTTTCTTCAACACACACACACACACGCGCGCACGCACGCACGCACACACGCACGCACACACACCAGGGTGCTGTTACGGAAGGAAATACGCGGTATCAATACCATCGAGAGAGAGAGTGTGTGTGTGGTAGGTGTCGCCCATCCATCCTAATAGACAGAACCCAACGCTGGTATTCCACCCCAACAGTCTTTTTTCTTCTTCTTTCTCTCTCTCTCCCCCCCCCCCTTCGAAATCGACACTCGACATTTTTTCCCCCATTTCTTCCTTCCATCTCGACGCCATCGTTACATAGACATCATCATCGAGCGACGGGGTCGTCAGCGTCACACACACACGCACACACACGCACACACACACACACACATACACACACACAGATAAAGCGGCATCACTCGGACCATAGAAAGAAGACGCACGCCACGATGAAGGGCCCTCCCATCGACCAGCTCGTCCACGAGCACATGTTCCCCAAACTCCGACCAAACGACCCTCCCAACTTCCATACTTTCCTGACCCGCCACCTGATAGGCGAGGTGCGCTCCGAGACCCAGGCCTTCTACGGCCACCTCGACACCCAAGAGGCCAAGTACCCCGGCCTGGACTACAACAAGCACACCCACCGCGTCCGGCTGTCCCGATACCCCTGGCACCGACGCCTGTTCCGCGCCTTCGACGCCCTGGGCCTGACACCCTCGGAGATATCCAACCTGACGCGCTGGGAGGGCACGCGCTGGGCCAAGGAGAAGTACGAGCTCGAGCACGGCGTCCGCATCCGCGACACCACGGCGGACGGGATACCGGAGTGGGACGACGATATCGGTTGCGCGTTCGGTCCGGATGAGCACGGCCTACTCCTGCGTCGCCGCGACGGCATCACTTCCGAACGACGGCAACGGCAGGGACAAGCAGGAGAAGACGACGACGAGGACGGAGACGAAGACGGAGACGGAGAGGAGGAGGAGGAACGACGAGGAGAGGAGGAGGACGGTCTAGAGGACGAGGCTCGCCAGCAGCAGCGGCGACTGTCCACCTTGCTGGCAGCACGGCGGCAGCCACGCCAGCAAGCAGAAGACGACGAAGGGGAGGGAGAGGAAGACCGGGAAGGAGAAGAAGGGGAAGGGGAAGGAGAGGAGGAGGAGGAAGAGGAGGAGGAGGAGGAGGAGGCGAGCGGCGGAGATTCTGAACTCCAGAGTGTGGGTGTAGAGCTCAATGCGCGTCTGCGCGCCGGCGTGGCGCGTCGCGAAGCTGGCGACAGCACGGCCGTCCTGGACGAGGAATGGGAACAGTGGCTCAAGCACGTCGTCGAGACCGGCCTCCTCCGCGAGAACATGTCGGAGCAGTCGTTCCGCCGCTTCTTCGAGACCACAATCGTCCCCGCCGGCGTCGTCCCCGCCGAGGTCATGCGCGCCGCCCGCGCCGGCCTGTGGTCCCGGGTCCCCAACTTCATGCACAGCCTCCTCCGACGAGTCCTGGTGTCGGAGCACCAGGACCGGCAGCGGCAGCGGCAGCACGCACACGCACAGGCTCAGGCTCAGGCTCAGGCCCAGGCTCAGGCCCAGGCTCAGACCCAGGCCCAGGCTCAGACCCGGGCCCAGGCCCTGGCGCAGCTCCGTCATCTCCCATCCGACATGCTCCCTCCCCCTCCCCGTATGACACCGTCCACCCCCATACCAGACTACCTCCTCCACAGCAGCGGCAGCAACGGTCGTCTGCAGCCCAGGCCCACCGCCGGTGCCGTTGCCGCCGCCGCCGTCGCGGCCATCCGTCGCAACAACGCCGCCACGGCCGCCGCCGCCGCCGCCGCCTCCACCCGGACCACCACCCGGACCACCACCCGGACCACCACCACCCACATGACGGCCGACGCATCGGGCTTGTAGGGGCCCGGCTCAGCCCTCACCCTGCTCCGGAACACACTCTCCCTCGACGACAGGACCGCGCCACGCCCCGGGCAGGGTGGGCCCATCACGCCTCCCCCCCTGGCGCCCCCACGGACGACCGGCCCGAAGCGAGGGGAGCTCCTCTGAGAGGAGGTTCCTCGGTATGAGGCTCATCGCCGGGCCGGCCAGCGTGTGCAGACTGTCGTCAGTGACGTTTCGCATCGATTACATGCTTTGATCACATACGGATCCGAATCAAACGCGAGAAGGGGGGCTCTCTGTAATCTTTGCTCTTCACTCTTCGCAAGCACCGAGAATCTCTTGCGAAACAGAGAAAGATGAAGAAGAAAAAAAGACACGGGAGAGAGAAGGAAGGAAAAAAACCAAGGGATAGGATCGAAGCGGGTATACCGGTAGCGTTCTTTTAGCATCAATTTTATATATACATATATATATTACAAAGTAGAGCTTTTCTTCTTTTCTGTTACTCTCATCAATCTTTTCAACTACATAGGCTGGCCATGAATAAGAGAGGTTAGGTTTCTGTGTGTGTATTGGCCTTTGATTCTTGTGTGTTGTTTTCCTTCTCTCTAGTCTCTTTCCTTTTTTTTCAAATCCCTTTTTACAATACCTATCCGTCTTATTTATGACGCTTGCTATTAATGAAAAAAAAAAAAAAAAAGAGGTTTACAAGAGAATGCGTGTGTGTGTGTGTGTGTGTGTGAAAAGGGACATGAGAGAGATGAGAAGAAAAAAAAAGAGAGAGATGAGGAAAAGATAGAACGACTACTTCTCAGGTTCGAGATGGGACCATTCTGGAACGGCACGTATCTGCTGCCACATAAACTTCTCAAGCTTATTGGCTGACTTGGCATAGGGGGTGGTCTCGTTGTTGTACTTGCGGCAGTTGTTGAAGACGAGCTTGGCGTCGTGGATGAAGTCCTCGGGGGTGGAGTACTGGTCTGCCTCGAGCTTGGACTCCATGGTACTGAGGTCCATGGGCTCCTTGATGACGTCGTAGTAGTCGGCCACCTCGTCGCGGTTGACGGGGACGAGGAAGGGCCATGCGGCGTTGTGGTTCTGCAGGTCGTTGAGCAGGTGGAGGAGCTGGTTGTAGTTGGGGCCGTGGCGGGGCTGCCGGGCCAGCTCGTCCATGTCCGGGGACCAGCCGGATGCCCTGATGGCGGGGACGTCGAGTGGGTTGATCGTCGGGAGGGGCGTCTTGTTGCTGTCCTTGTCCTTGTCGGTGCTGCCGTTGCCGCCGTTGCCGCTGCCGAGACCTTTCCACTCCTTTGGTGGGGGGTGGATGAGGTGTGATTTGGAATAGGCGCGGATCTTGGCCTGGATGCATTCCTTCTGCTTCAGGAGCATGCGACCCATCTCCAGGTAGCGGATGCGGGGGAGCATGGAGCACTGCATGATGGTGCCGCCCTCGTAGTCCTTGATGTAGCCCATCCACACGCGTCGGTCCAGCGTGATCTCCTTGGTGAAGCCCTGCTTCTTGAAGTAGCCGATGGCGTAGTTGTCCGCGTATGTCAGGAAGTGCATCACGTCGCTCGTCGCCTTGACGTAGTCCTTCAGGTGCGACATCAGGTGCGCGCCGTAGCCCTTGACCTGCTGGTCCGAGCTGATGGCGCAGAAGACGATCTCGGCGAACTGCCGCCCCTTGAAGGGCCGGTACGTGATGCCCCCGACCACCTCGAGCGGCTTCTTGACGATGGCGATCGACAGGTGCGTCCGGTCGTACACGAGCCGCGCGATGTAGTCCTTGGGCATCTTGGGGAGCTGCTTCTGGAAGATGCATTTGAGCCCCGTCATGATGATGTGCGATTCGCGGTCGCCGTCGTTGTTCACCACCCGGAATTCAATCTCGCCTTCGCGCTCTTCAATCACTGCGGGCTGCAATTCCCATCAGTCAGCACGACTCTATCTTCCTCCCCCCTCCTCCTCCCCGTCATCTTCTTAATGCTATCAGAGAGAGAGAGAGAGAGAGAGAGTGTGTGTGTGTGTGGGAACAGTTACCTTTTCTGGAAATGGTACTCGTCGCACTTCCGGCTTCTTCTTCTCCGGTTCTTCGGTCGCATCGTCATCGTGCTTTACGCGCTTTGCTGCCGAGGGCGATGATGGGTCATCCTCGGCCTTGCGCTTGCCGCCTATCCTCCTCGTCAGTGAAACGGTCGATCCTATCTGTTTACCCATATGCAACTTACTCTCCACAACCGCTTCGGCAGTCGTCGTCATGATGTGTGTATGTGTTCTTGTGTTTGTGTCGTATGACTGGATCGATCAGCTGCCAGGGTCTTGATGTGCCGTCATATGGGGGGGGGGGGGGGGGGTTCGAAAGAGCGAGAGAGAGAAAAGTGGACCAGATAATCCTTATGTAATCTGGGGAACGAGGCCACGACGCGTTGAATGACGCTAAACCGTTTTTAGATCATGACACCTTGGGGGAGTACGTCGCAGCTCGTTGTCGTTAACCTCCAGCCAAGCTCGCTTCAACTCCAGCACCGCAAGAGTTTCATCCGCTCTAAATTGCCGTTCGTGTGCGCTATTTCGCTCTTTGACGTCTAGGTCCTCGAAGAAGGGACACAAAAGGAACATACTGCGCTACCGAACTTTTCCCTTCACATCTCGCACATGGATTCCTCGCTGCATGAGGTTTGGCAAGCTGCTGCTGGCAGTCCATTCCTCCCCGCCGTTGGCAAGGGTAGCCAGTTTTTCGTCGGCTTCTTCCTCCTAGTTCTAGGCATTCTAGTCACGGGAGTCTTTGCGCTGAGTGCGTTCTTTTCCCTCTAGTTCTGCCTCTCTCCATGCTCCCACTCCCGACGCACACAGTACTGACCAATCTGCGTCGCCAGACCGATCGTTCGTCAACGTCCCACTTCTCGGAATACCTGCCTCCCTCGCCATTGCGTACGTTCCGTCCCTAGCACCATCTGTCGCACCCTCGGAAAGGATGAAGAGGATGAGTAGAAGAACAGCGAGTGTGCGCCGATGAAGGAAACGAAGACTAATCAGCAGAACAGATACGGAACTGTCTATATGTTCTGCGCGGTCGGAGTCTACGTCTAAAGAGCAGAGGCGAGAGAATTATCGGCCCACGACAGTGTATTTTAGTTGGAAGAAACCAGAAAAGAAGCATTGAGCGATTGTTTGATTTTATATCTTGATTCTCTTCCCCGCACCGCATGCACCTTCGCGCCCTCACAAACCAAAAAAAAAAAAGAAGAAAAAAAGAAAGAAAAAAACAGGAACAAGCATCACAGCAGCATACCACACTCACCAAACACGACAAAAAAAAATGGCGTCCGAGGCCAAACCCTTGTTTCGGGCAGTAGCCACGTCTACGAGACCATTATATCAGCTCCTGCGGTGCATAAATCTCGCGCCCAGGGTGCACGTACAGATTACGGAGCAGGGGATTCGTTTCGCGGCGGACCACTCCCGCGTCATGCAAGGTCCGTTACGATGACCTTCCCCTCACCTCTCCCATCAGGATCCCATGGCTGACCCAGACCAGCCGTCTCGTTCTTGGACGCCAGCCTCTTCTCATCCTACGCCGTCAACCTGCCCCCCTCGGAGGACGGAGAGGCCGGGAGCCCACCTGACCCCGTCAACTTCCAGATCCCGCTATCCTCTCTGCTAGAGGTTCTCCAGATCTTTGGGGCCGTAGACGTGGCCACCCGGGCTCAGAAGGCCGACCAGGACCCGTACCGCAGCAACCTGCGCAACTACCGGCCCGACGCCTTTAGCAACCAGGCCCTCGGGCTGGCGGGCACGTGTACCCTCGTGTACGCCGACCAGGGCGACTCCTTCAAGGTGACGATTGAGGAATCGACTGTCAAGACGACGGCCGCCCTGACCACCTACGTGCCCGAGATGCCCGACGAGATACCCTTTGATCGGGATGACATGGCCTTCAAGATCATCATGCCCTCCCGGTCGCTGCTCGACTCCCTGGCCGAGATCTCCCCCACGGCCCCCAACAGGCTGGCCGTCAGCGTCACCCGCACGGCTCCCTTCCTATCCCTGGCGGGCGTGGGTGACTTAGGCTCCTCGGCTGTCGATTTCGCCCGCGGGAGGGACCTCATGGAGACGTTTAACGTCAATGAGAAGTGGTCCCACAGCTTCAAGTTTGACCTGATCAGGAATTCGACCGAGGCCATGCGGATCGCCACAAAGATCAGTCTGAGGGGGGATCGACAGGGTGTGCTGAATTTGCAGCTCATGGTTGTTACTGAGGGGGAGAAGCAGTCGTTTCTTGATTTCAGATTTGTCCCCTTTATCAGACAGGATGACGATTATGCGGAAGAAGAAGAGGGAGAAGGAGAAGGGGAAGAGGAAGAGGAGTACAGAACTGTCTTGTCTGCTGATTAGAAGAAGAAACATGGAAGAGGATAGGCGGAGTCATGATGCGGTATAGGGGAGGGACTTTAATCTTCCTGTCCGAGAACCCCCCTTCCTCTTCACCAGGTATGGGCTTCATAGCAATGGCAATCCACAAGGGGAATGATTTTCTTCAAACAAGACTCGTACATGCTCGTGCCCGCGGGAATTAGCAACCGGCAATGGCACTGTCGCTGGTGACATTTCGCATTTCTGCTACGCAAAGCACACGTTCTTGAGTTTCTTGGGTGGCTCCGAAGATGAGTGAGACATATCAAGGCTGGGGAACCGGACAACCGCTCATGACTGGAATGGAGATGGCTTTCTCTGGCAACGACGGCATTCACATGTAAGGGCTTTCTTTCTCTCGTCTTTTTTTCCTTAAAAAGGGCCCTCCCAGTCCAAGCGACGACTCGATTATTCTGCTTCCCTTCTTCCTCTCGTCTCTATCCATTCTTCTTCCCCTGCTTCGAGGACGACTCATCCTGACATTTTCTTCTGTTCTCATCTGTCTACTCCTCATTGCCATCTATCTCTCTTCTCTACCTCAACCTCTCTTCCGTCTTCTCTATATTGCACCATCTATCCCTCATATTTCTCTCACTCGTCAGGTTTGTAAGCAACCCCCCCTTGTCTAACGGTTAACCTAGTCCAGGAACAGGAAGCAACCGCCTCCACCCCGCCGATCCAGTCATTCTCTTCCTCTCCCCTCCATCCAAGATGCGCAACTTCTCCGACATGTCAGTCTGCCAGAAGGGCAATGTCCTCCTCACAGCCTCGGCCGTGACCCTCAAGAAGAAGCCGGCCAGGGTCCCGAAGCACAGAACCAAGAAGGCGTTTCGTTCGATCCATCACTGGCTATGCATGTGCTTTGGCGGGAAGGAGCGTATAGAAGCGGATGAGATGAGGAGGAGCATGATGAGTATCGAGAATGATAGGCTTCTAAACTCTTACCCCCGTTACCGCGATGACAACAACAACAACAACAACAACAACAGCAACAACAACAGCAACAACCGCCACGACAACTGTCAAGACGAGGAGGATGAAGATGACGATGAAGATGACGATGAAGATGACGATGATACCGTATTCGGCCAAGATGAGAATGACTGCTACCGCTCCGATGGTGGTCGTGACGTCTGGCTCGAGTATGCGGATGTCGCCGGAAAGGGGGAGAAGGCACAGACACAGGCCCAAGTCAAGAGGCCGTCATCTGGGGGCAGCGGCATCTTTAAGGAGAAGATTTCGTCTCCTAAGCATGCGGCCCGGTCTTTCCTGCATACCGTCACGGGGAGGAATGAGGGGAGGAAGATTGATGAGGAGAGTCAGAGGATGAAGCACGCGGGTTGGATCTGATTTTTTTTATTACTTTTTATTTTTATTTTAATGTTTTTGCATCCTTTGCCCCCCCCCGCCCCCCCCTTTCTTATGACTTGCTTTCTATTTGTTTTCTTTGTGTGCTTGTTTCTTCTGCGGCTTCATGACTGGACTATATTGGTATTGGTATCGGGTTTTTGCTGGGGGACTTTGAATGTCATTTCCATTTCCTTCTCTTGCTCTTTGCTCCCTTGGTCGTACGAATGACTTGATACATTCATGACTTGGACTTCCCGCACGCTTTCCTTAATCGTCTCATTCAGCTGGTATATTCCGTGCTACGTAGTGACTCTTATGTGTCCCATGTCCCCCGTATGTCTTTTGTGGCTGCTTTCTACTTCCACTTATATATAGCTGCCGGTCTCGTCGCCTTCTCCCACCTGCCCGTTGCCTTTCCTAGACGCCTGCGTCTTGCCTGCTACCAACTTACCTGACACTTCCCTTCAACAGGCAAACACGCAGTCATGCGTATGGTGTTGGCCTGAGGGATAAGTCGCCATTCTACGACGGGGAAGGCTTCCGCCCTTGTACCAGGCGTACGAGGGATCGGCTTGATACAAAATCCCAGAAGGCGCGGTCCCGGACGGCCATGTCTTGGGCTATACGGAGGCCAGGAGAGGAGAATGAGGATATCATTTCGTTGTGACCTCAAAATTTCAAGAGACACGGAGACACTATGAAGGATGACGCAAACTGTCTTCCGGGATGAATCATGCTTGGATAATCTTGGACACGAGATCTGTCGCCGCCAACGTCTCCTCGTCGCGGAAATGCTTGCCAACCAGTTGCAGTGAGATGGGTGCACCGACAAACTTCTCGGGCGAATCTATAGGTCCAATGCCATCATATCAGCTCTCTCTCTCTCTCTCTCCCTCTCCTTTTACCCCTTTCCTCTGACTTCTCGGCGTAGAGAAGAAAAGAGGGAGGACGGATCACTTACACATGTTATATTCCTCCTCATCTTCCGGAGATCTCGGCTTATACCCCTCCTCGACGGCATCCACGTTAGGGTCCTGCCTCAACCCCGTGGGGAAGGCAATAGCAGGCTGGTCAAGGATGTTCCAAGCAGAAGTATACCCAAAGTAGCGCGCTGATCCGAGCTCGGCTGCCACTCCGATATAGGCGGGGCAGAGGATGAAGTCGACGCCCCGGTCCTTCATGAGACGATGGTATCTGCGGGTGGAGAGGAGTATCAGATCAGCTTCGAAACTTTCCTCTCGTCCTCTTCTCCCCCCCGCCCCCCCCGCCCCCCCTTTCTTTTTGTTGTCATCAAGACTCAAGGAGAGAGAGTGGTGGGTTTCATGCTTACTCGGCTCTGTACTTCTCCCTCTCGATATTCAACTTCCAATTCTCCGTCACAGTAATCGGCTCCTTCCTGGCAAATTTGAAGGCAGACTCTGTCAGAGGGGCGATGGGCTCCCCGGTCTCGGCGAGGATGTCACGCTGCGTCTTGGCCGCGTCGGGAAAGTAGAGCGTCTTGATGAGTTCCCAGCCCTCGGCGTGATTGTACGGCTCAAAGTCGACGACCTTGACTCCTGCAGCCTTGAGCTTCCCGACTGCGTATTTCAGACCACGCGTGATGGGGGGGTGGGGATGTATGACTCTGAGACGCTCATACCAAGGTCAGTCGATCAACCTACCAACAGGTTTAACTCTAGAGGCAATCGCTGCATAGGGCCAAGAAGAGAGAGGGATGGGATGGAGGTGAGATGAGAAGAAGGAGATGGAAGGAGAAGCAAGCATACCCATCATCCTAGATGACACCAATTGTCACGTCGCTTGACTTGTAAGGGTCAACCCTCTTCCACGGGATAGGCACCAGCTCCGTCTCCTCCTCCCAGGGCTCCTGGTCAAGAAGGGCCCTCTGGAGGAGGTCGATGTCCCTGGTGTCGTTCGCCAGGGGGGACACGACGCAGCGGATGCTCTCCTGCCCGGGGCCGGCCGCGAAAATACCCTTGCACGGATTGCGGAGGGCCGTGGTCCGGAGCCCGTACGCGCCGCAGTGGGCTGCCGGGCAGCGTACCGATCCTCCAATGTCGCTCCCGATGCCCATGACGGAGCAGCGGTATCCCAGACTGGCCCCCTCGCCACCACTGGAGCCACCGGGGCTGAGTGTTCGATTGTACGGGTTGACCGTCGTGCCGTGAATGAAGTTTGAGCAGTCAAGGTGCTATTTGCGTGTGTACGTGTTTTGGCCAACATCAGCAAACATGTCCCACCGTCTTTCGTCTTCCTTTCACCTACCTACGGAAGGGACGAGAAGAAGGGGAAAGAGAAGAAAGAGAAAAGAAACGAAAAGAAAGAAAGAAAGAAACAAGAGAAGGAGTCTTACCATCAGGCTCTGCGGCTCGTTAGTACGCACGTGGAACACGGCCCCCGCGGCACCTAGGAGCCTGAGGATGAGCGCATCCTTACCGGCCACGTTGTCCGTCCAGGCGGTATAGCCGGCGTGGCAGATGCGGCCCTTGATGCCGATATGTTCCTTGACCGAGATGGGCAGGCCGTGCAGCGGGCCGACGAGCTCCCCCGTGCCCCTGAAGTGCTCGTCCAGCTCGGCCGCCTTGGCGAGGGCGTCGTCGACCAGGAACTCGGTCGCCAGGTTGAGGAGCTGGTGGCCGATGTGGGCACGCTTGAGGAATGCGGTGACCACCTCGACGGCGGTCAGCTTGCCGGCACCCATCTGCGACACGAGGTCGACGCCGCTCGTGGCCGTCATCTCCAGCTCGGCGGGCGTCAGCATCCCGCACGTCTCGATGAAGGACATGACGTCTAGCTGCTCTGCTGGGGGGAGCTTATCCAGGGCCACGAGCCATGCCGGGTTCAGCGATTTGGCCGTCATCTCCTGGCATTTCTTTGCCCGAGCTCTCCAGGTCAGCTCGGTCATGGTGTCGTCGTAAGGATGGAGAGGTGATGTATAGAGGAGCTTTCATCTGTATCTTCCTGTTTGTCCGGAAACAGATTGATGTGACATGTTCCCGGATTGTAAGCACGAAAAAAAAAGGGACCTTATATGTCTTCTATCGATTCATCAATTGGCTTACATGCACGGATTTCTCTTTTCCTATATCACTTCAACGGCAGAACGTCCCACACATTGATCAAGGAGGCCAATGGGATGTATTTACGCGACAGATATCAACGTGCTCGTAAGTCAAGCACATGTGAACCCCTCTCGTCTTCCGCGAACCACCCGATAGCATAGCTCGGGGCGTGATAGGAAGGGGGGGAGGAGGCGGCACGTTGCATATGATATTACACAGGGTAGTAGTCGCAACAGGAACGTCAATACCGATCACACCACCGTTTGTGATCTCTCCGGCCGTGATGATGCATGAGAGCTGATGAGCATGCATACATGATACTACCCAGCAATGCACGCACTCCTACTATTGCCCGTTCTCCTGTATTACCCCGTATGTGCTTTCTCTGTGGATCCAGATGTTACCCGGCCATTGGATGTCTTCTCTCTTTATCATGTTGGTTCCGCAGGATTCGGCATCTCTCGTAAAACGTCATGATTGGACACGCGTGTCAGTATATATATCCCCCGGCCTGGAAATTGCGATAGCAGACAAGGAACTGCCGCGACCGTTGTGTTTCCTAGGATCTAATCTCCACTCTTCCACGCTCGCTGTTCCCCGTGAAAGATATCATAATGCACATGCATGCCCGGGGGGATAGGAGACCGCCGAGGGGGGGGGGGGGGGGGGGGGGTGTGGGGGGGGGGGGGGGGGGGGGGGGGGGGGGCATGTTCTTTGAGGTTGAGGATGATTCGTCGTTGCTCCGTATTCATATATATAGGCAACGTTATCTTGGAAAGAGATCGGAGGAGGCCGGAGACTTGAAATTGGTTGCGAGTTAAAGAAAAGCCGGCCTTTCTGTTCTTCTCGTTTCTGCTTCCTTGCTCAAAGAAAGTCACCGGTTCAATTTTGACGTGGATGGATATGGTATTTGTGAAAACAATGCCGTCAACTTGGACATCGCCACACGGACATCGTGACTGGATCCCCGGAACAGTCCACCTAGTCGACTTGGATAGTACGGTTCACGCTCGACACGCTGGAGGCCATAATAAAGATGTCTTTCTTGTACCGAAGCCGTCTGATGATCCGGACGACCCTCTCAATTGGAGTCCGTCGAGGAAGATGACATTTCTCGTTTGTCTCTTCATGTAAGTCAAAACCCTCTGCTTTCTTCAGTGTCCCTGTTTTCGAATACCTTCAATGCTATCCTCAAGAACACACATGATACCCGGAAGCTGAGAGACGAGAATCACTTGCACAGATATATACTTGCTGTCGGAATCGCTTCTGCAGCTATATACTCGGTCCTTGTCCCCATATCGTCAGCCACCGACCTCACCGTTGATGACCTCAACAGGGGGACGGGGTACATGTTCCTGACTTTCGGCTGGGGCTGTCTGGTCTGGCAGCCCATGGCCCAGAGGATGGGGAAACGTCCAACCTACCTGCTCTCGCTGTTGGCAACCATGGTCCGTCTGAGCGCCTCCCCCCCCCTCTCATCTTCAAGACGCGTACCGTCATCAACGGGCTGATGCAGTGGTGGTGAGTGGTGAGCAGGCAATCATGATCTGGGCCCCGTATGCGACCACCAAGGCTCAGTGGATCGCCAACAAGGTCCTCCAGGGATTTGTGGGAGCTCCTATCGAATCTCTCTGCGAGATCTCAGTCTCTGACGTTGTATGTGAGTTTCCATCCTAGATGAGCGACATTGATAGCTCACCACCTTCGGAAATCAGTACTTTACCCATGAGAGGGGGACTTACCTAGGTGTCTATTCATTTGCTCTTCTGGGCAGCAACTTCTTTGCTCCCCTTATTTCTGGCTTTATCAATGACGGCCAGGGGTGGAAATGGGTCTTGGTACGTTCCCCCCCCCCCTTTTTTTTTTTTTTTCCACCTCCGGAAGGTTCATTTTTACTGACATTCCGGACCCCAGTTCTGGTGCGCCATATTCTGCGGCGGTGGCTTCATCATCTGTTTCCTCTTCATGGAAGAAACCAATTATATTCGTGCGCCGTTGATCGTGACCGAGGCCGAAGAGTGCCGGGGGGGAGACGAGGCGGCTGGTGGCGCCGCGGCAGAAACAAAGGACACCGCAGGAGGGGAGAAGGAGACGAAGCAGACGGCGGCCTCCCCGTGCAGCGGATCAGACGTGGAGGGCAACACAGAGGCGCTCCCCCTGCGCTCGACAAAGACTTGGCGGCAGAAGATGAGGCTCTACGCATCCGAGCACGGCGCGACCAACTCGCAGATCCTAGGCATGGTCACCCGCCCGCTAGTCCTCTTTACGTTCCCCGCCGTCCTCTTCTCCGGCTTCATGTACGGTTCCGTGCTGTGCTACTTCAATGTCCTCAACGGCACCGCATCGCTCGTCTTGTCCGAGCCCCCGTACAGCTTCTCGTCCAGTATGGTCGGGCTCACGTATATTTCCTGCATCGCAGGCACCGTCATCGGGTGAGCGCTCAGCTGCGAATTCCGCGTGAGGGGAGTGCTCGCGTCTCTGATCAGGTGTTTTCAGGACCCTCTACTCCGGTATACTTGGCGACAGGCTGCTCCTGTGGAAGGCCCGACGCAACCGTGGCGTCATGGAGGCCGAGCACCGCCTGTGGCTCTACGCCAGCCTCCTCGTCGCCACCCCCGCAGGGCTTATCCTCTGGGGCGTCGGGGCCGCTCACGAGGTGCACTGGTTCGGCCCCGTCTTCGCCATGGCCATGCTTGGCGCATCCTGCGTCGTCGGGTGCCAGGTGCCCATCGCGTACTGCATCGACGCCTACAAGGACCTCAGCGCTGACGCCATGGTGACGGTCATCTGCATACGGAACACCATGAGCTTTGCCATAGGATATGGGTATGTCAACACATCCAGCCGTCGTCATGGACTGTACACAGCTGAGGCGTGTACCTCGAGGGGGCATGGCGATACGGCATGCTGACTGTGAATGATGCAGAATAACGCCTTGGGTGACCAACATGGGCTACCAGAATGCCTTCATCGTATGCGCCTTCGCGAGTCTGGCACAGCTATCTCTATTCCTGGTCTTCATCAAGTGGGGGAAGAGGTTGCGTGAGGCCAGCAGGCCGAGGTACCTGAAGTTTCTCGAGGACGTGGAGAAGGAGGGCAACTCCCATTAGAACCATGTGCGTGTACTCTTGAGCCATACGAGGTGGAGAGGGTGTGCGTGTGTGTCTAGCAGGCCATCCATTACAGTCAGTTCCGGAATCTATACGCTTGATAATTGGTGACCCATGGTTCCGATGTTACGCCTCCCGTGAGGCGGTGGCCGAGTGAGGGTCATGACGGGGATGACGACGACGGCGATGAAGGGACGAGATGATCGTCGAGCTCGTCGCGCAGCCCCGCGAGCGAACCGTTCATCTCGGCCTTGCCCTCGCGTGGGAGTAGCTCGTCCATCTTCCGGCATCGCTGTAACTGCAGGATCAAGGGGGTTCTCAATCATCGGAAGAGCGGTGGGTATCGTTGGGATCGAGCTTGTCACATCATGGTGGGACTGTTCATGCCATGTCCCCATCCAACCTCGTGGCTTTTCTCGATAGAGTCGGAGGCGGGGTTGAGTCGGTTGGCGATCCATCAGGCTTGTATCGCGTGAGTGACGTGACGGGCCGATGTAATATGGGAAGGAACATCGAAATCCCGTCCCGCAGCCTTCCCCTCGAACATCACGTCAGACAACTAGTCTACAACGGCCCCTCCTCATGAACGGGCAGACGAGTCAAGCATTACTCGGGATGAGGGTGAGAATGCCGTCTAGGATAAGAAATCCTACCGGTAATACTTGGACTGACATTAGTACGACGCTAGCATGAGTACTAGTAGATCCTTAGTAGTAGCAGTACAGATCCGTAATCTGTAGTTGTATCATGGCAGATTGCCTGGCGGATCAATACATCAATACATGATAATATCACACGTAATAATATTATATTACATATGACAGATGTCAGTAATACACGTCACAGAACGGCTTCGATGGTGTCAGCCGGGGGGCCGTGAGCCCAGTTGAAGTCTTAGTATTATTCCAGCCCCATTGAGGCTCCTAAAGTCGCAAGGTGACAAGGTCCGAGGAAGGGTCAAGGCAGAAATCCCGCTGGCTTATGTAGCCTGTAGGACAAACCCAATGAAAATTAGGGAAGGAGCGGCCGAAAGTGGGGTTGAGGCAGTTCCTTCCAGACTTGCCTTGGAAGGTTCTTTCGTGCATGCAGCACATGATCGCGATGATGACACGATATGCATCTTGCTGCTTATCCCCTTGTCCCCCGTATGGCGAGCTATTCCCTCGCATCTCGTTGGCTGCATCAGATTACTACCGGAGTTCGCGAGGGACACTTATCGCCAAGCATGCATCAAACCTCCACCGTGTTATCAACTGCCAACCGAGTCGCACGCTTCTCCCGAACAGTCGGGACCCGTCTCTCCATGGTCCCAGAAAGCACGCACAGCACCATGACTCGTTTTGCCAGTGGAAAACATGGCGACCATGTGACAGACGAGATCTCCACGTCTGCCTGGCTGAGCTACGACTCGCGGTGATACCCCACCGGCCACGCCGACTACGGCATGGGTAATGGGAGGAGACTCGCACTCATAGGAGAAAGCAACCGGAGCCTGCGTGCATGCCTCGCCCTGCAACTATGGGCCATGGGGTCATGGCCCGTGGCCCATCCATGATCCCAAGCACCGCTCCCAAAGGATCTGCGCTGCACAGGACTGAACTTGCCACATTGGGTAAGCCTCAAGGGCGCACTCCACAGCCTTGGTTTTTCGACTGCGGCTGCGCCGTGTGCGTGGGCCGCCCAGTCTTGATTCACTGGCCTCTTGGGTCCGAGTCTGGTTTGTCGCCGCCAGTCTGTCGAAGCATGCCGCACGAGTAAGCTGAGTAGATTGACCGTGGCAGGTCCCTTTGTTCATGGCTCCATGTAATATTGATATGATGACTTAGGACTTGTGAGCTATCGCGACGTGCTAGTCTGTAGTCCCCGTACCGACGACTGTCATACTAGGACGTGCCATTCGTTCCCACTGACTCGGTCGGACGCTAGAATAGCCTACGTTAGCAGCTTTACATCCTCGTCGAGAAGGCTCCCACTACCGCGTCGTTACTTGCTTGAATGCTCATAACACGCCGCCTCGCCTCGTCGTTTTACCTCGCTTCGTCTGCTCTTGATTGATGACCCAGCCGTAATAGCGACGAATACCATGACAGAATCAACGCCACGACAACGAAATCTGCTCTCGCATTGATGCACTCTCCCCGCTCTTTGCGACAAAGGACGTCCAACACACCACCAGTGCCCACCACCTTTTTTCTTTTCTTTTTATGAAAGAGCCATACACTTTCTCTCTTTTGTTCCCTTCCCTCGTGACGCACACGGGCCATCGAGTCGGTGCTGCCTATTGTTCGAGTGTTATTGTTGCTTCAATACTCCTCAATATATACCCCGCCTCGTTTGTTCATTGATGACACGCCCTGCTTCGTGGAGCAGTTGCCGATCCGCCCGAGCTCAATAGCAACCTCATCGTCAGTGCGGATCAGCATTGTTGAATGTCGGCACGCATTCACGACTGAGCGCACAGCTCGATCATACACAAGAAAGAAGAAAAACCGAGAAAAAAAGAGGAGAGACAGCTTCTACTGTAGATTTGTCCTTTCAAACATCAATTCAATCCTTCTACGCGGCTGCGTGGCCAAACTCACAGACGGCTCACTATGCGGACAAGAACCATGGAATCACCGCACAAGGCTGCTGCCCATGGCGACATGGATGGTCAATCATCGGATGACACTTCCTCCTGCTACGACGAGTTTGAGTTGGACAACATCGAAATGGGGCAGCCGTCTCTGTCACAATCGCCGCCTGCAGTCAACGACTCCAAGACAAAGCCGGTTCCCCACATCAGCCGCCTCTCGCATGCCCTCTCAACCCGCAGCCATCGTCGGCCCGACATTGCCAAGAACCACAAGAGAGGGCATCCACGCAAAGCTCCCGAGATGCTGAGCCCTCCCGACACCGGAATGCACCCATGGATGCCTCCCGCAGCCCGGAAAAGACTGCTCGGCGCCGGCGCCCCTCCTTCGCCTGGAGGCTTCAGCATGAACGGCCCCGTACCTCCGCGCATCTCCTCCCTAGGTGTCACTCCGGGAAGCTCGTCATTCTACCATGCCGCCCTGCGGGGGAACTCCCTATCGAAGGATGACGGCGACGACCTCTACCACGCTTCCCTCCGCGAGGAGGACCAATCGAAGAATAGTGACGATGACCCCGACAGCCTCGACGGTTTATCCGAGGATGTATACGATGGGTATGAAGAGCCAGACTTCTCTTCAAACTTGGTCCCCAACCACCAGGACCAAAATATGCCGACAGGTTGGGCCACATCGCTCCGCGAGCTTGTTGATGAGACAAACCGCATCATCAAAGACGCCGCCAGCTTATCCACTGCCCACACATCCAGCGACATGGACAGCAGACCAGCACCCGAGGATGTGATATATGGAACGATCCCCGACGCAAATGCTCGTCTCGCCCCCAGTCCACTTGCTCTCAGAAGGCCGAGGTCATCCTACCTCTCTGACCTCAAGTACACGTCGCCAGCGTCCCCGCCCAGTAGGGCGCCCAAACATTCCCGATCGGCTACCATATCGGCGGACATCAACCGGAACGAACCGACTGCGTTTACACCACCACCCGGGCGCCCACGGGGAGTGTCATCGCCGGTGCAGTCCGGTCCGCGGTACCACCACACTAGGGAGGCATCCCTCCTCAGCGTCGCCGTGCCGTCGGAGCCCATGCGCTCGTCTCCCAGGGTACCGGCATTGGGATCTAGCACCATCATGACCAAGGTGCAGAGGCACACCTCTACGCGTCTCAGACGTCCGTCGAGGGCGTCGAAATGGGCCATGCCGGAGAATATGACAGAGATTCTCAACGGCAATGTCTTTAGGCGGGCCGAGGTCGATGAGCTGCTCACGCCCAAGCAACTGGAGCTGCTGAAGCTGCGCCGTGAACTAGCCCAGCGCACCGTACCGAGCGCAGAGACGTCTGACTCGCGTACATCGTACCGGGCAGCCCCCTCACCGAACCTGGAGCTCGTTGAAGAAGATGGCACCAGAAGGGAACATCAGAGAAGTACGTCTGCACCGAGCAGCGGCAGCGTGGCTGTCCAGGAGTGCGAGCTCTCCAGGACAGCGGGAAGCCCAGTGGTGCCAGAAGAACAGAGTCCACCTCCGCCGCCGCCCAAGAACCCCAGACGATTCAGGGGACGATCCAAGGAACACTCTCCTGTCCCTGACCTATCCGGTAGCCCGGCAAGTGTCAGCAGCGCGGAAGTTCCAGGAAGCCCGTCGACGCTCGCACCGGATGGCGACGACAGTTGTGTCCACCTCAACAGCACGCCGTTCTCGGCTCTGACCCCCGGGTTCCGCCACGGCACCATCGCCCTGACCAAGCGCAGCAAGAGGGTGGTGCCGGGGCTCTACAGCATAGACGAGAAGGCGGAGTGGACAGCCTTCCAGATGGCTATGCTCGGCTCGTGGGACTTGAACCCGGACGATCTTGACGACAGTGACGGCAAGCTGGCTGGCGACCTAGCCGAGTGGATGGGCGACCTCGGATTCGAGACGCACGGTGGACTGGTCAGCCAGGCCCCGCATCAGCAGAGCTCCAGGTCGCCGGACCGACGGTCACAGGCGACCATCTCTTCGTCGTCGGAATCGTCGGTCAGAAGCGGCCTCTCGGCCGACAGCCGCCACTTTCACGACCACGCGACCCGACTCTCCCTCGCCGGCAATGAGAGGTACGTCCGGTGGCCAGGGGAAGACGGCCTCAAGTCTGTCGACGACGAGCTGCGCGTGGTAGGACACGACATCGTCGACGGCATGGCGCTACCGGAGAAAGGGCCGACGACGAACCTCGAGCAGGACCTGAGCGACTTTCTCCAGTGGAAAGCGCAGTATGTGTATAGCCCGGGCTATGCCGAGTAGCATGCGTCTTTCCTTTGATCCTGCCTTTCTCTCTCTCTTCCTCTCTCTCTTCCTCTCTCTTCTTATTTTCTCTTCAGAGAGTATATATTTCAGATCCGTGACTTGGCTTGCGGATCCTTCCTTTTATCAGTTATGACGACGTACACAGGATGGATGGATCCGTCACTTTTCCTGTATGGACACGGGGAATGAAGGATTTCTTTTTGCTCAAAGAGATGGCTAGGGATGGTGTGACGATACCTGTAGCAAAGCCTTGTTGTATATGCTTGGTTTAGTAAACATTCGGTAAAATATGAATTTAAAAATATCTATTCTCCTCTTGGCCTTCAAACTGGTCCTTTACCGTAACCTTACTTTCTTCAAGTGAATGGTGGTGTGCGGGCAAGTCCCTCGCGGGTTTGATGGCGCCAGTATCATTCGTATAGTAAGGATTATTAATATTACCACCTAATAATATCTGGGGAGGGGTTTCAACCAGACCAGGGACCCCCGGCGCATGACCGTCGCGACGACACGCTTTCTGGATCTGAGCACCTCAAAACAATCACTTTACACGTAAGAAGAATAATATACAACGCACAACACGCTCGACCACGCGCTCGACCACATTCAAGGGTAATATCGCCCTCATCAAACGCACAATACACACACATACACACACACACACACAATCACAACCACTATAACTACTGAATTTGAAACACCTTCCCTTGATCAATATAACCTCAGACTGGGGACGGAAGGAGAGGAGGATAAAGAGCCCCAAGACGCAATGCTTCGCCGGCCAGCAACGACCCTCCAAATCACGTCCGAGGACATTGCCGCCTATGAGGACAGAAGAGCACGCGAACAAGCCCAACTGGCCGTTGAGAAGCAGCAGCAGCAGCAGCAGCAGCAGCAGCAGCAAGGTGGTCCTGATAGCGGTGAGGATGCAGAAGAGCAGCTGAGACGAGCTAGGGAGGAGAGAATTGGGGTGGCGAGGAGGCAGCAGAGGAGGGGTTAAGTCTTGGGGTTCTATGATCTTTTTTTCCCCCTCATTGTCTCTTCTGCAAAAGTCAAGGGACTCTTTTTGGTGATTGTTTCAATAAAAGATGGTTGTTCAATCGAGGACTCTATAGATTACATGTACAAATAGAACTAGCCTGGGAAGAGAAAAAAAGATGAAAGAAAAAAACTTCCCATAACCCACCTTGGAATGCTGGTATGCTGTTCTTTTTTTTTTTTTTCTCGGGGGAGGGAGGGGAGGGATGATGAGGAGGAAAGGGAGAATAAGATAAGAAGACAAAGGGGGGGGGGGAGAAGAAAAATCCTTCTTTATCGCTCTCTTGCCAAATATACCCAGATGAATACGGCCATCCACGCCACTCTCCACGTTGTAGTCCACATCTCGCGGACGGCAACGCTGACAGCTCTCCTCCTGTCATTTACGCCTTCGGCTCCGGTGTCGTACAAGGCCTCTCGGACGTTGATGCGCGGGCCTACGCCCATGGCTGCTGCGGTCCTGCTCCTCGTCCCCAGCGACTGGTTCTGCCACCGGCCCTTGGCCGTGAGCGACGAGCTGCGCGTTCTCACGGTCCACGACGACGACGACACGCCGCGACCCTTGCCCGATCGCACGTCGGGGGGGTCCAGCTTGTCCTTGTCGCGCGCCGTGGTGCCTACGCTGGCTATGGGCAGGATGGAGGAGGAGGAGGCGGGAACGCCACCGCCGGAGATGGTAGCCACATCTTCCGGTCCGAGCGCAAACGGCTGGAGGTTGAGGACGGGGACGAGGACGGAGCGCACGGCCAGGACGACGAGGGAGAAGACCATGAAGCCGATGTACTTGACGTACGTGTGCACCTGGTTAGGCAGGAGGCACAGGTGCGTCTGGAGGGTCTCGACCGGCGCCCCGGGGAGGGTGTTGCCCTTGTCGTCGACGGGGTTGTACAGGCTCACCATGAGGAATCCGGGGGTGGGCACGCCCATGGCCATGCTGAGGCTCTTGACGGTGATCTCGCGCACGCCGCTGCGGCTGCTGCTGCCCGACCGCGCGTGCACCACCTCGCAGTAGTCGTGGTCGTCTCCTGAGAAGACGTGGACGACGTTGCCCACCTTGTCGAGGAGCTTGGCCGAGTCGGCCTCGCCCAGGACGTTCTGGTACTGGTACCCGGACGAGACCGAGATGGCGTTGCGGTGGTCCGGCTTGACGGCCTTCGTCTGGCCCGTCGGCGGCTCCGTCGGCGGCCAGTGCTCGCGCTTGGGTCCGCAGGGCGTCCCCGGCTCGCGCCACAGGGGTACGTGCGTGAGCAGGATGGTCGGCAGGTCGGCCGTGACCGAGAGCGACTCCTGCCCGCGCCGCGGGAAGTCGGACAGGTCTGCGCCCTGGAGGTCCTCTATGCGGTGGGGGAAGCGCCTGTCGCCGCCGGCCGCCCCCTCGTACCACACGTCCAGCTCGTCCTGTACGGCCCTGCGCTTGGCGGCCTTGACCCCGTCGAGGAAGCGGTTGACGGGTCCGTGTATGGGCGTCAGGTCGTGCTCGGCCCCGTACTCGGACGAGTCGGCGCTGAGCGACACCGTGTCCACCGACACGATGCTGTGGTTGCCCACCACGTCGATGCGGTTGACGTCGCCGAAGAAGGCCTCGAACCGGTCCCGCACCGGCACCTGCACCTGCGCGCCGAAGCCCAGGTCGTGGTTCCCCGGCAGGCTGGCCACCAGCTTGCGCCCGCGCTGGTAGGGGCGGACGCCGCCGACGCTGTCCCCGTCGTTGAAGTGGTCGAAGAAGATGGATGCGAAACGCTGGTACTCGCGCATCCAGTAGCCCTGCCCGTACTTGCGATGCCAGGTGTCGACCCAGCCGGCCTCCTCGCGCGACCGGCCCTTGCCCCATTTGGGGTCGACGAAGTGGCCGCTGGCCGTCTTCCACTCGCGCCCGCCGTCAAACAGATCGCCGAGGAAGAAGACGCTATCGGGTCGAAGCTGCGTCTGGATCGCCTTGTACCCGCGCAGGAGGTAGTTGTCGGTTATGAGCCTCGTCAGCGACGACAGCGGCCACGGTCGGCCGGGGTAGCTGTGCGGGTCGATGATTTGCGGATCGGCCACGAAGACGAGGTGATGAGGGTGAGCTCCTCTAGGCTACGGTATTCGGGTGAGGTTTTTTTTTTCTCTCGTCAGTTTTTTCGTGTCAAGGGGGAGAGAGGAGAAGGGCATATACTCGTATCAACATACCCAGTCCTCCCAGTTGTGCCAAGCGCAGTCATCGACTTTGCTCTCAAATACCCACCGCTCCCCCCACAGCAAGATGACGAGCCAGAAGACCACCAGTACATGCGGAAAGCTGAGAAGTCGCCGCGCCTGTACATTGATCCTGAGGCGGTGCAGCACCTTCGCCGTCACCGCGGTCGCCTTCTGCCTCCCCGGTCCCCGTGCGTAGTGCCACACCGACGTAGTCCACCTCTTGAGCTGGAGTGCCGCATCGTCGGCCAACGAAGACTTGTCGTACCGCCGAGACATGACCGTCTGCGCGCTCAGTCGGGGGGGTTTTTTTTTCTTCGTTTTTTCTTCCTCGTGTAAGCATTCACACACAATAGTTCGTGTCGTGTCGTGTCGTGTCCCGGCCTCCGTTTCTCCTCTCCCGTCCTCCCGCGTCTCTCCCGTTTTATTTCTTGCTCTCCCTCCAGAACTTGTCCCCCAGCCCTGTCGTTCTCTGTCGTGTCTTCCCGGTTGTTGATTCTGTACACTTCCTCTGTTCGAGGATGAACAGTATTATTACCGTAGTCGCCGCGGTTGAATCGGATCTGTTGGGAATGAGTCTGAAGATTGTGCCTGGAGGGGAGTTTCGCTGTCGTCTCTGATAAAATGGAGCTGTCTATGTAGCTCCCAATCTCCAGACTCCTCCATCCAGTCCGGGTCCCCATCGCCCCTGCAGCTCCAGGGCCCAACACGCCAGGTGATACCTCTAAAAAAAGAAGTGTACGTCCCTGGGAGTCTTTTAGCGGAGCTCCTACGACGTAATAAGTTATAATAGGGGGGGGGAGGGGCTACAGCCTACATGTACATGCATGCCCCCCCGCCCGGTTGCCCTGTAGTCAGAGCCTTGTTGAACCGATTTTTCCACTGGCTATTCCAACTTGTTAGAGCTCGAAATCGTCTAGTTGGTTTATGGCGCCAGACTGTAACTGAATAGTGTATTATCTGGATGTCCGCGGTTCGAATCCGCGTTTCGAGATTTTCTTTTTGTATTTTTCGTCTTTCCAACTTTTTTATTTTGTATACAGATTACTCATTTCGTACTTCATTTCGTAATATATATAAATCACATTTGTTTTCTCCTCATTACTCTTCTATGGTTTCGTCCAAGTCTTCACTTTCTCACAAGAAACAGTCAAACCGCCGGTATACTTTATGCTTCCACTATCAACCGTTTTTGCAGTATAGGTTCGTCTCTTTTTTTTTTTTGCATGCATTCACCCAAACAGCTACCGATGCTTAAACCGATGCTTAGACTCCAAAAATTCAATTTAATCCACACACAAACTCCGCGGTCTCAAACGCATGCATCCACAATCTCATGAAAGAAAAAGAAAAAAGGGGGGGGAAAAACCCATCCTGTTGAAACGAGCTCAGTACCGTTGGCCCTGGTATAGTTCATCATCCACCGCTAGCTCGTCGTCATCATATCCCTGCTGCCTCTGCTCCTCCTCCTTCGCCCTAGCCTTGCTCCTCAGACTGAGAAACCTCTTGATACCGGTAGGCCTCTTCTCCTGCTGCGGCTGCTCCTGCTGCGGCCGCTCCTGCTCCTGCTGCGGCTGCTCCTGCTGCGGCTGCGGCTGCTCAGCTTTCGGCTCCGAAATCCGATCCGCCTCGGGGGAATAGTCAAAGTCCAACTTTGGCACCAGCAGCCTGTAGGGCACTGTGATACCCGTGGGGTCTCTGGGGTTGACCTCCACGTTGAGGCAGATATCCAGGCCACCCTCGAGATTGACCTCGTAGTCATCCGCGTTGCGCATCTGCTTCGCCGACAGGCCCGTGGGCGTGCGGTGGAAAGGCCTGGGCGCAGGGGTGGGGCCTTGCGCCACGGATCCGTACGGGTCGTAGCTCGTGGGCTTGGAGCCCACGGTGTAGGACCGCTGCGGTGGGCGGGCGGTGAATCGGGCTTCGTCGCCCACGGAAAATTCGTCGTAGGCTGCGCCTCCGCGGAGGGTGACATGCTGCGAGCCGGCGCGGGTGTGACGTCTCTCGAGGTGGTAGTCGTCGCCGTTTGCCGGCTCTTGGTCATCTCTCCGACGCCAGTTGGCCGCGGCGTCAACGTAGTTGTCCGCCTGGCTCTGGCTGTTGCGGCGCCCGAAACTGAAGCCTCGGCCGCGCTTTTCCAGGTCGGGGCCACCCGAGGATACGGTGCGGGTCAGCGTAGCCGGCCTCTCGTTCTCGCTGGTCGACTTGCGCCGGCGTGACAGGCTGCGCGACAGGCTGCGGAAGATTCCCCCGCCGTGGCCACTGTTAGAGATGGGCGGGCGAGAGGAGGCACGCACCGAATCCCGGGACATGTTGGGCCTCGATGAGCTGCCCAGGGACAGACGTCGTAGGAGGCCGCTGCCGGAGGCATTGCCCGACGGTAGCGGGCTCGCGCTCCTCTCCGACAGTGGCGGCGTGGGCGGCGGCGTGTTACCTGGAGCCCACTGGCGGATGGAGCACCAGTTGCGGTGCGGTAGCAGACGCTGGTTCTTCCTGGGTCGGCCGTCTACGCCGTGCCTGAACATGAGGATCATGCTCTCTTCCGTCTTCCTGTCGAACTCGTACGTCTTGTGGCGCTTGTTGAGGGCGTCGGCCAGGATTCCGGGCGGAGGCATGTTGGCGATCCCCGACGAGATGACGTTGGGCATGTAGCGCGGGTCCTTGTGCTTAGCTAGCCCAAGCTTAGGGTCGGAACAGAATTGGCCCACAGCTGCCATGTTAACGTCGCCACTGAGAATCGTGATGCGGAGCGACTTGTCGATGGCCAGGTCCTGCAGGTCCTCGATGACAATCTTCCTCTCGTCCATGTGGTTCTTGGCCGTCCAGTGATCTCTCAGGTCATCCATCATCTCAAAACCTCCATCAAGGTTGTTCAGGGTCTTGCCCAGGAGGCCTCTTTTACCGAGAGCCTTGATCGGGTTGATTGCCCTTGATTTGAGCCTGCAGCGCACGGGATGGATGATTAGCGAAGGCATGCACACACACACACACACACACACACACACACACACACAAATGACAGGAGTCGAGAGCTTACACATTCTCCAACCAGGCCACCCTGGGGTAGGCAATCGGGACCGGCAACACGACGAGCAGATGCTCGACATGTCCACGCTTCAACTCGGCATACAGTCGGTCCATGACTCTCTCCCAGGTCTTGTCGAAGATGACGTCATCCTCCGTCCGCTCCGTGCGGCAGTCGGCAGCCAGCAAGGCGACCTTGGGACCCAACGAGACGAAGACGTTGTGCGCCAGTTCATTTACATAGGGCCCGGGCTCGCTGCCGAGGATCCAGCTGGGCTCCGATTCCTCCGTCTCGGGGATGATGCTCTGGTGCTGGAAGAGCATGTAGTACTTGAAGGACACGGCGCCCACGCCCGACAGCACCGGAGATCTCATGTCTTGGTGGGGATACGAGCCGAATCCGTTGAACGTCTCGCGGTCCGACCAGATGTTGACCATGGGTATCTGCGAGTTGGCCAGGCCAAACATGCCCCTGGAGAACCACGTGCAGTAGCGCCGGAAGTAGAAGGACTCTACCTGGGCCTGCAGGTCCGGTGTGAAGGGGGCGCTGCGCTTCACCTCCGCGTCCCTAATCTCCAGCCAGTCGATGAACAGGTCGCACTCGTCGGCCACATCGTCGTTATAGATCTGGTCTCCGCCGCCAACCATGACGTGGAAGGGCGATATCTGGTGGGTGTTCAGAACATCGCGCCACATCGGGTCCGGTCCGCTCAGGTCATCTGGCTGAACGCCCATGCTGAAGCCGTTGCAGCTGTGGAACATGACATGCATGTCCTCGCCCTTGGCGGGCACCCAAAAGGCGTTGGCCGGTCCGCGGTTGATGCGGTAGGCGATGCGCTGCTGCTTGTCTCGCAGCTCCACCTCAATGTTGAACCTCCAAAAGGTGCTGCCCTGCTCGGCATGCAGTCGGAATCCCAGCACATCCTTGTAGCGGTGGAGCTTTTCGCCGTCCACGTCTGCGCGCTTGATGCGGCACGCGAAGCTTCCGGGGAAGTCAGTCGAGCCATCGGCGGAGGCTCCGTCAAAGGTACTCTTTGTCGACTCGAAGAGACCGTTCTCGGTCTCGTCCTGGGACAGGTCCCTTCCCTCGGCAAGGTGCTCGACGGGACGCAAGAACAGCGTCTCGCCTCTACGACCCAACTTTGGGTGTCCCGCGATGGGGTCGACATACTCGGGAGGCAGCTCGCCGCGAATATCGTGGGGCGGGGCGGGGAGTGTCTCCATATCCTGGACAAAGAGGCGAAGCGTCGGGTTCACTTCGTAGGACGAATCCGAGTCCTTGGTGACAATCATGATGCTTCCCCTCCAGATCTCCTTGTCAGCGGCTGGTCCGATTCTTGATCTAGACATGTCTCTTTCGCGACGCAAGCCCGAATATCTCACGAGGGGGCCGCAGTCGAGGTACAGCGGCGGCTTGAACCGGCTCGGGACTAGGAAAGATGTCAGCAACAACGGCCCCTTCAATAAATGTTGGCTATTTCTTACCACTCCAGTTTCTCATCTCCATATCGTACACGTCATTATTTGGCCGGGTCGGGTACGAGCAGCCGACCCTCCGAGACTGGCTCCTATCCTCGACATTAACCCCCTCTCTTCCCACGTCCAACAGGAAACCGCCTAGAAGGCCGACCTGGGCTCGCTTCCAATCATCCAGCCATCGAGGTGGCCTGTACAGACCGCCCTGGTGGTGACCTGTGCTGCGCGCGCGGCTGAGGGAGCCCTTGGATCCGTAGCCTTCGCCATGCACCTCGAGTTTATCGGGGCGCGTCGGGGCATCGAGCTGGATGGCTGGCTTACGTTCCTTACGCTCTGTTGGCACCTGCCTGCGCTGGGTAGCCTCACTACCTTCGGGGTAATACTGCGCATTTCTGTTGGGCTGGGCCCTGTGAGCAGGTTCCGTTGCTCGTCTCTGGATGCGTGGAGCTTCTCTGCCTCCGCCGTTGGAAACCTCTCTCGCCTCTCTCGGCTCGGGAGGGAGTTCCTTGTCTCGCGTCCGCGCGGACAGCGATTCGCCACGCTTAACGGCTGCTGCTGCGGTCGTGGAATCCCGTCTCGACGGTTTAGGCTGCGCTCTGTATCCCGCGTCCTCCGGCGCGTGGTTCCAGGCATCCCCCGGCGGGTTCTTCCCCAGTTTGTTGCTGTCAGATTGTGTGAGGGGAAAGTTGGCATTCCTCTCTTGCTGCTGCCGGGGTGCTCGGTCGTCTTCGTGCGGAAACGTCGTCTCGTCACGAGCGGCACGCTCCCGAAAGCTCAGGTTGCGAGTCGGAGGGTTCGGGTTATACTCGGCACTATTGTACTCGGACATTGACGGGATACGCAGAGGCTCCGCCGACTCCTGCACGAGAGGCGAGATGGGCCGGTAGCTCTGGCTCTGGGAATGCTTGTGCCGGCTCACGGGCGCTGGTGGGTATCCAGGCACCTCCGGACTCACGGAGTCGTCTCGGAGTAACGGTGCATCTGCCGGCTTGGAAACATGCTCGGGCTCGCGCACGGCGTAGCTGGCAGAAGGGCGGCTGCGGTGGGGAGGGCTGTATGTCGCATCCCATGGTTGACCAGTAGCACCGCCGGGAGGTCGGGAAGCTCTCTCGCGGGCCCGTCGTTCGGCGGCCTCGATACGAGCTCGTTTCTCCTCCTTGGTCATTCTGTTGAGCGTCAGCTCTAGCTTCTGGAGTGGCGACTTGTTCGTTGCAGACTTTTTACGGCGTCCAGAAGAGTTCTCGGAGGGCCGTCTGGGGGCATCGTCCACCGATCCATAACCGGCAGTAGGGTCATAGCCTAGGGCACTGTGGGGTTCGCCATAGTCCATGTCTGGTTCGGAGTAGAGGAGCTTTCTTGTCGGCCGGGCTCCGTCGGTAGAGTATGGAGGTTCACGATGCAGATATCGCTGTTGCTTTTCAAAGCCCTCTTGAAGCGCACGCGTAGTTCCTGCGGGGACCTGTTGAATCGGCAAGCCGTCCATATCGTCAAACTGGGAAGCCTGGACGGGCGGTCGCTGGTAAGAGGGCGGTCTGGGGGCCAGTCCGCCAGCAGCAAAGTTAGCGTCAGTCGGTGTCGTCGCACTGGGGTGGAAAGTCGTTGCAGTAGTCTGGGTGTCCGTGGTCTGGGTTGACGCTCGGTTCGCCTTCGAGTTGTGGCTGGGCAGAGCCAGGCCACCACCTCCACCACCAACACCACCATCACCCTCGACAGATGAGCGGCGGTCTTCGACAACCCTGGGGCCCGGAAGCTGCCCCCAGTACGGTGTCGGCGGCATGATTGGGCGTTTATCCGTGGAAGCGGGTTGCCAGCGACGCTAGTCTAAACCGCAGGAGCCAGGGTTATGGGTTGGAAGGCTGGGACGTGGAGCTTGGTGAGGAGGAGCTCTTTCTTCTCGAGATGCGGTCAGAGAGGTCTTTCAAAAGGATCGAATCTCGAGGAGAGAGGATGGAGTCGAGTTGAGGAATCTGGATGGAACCTATCATTGAGTAATAGGCATAGCACCTCTTTCTGATCGATCAGCAAAGCACCATCATAGTCCACGGATGCATGTAATAGCAAAACCCCCGATATGGCTTACCCAAGTACGTACCGACCGACGTGTTTTGTCTCGCAGCAGACTCGGACCATGCGACTGATGGACATGAGAATAGAATAAAATAATGAATGAATGAAAACGAACGAAAAAAAAAAAAAAAAAAAGGAAAAAGGAAAAAAAAAAAGTGACAACAGACACAAGTGCCCTGGCTGCCGGCCAATGCTGTTGGGGCCTTTTCTGCAGGTGTACGGAGCGCCAGGAACGGTCATTGGGTAGTTGAGCTGTGGTGTGCAGTAGCACGGGTAGGGCGACGACGACAACGCACGCGTATTCCGTACCGTGTCCGTTGCTGGTACCCTGGTGGCTGTAGCCTTAGGTAGGGACTCGACCCATTCGAGGGAGCAGAGGAAACAAGCGACAAGGGTGGACCACCAGATCCGATATATGAGTACTCTGTAGATATGAAGTTACGAGTGCAGTACTCCGTACTCGGTGCGATCGAGTCACTCGCTGATGGTATCGATGACCGCCACTTTGCCCGGCGATGGGTTCGGCGCTCTAGCAATGCAGTATCGATACCGTCGTACGGGATTCTAGATGTTGCATCGTCGTACCCGGTTCTGGCAAAGAGAGACCTGCCGGTCCCTCATCTCGTTCATGTCTCTGAGAGCAGGGCATAGGCTGGTGGTATACCGCACGGTACAAGTACAAGCAGGCTGGCTATTGCGGGCTCAGACGATAAGAATGGCAATACGGCTGTAATACTCCATGGCATGAGTCCATACGGGTGACAATACGTCATGTAATGTCAACGGGCTAAAGTGGCGGTCACCTTGACCGATGGAGCTGGCTGGGACAAGGGTCTACCGCCTGCGAGGCCGTAAATGTGGTGGCTGGGAGGCTAGGACGTGGGAAGAGCCGGGGTTCCGACCCGTACTCGCATGGTTTGTGCGCATCGACATGGTTCCGGGTCGTCATGTGTATCCGTATACCCCGATATCTTTGGCAGTAGAGAGATTATTTTTTGCCCCTTCTATATCGATTTACACGAAGTGGAGGACGGGTTTGTCGTCAAAGTTGGGTTTGCTGGACTGGAATGTACGAGTCCATGCGAGGAGTGTTAACGGGTATTACACGCAACACACTACGTGTAAAAATGTACACGTACAGATCTGTAGAGAGAGGTACGAGTTATTACTAATAATCCGCACCGGGAACTGGTAGACAGTCAAGCCTCTCAAGGCAAAGAACATCTGCCCCACCAACCTTAGATCATATTATTTATCAGTACTAGACGAGTATCAACCCGCACCTTCCTCAATAAGTTCAGAGGCTACGGAGTAATAATTTAAATTAGAGTCTAAAAGAGAAAACATCTCGTTCTCTCAGGTGCGCACTGGAAAGATGGAAATACAGCTACCCCCTCTCTCCATACCGCACAAGTCTTCTACATCGTGAGTTGACGGTGGTGAGAGGAACTTGGGCCTTTGTTTACAGTGCACAGAGTAGCCCTGCGCCTGTTGTTACGCCAAACGGTTCCGACACTGTCCGATCATGCATCTCTTGGATCAGTATCAGTCCGAAGGCTGGCGATATTGAGCACCTGTAATCTGTACAGAGTACTCCATATCGTGTACGGCGTAGTAACACTGCTCGTATCCGGTACCACCAACCAACTTGTGTGCACTTACTTGTATGCAGCAATACATGTATTCAGGATGGACAGCCGTAAGTTGACTGAAACATGACCATCACAGCGGCACATTCTATTCCTCTGTACTGCTAATTCATCTGGCACCACGACGTCTTGCACGAGGAGCCTCCGGAAGACTATCTTCTCTCACTCAAAGGCAGCGGACTTGCCCTTGCAGTGTTCCAGCTGTCTAGGCTGAGCCTCAAACATCGCGCACAGGGGGGGGGGGGGGGGTATTAGACATTGGAACTGATATAATACGGGGAATATGGCCTTACTTGCGAGGGAAACAAGGGAAGGACGCCTCTGTTTCTAACTGAGCGGATGCGACATGCTGTGTTGAGCAGGGCCTGCAGGATACAGTCGCATAAAGGTTTCCTTGGCTGGTCGGCCAGTTCGTAAGCAGCCGCGTTGCTTGGTTATGCATCGTGGCGCTGTGAGGTGAGGCTTCTAGCTATGTGGCTGAGAGATTTTGAGCTGCTTTTTTTTTAAGAGGGGAGAGAGGGAGAGCTTCCACTAACTTGGAACTGTATAGAGTCTGTGAGACTCTGTTACTGAAAAGTGAGCAGCACCATTAGGGCAGGTGGGGCTTTGCCGCTGGCGACTACCGCACCAAAACTGCCCAGTGGCGCCTTCCCGACGACTGTAATCTGTACGGGAGTACTGAGGGATGAGTGACGGAGGGGACCTGATTTTTTTTTCTGCGACGCCTGTAGTCTGCGGTGAACCCTCCATTTCTCCCACCTCTACACTTCTATCTAAAAAACAACCCACGACTCTCTCTCTCTCTCTCTCTCTGCCACCTCCGGCATACCCTTTTCTTCTCCCGCCAACCCCGTCTCAGCCGACTCTGTCGATTTCTTGCCTGGTGCAAAGAATCCCCCTGTCGCTACCTTTCTGCCTGAAGAAATAGTGGATCTATCTCTTTCGCCCGCCCACCTCTCCATCCATCTCCTCCATCACGGCAAGACGCGCTCGTCATCGCCCTGCTCCCACCTCCCGGTCCGAATCACCGAACCTTCGGCCTAGCCGCTTCCTCAGAGCAGCGTGATATAACTCGGAATCATGGCTGCCCCCGCGACCGAGACGTCCAACATGGACAAGCAGGTCGACCTGTCCACCATCCCCATCTCGCCCGAGGGTAAGGAGAACGAAGAGACCACCGCCGACGGCAAGCCTGTCACCGTCTTCCACGACAAGGACAATTTCAACGTCAAGCACCCCCTCCAGAACAAGTGGACTCTATGGTTCACCAAGCCCCCGAGTGGCAAGGTAGGTTTACCCTGTGTGTGTGTGTGTGCCCGATGTGTGCAGTGCACGTAGCTGACGTGGGATGCTCCTATAGGGTGACAACTGGAACGACCTGCTGAAGGAGGTCATTACCTTCGACTCTGTCGAGGAGTTCTGGGGTGTCTATGTGAGTCTATATCCCACCCTCCTCTCCGTCATCTGCTCGGTCGTTGCTGAACCCCGAAACAGAACAACGTCTCCGCCGTCTCCGAGCTGCCCCAGAAGGCCGACTACCACCTGTTCAAGGCTGGTGTCCGCCCTGAGTGGGAGGACCCCCAGAACAAGCACGGTGGCAAGTGGTCCTACCAGTACAAGGACAAGCGCAGCGTGGATATCGACCACCTCTGGCTCCAGGTCATGATGGGCGCCATCGGCGAGACGCTCGAGGATGAGGATGACGGTGAGGTCATGGGCGTCGTTGTCAACGTTCGCAAGGCCTTTTACCGTATCGGCGTCTGGACTCGCACCATAGGAAAGAGCATTCCGGGCCGTGGTGACGGTGACGTGGCTGGAGGAAAGGGCCGCAGCAGCGACAAGGGCCGCGGCATCCTGATCAACATTGGCCGCAAGTTCAAGGAGATTCTTGAGCTTCCTGCCAATGAGCAGGTTGAGTTTTCTGGACACACCGACAGCGCCAACTCTGGCAGCACGAGGGCTAAGGCCAAGCATACTGTCTAAGTGGAGAAGAAAAAGGAGAAGAAAAAGGAGAAGAACAGGGGAAACTGAAAAGAAGAATGAGTCATTCACGGCGTTTTCTGGTATCTGAGCTACGGATCTGAACGAGGGGAGGGGGGGGGGGAGAAAGGAAAGGGGTTAGAAAATAACGTTGATGAGCATGGCTTTCACGTGGATGACGAACGGACAAGGCGAAACACGGCTAAAAAAAAGGGGACAGCAGAGTGAGAGTACGCTTCACCCTGCAGACGAGGTTTATTGCATGAAAATATGGCCTTGGGGACAGAACTTTCCAATTTCGACGTGGCGTGGCGTTTCCAAGGGAGGAACTCGCTTCATGGGGGTGGCCCAGATTCGAGCAGTCTGGGGGGACCCGATCGTCTAGACAGGATTGGGGATGGTGAGGATGTGGTTCTAATTACGAATATTACATGGTTTTTTTTCATACGCCGGATATCGTTCACTTTCATGACAAGATGATGTGTGCACGTGAAGGATGTGTGAGAAATCAGGAAGAGAAAAAAAACCATGGCTGCTAATTAGTAGCCGATATCAGAAGGTGCATAAAGAATATTTTTAGAAAGGAAAAAAAGAAAGCTAGAAAAAAAAAGAGAAGAAGAGAGAAGTGAAGGAGGTGTATATTACTACTGCCGAGTCTATATGCTCCAAGAGATGTGTTATCATCACCATGTATCCGTACTAGTATTATTGATATTACATTTCGTCGCCACTGAAGTCATCCTTGAAGATGTCGGCAACGAGCTGCTTCTTGTTAATCTTGCCCATGGCATTACGCGGGATCCCGTCAACGACCCTCATGACCTGGGGTATCTTGTAACCGGCCAGGGAGGGTTTGAGGGCCCTACGCATGTCGAGGGGGCTCCAGTCACGGCCGGGGAGATTTTCCGGGTCGAGGACGACGACGCAGCCGACCTTGTGTCCCCACTTACCGCTGGGGACGGAGACGACGGCGGCCTCGGCGACCTGCGGCAGGGAGAGGAGCTCCCTCTCGACCTCGAGGGCGCTGACCTTCTCGCCGCCCGTCTTGATGATATCGGCCGACTTGCGGCCCTGGATGAAGTACATGGGGCCGACCGTCCAGTCGGGCTGGGCGCGGGCGGCCTCGGGCACGGGCCGGCGGACGGCGACGTCTCCGGTGCGGAACCAGGAGCCCTGACCGTCGGGGTCAGGGACGAACTCGGACGCGGTGGCCTCGGGGTTGCGCCAGTACTCCTTGAAGATTGTGGGTCCGCGGAGCTGGATCTCGCCGGAGCGCTCGCGGCCGGTGGAAGGGTCGACCTCGTCCCCCGGGGCGATGACGGCGCCCGTGTCGACATCTACGAGGCGGGCCTGCACCGAGGGCAGGGGCCAGCCGACGCTGGCGTCGATGCGGTCCCCCGGGTCGAGGCCGCAGCTCAGCGCCATGCCGACCTCTGTCATGCCGTAGCGCTCGAGCAGCACGCTGCCTCCCGACAGGTCGCGCCACGCCTTCTTCACGGGCGTCGGCAGGGCGGCGGACCCCGAGATGGCAAGGCGCATGTTGGCCGGGCTGACGGCAGCCGAGGCAGCGGCGCGCACGTCATCGGGGAGAAGCTTGTGCGTCGTCATCAGGCGGCTGTACACTGTCGGCACGACGGTGAAGAAGGTCACGGGGGGCGCTTTGGCGGCGGCGACGGCCGTCGGCGTCTTGTCCTCTGACGGGAGGAAGGGCGCCGCCAGTCGGGACCATACGGCGTCGGCGTTGAAGGGGAAGAGGAACTCTACGGAGGCGCCGGATAGGAGCGGCGTGAGCACCGCGTTGACGATGCCGTGGATGTGGTGCAGCGGGAGGACGTGGAGGAGACGGTCATGCGGCGAGTAGTCCCATGCTTGCATGAGGGAACGGCTCTGCGCCGTCAGGGCGGACTGGGGAAGCAAGACTCCTTTCTAGACGAGAGGCTCGGTCAGCTCTGTGCGCGGGTGCAGGTCATCGAAGACAGGGTTCGGGATCCGTACCGGTCGGTTGGTAGTCCCGGAGGTGTACAGCATGACACCGGCCTCGCCAGGACCTCGAGTATCCCACGTCACGGGGTGGTGCTCGTCCGGCGAGTCGGCGCCGCCCACGTGCTTTGGCATCTCGACGTGGGTGGGCGGGGAGACGAGCTCGCCGGCGAGGGTCTGGCGGGCCTTGGAGGCGAACTTGGCCGAGGAGACGAGGAGCGACGGCTCGCTCTGGTTGAGGATGTACTGCAGCTCCGGGGCGGGGAAGGCGGGAGATAGAGGGACGGCGATGGACCGGGAGGCCATGACGGCGAGGAGGGTGACTTTTCTCCCCGGTCAGAAGGGGCTTCATTTTGATCGGGATGAGGAGAGGTGTTGAGAGGAATGAGGAAGACTGTCGTGAGGGTTGAGAAGAGGGAGAAGCGTTGTGCGTGTGCGTGTGCGTGCGCGTGTGCGTGTGCGTGCGCGTGTGCGTGTGTGCGTGTGTATGTGTGTACATGTATGTGTAAAACCTACCGACATAGTCATAGCTATTCTCTAGGAGGAAAGCGACCCTCTCACCATCCATGTCGACGCCCCCCCTCGCACTGCGTAGACGATCCCTCGCACGCCCTACATCGGCCAGGAGCTCGGAGTAGGTGAAGGAGCGACCGGAGAGGGAGTGGACGACGGCCGTCGAGTCGGGTCTATGGCTGGCGATGGCCTCCAATATGGGCAGACGGGGTAAGGTTGTCATGGTCCTACTCAGCCTCCAGCTATTGCTACTGCCCGTGCCTATACCTGTACCTGTAACAGCGGTCCTGACGCGACAAGGCAGTCCTCCTCGTAATGAGTCTGTGGTTATCAGGCGGCGTGAAGACGTCGGCACGATGGAGCGCATATGCATCTGGGGGAGAGGAGAACAAGAACAAGGGAGTTGATTGGTGCTCGTGCTCGAGGAGAGGAAGGAAAAAAAGGGGGGGAGGAGGGGGGAGGGGGGAGGGGGTGTGGTGGTGAAGAAGAAGAAGGTACAATGACGGATCTAGGGTATTATGAGAGGAGGGAGATGTTATCGCGAAGTGGTAATACGGACACTGTGAATATGGCAGCACATTCATTGTACTACCTAGAATACAGATTTACCGGTAATACGGAGTACAGACAGTATTATTTACTCCGTAGGCGGTAACAAACTGTAATATTACGTAGTATTACGCGACCGTCTAGGAGAGCTCACTGGGTGGATCTTTTCTTTTTGTCTCTCTCTTCGCATGCGGCTACCCGGGAGTAGCTTTCTTCTTTCTTTTTCGCTCGTATACTTATCTACGAGTATATCGGGATTGTTTAGACGGACTGACAAGACATACCTGATCGAGGCCTGACAATCTCGTTACATTACAGGATGCGCGCGCGGCCATGGCATCGGTCTATACATGTATCATCCTACCTTCTTTTTTCTTATTCCCACCGCCATATTGAGAAGAGAGAGGGAGAGGTAGAGGAAGAGGGAGAAGGTTGACAGCAGGACTGCGCCAGAAAGAAAAGAAAGAAAAAGAAAAGGAAAAGGAAAACAGGGTGCATGGAAGCAGGGAACAAAAAAGGAAGCAGGGAACAGAGGGGGCAAAAGGGGGGGGGGGGGAGAAAAGGCGGTATAACAAGGTTGCATCTGAGCGGTTGGATTCGTTGGATGGCAGGCGGGCGTTGGGGTGATGCTGCTTTTAGGACATTGTTGCCTGAGCACGGCCAGAATGTCAGGAGAGAGAGAGAGAGAGAGAGAGAGAGTCAGAGAGAGTCAGAGAAGGAACCCGACAGCGGCGGTGGAAAATGTAGGTCCGGGTTCTTCTTTCTTCTTTCTTCTCTTCTTCTTTTTCTCCCTTCCCTTCATCTTCCCTTCTCTCTCTCACTCTCTCTCGGATGGGGCGGTTCAGAATGAATGTGGTGATACTGATATCAACTGTAATCCGCATACTTTATTCTCTCTATCGATGCTAGAGGAAGAGAGTCACACATGCCACCACTACTGTTCACTACTTACTGTACGTACGTGGCAGAGCTGGGTAATGGCGGAGGACATGGCACGGCGCGCATACCGCATACGAGCATCACGGTTCGCCCCTGCATGAGTTACGATAGGTATTAATAAAATATGAAGTATCAACACCAATTAATCTCATGAATACCCCGACACTTCCAATTCCCTCTCTCTCCGCCACTCTGGTCACCCCACGCAGACCCAAGACGCAATCGCCATTACCTTGTAGCGGCGCTGGTACGGACTAAACCGAATCAGGACGGGATGCCTTCCCACCGCCAATGCAGTGCATCGGTGACTGGTGAGAAGCAACGAATCGTGCAGATGAGAAATTCTTTCATGCCGCCTATTGTATAGATTACATGTACGGAGTAATATCATTTACATCATACTGTCCGCGAGTCTTCAGTAGAATGAAAAAAAAAATATCGAAATAAGATGCTGAAATAAAATACTGATTTTTTTTTTTTTTTTGTATCTGGTTGCTGCACTCATACCCGCATCCTTCCTACCTCCCCCCCCCTCCCTCTTTCCTTCTACGGCTACTATTATTATCAGGTAGTAAGTAATAATAATACTGTACTACCTACGAATACAGGCTCTCTTATATGTATGAATCAGAGTTGAAAAAAAAAAATAGCGGGATGTCCTGTCTCACCGACTTGACCGAATAAAAAGTATTTTTTTTTTTCGTCTTCTTTCCTTTAAAACTAAAACAAAGGAAAGAAACCTTCGCTCGAGCCTTCCTTCCTCTCTCTTTCTTTCTTTTTCCTTTTCTACCCCGCCATCATCCATCTCTTCCTCTCTCCTTCCTCTCCTCTTCATCTCTCCTGAAGTGTTGTGTGTGCGTGTATAGAGAGGGCAGAGAAGAAGAAGAACCGACTCTCCAAGAACAGATATCCGTCAAACCTATCTATCTTCTGCGCCTCGCTTCTGGGTATCGTCCCGACCATCGTCATCATCAACTACCAACTACTCACCACTCACCAACTTCCCGAGACGTCAGCAAGAAAGGGAAAAAAAAAAGGGCAGAGAAGGAGCAGCAATTGCCGTCGTGTAAGGCTTCCGGCTGTGCTGCCGTCGCGTGGAAACAATTACAGACACGACACCACACACACACACACACTAAAAAAAAAGGAGACTTCAAGTCTCTTTCTTCTCCTTCCTCCCCCCCCCCCCCCCCCGGAATCTTATCTTCCCTTCCCCACCCCAAAGAAACATGTTCCGTCGTTACGCTCTCGGATTCTCGAATGTCGGAAGACAGCTCTCCACCATGAATCCCAGCGCTACCCCCCTCGAGGATGCCATCCGTGCCAAGGTGCGTGCTCTTCTTCCCTTCATGACCCGGCACTCCCGGGAAAGCTCGCTCGGAACTCTGGATTCTGACCCGAATGGATTGATGAATTGCAGGTCATGGCCGCCTTCAGCCCTCAGACCCTCGAGATCTACAATGACTCTCACCTGCACTCTCACCACAAGGCCATGCAAGGCAGCTCCTCCAAGGAAACTCACTTTAGGTATGTACATGGGGAGATCCGAGAGTGTAATCGTGTGTACATGTATGAGTGGGAGAGAGAGAGAGAGAGAGAAGAGAGAGGGAGAGAAGAGAGAGAGAGAGAGAAGAGAGAGAGAGAGAGAAGAGAGAGAGAGCAGGAGAAGAAAAAAAAAGGAGGAGGAGAAGGAGAAGAGAGAGAGAGAGAGAGAGAGTGTGTGTGTGTATAAAAGAAGAAAACGCTGACAGGCTCGACTGCTCACAACAGACTCGTCATCACCTCGGAAGCATTCGCCTCCAAAATGCAACCGGCCCGTCACAGGATGGTCTACGCCCTGCTCCGCGACGAGATGGCCATCGAGGGCGGCATCCACGCCCTGCAGCTCCGAACCCTGACTCCAGACGAGGAGCGGCGTCTCCAGAAGAAGAAGGAGGAGGCTGAGGCTGCCAAAGCCAAGGCTGCCGCCGAGGCTGACAACGCCGACATCAATGCCTCGGAGTGATGAGACGTTCTACGATAAGAAAAAAAAGAAAAAGCCATACCATACCAATGCCTGTTTACGATTTCTTTTTTTCTTTTTTTGCTTTTTGTTTTTTTTTTGTTCTTTTTGCCATTTCTTCTTCTTCTTCTCTATCTGTTCTATCACCAGATAGTAGGTGTGTAAGTATGCCAATCGCGCCATAGACGGGTAGCCCACGCGACAATAAAATAAAAAACCAAAGAAACAAACCCCCCCCCTTAAAAAAAACTGAGAACGAAAGAAGGAGAGGAGTATAGTATTTGTCTTTTATTTAAATTCCCTTTGGTTTCCCAAATGATTTTTTCTTCTCTATGCTACTGATACTATGTATATATATATATAGTATATATATACAGTATATTTATTATTATATGGCTATACTGATAGTAGTAGTAATACTTTTCTCTTCACCTTTCCCCTTGCATCACTAACCCAGCCAGTCATGTAAAGAGACCGAAACTGCCTTGTTGCATTTCTCACGAATATAAAACAACAATCCAATCCGTCGTCACGAAAAAGGCTAAAAAAGAGGAAGAAGAAAAGACTAGAACCCATTGGAACGCCTCCCCTTGAATGCATTGCGGATGAGATCATCAACCTTCTCCTGGTCCTTGACACTCCTACGTCTTCCCAGGCTCCTAAAGTATTCCCGCGCCAGGCGTGGTGTGGATGACCCGGCCGATGAGGGCGGTGGCGCCGGCGCAGCTGCAGGCGTGGACCTTCCGAACGTCGAGGTCGACCCCCGGAAGCCGGAGCCAGAGGGGTTCGCTGCGGCCGTCGGCGTCTCCGCGACGGGGACGGCCGGACTGCTGCCCCCGCCGCCGTCGTCGTCCTTGTGCGCCTCGCCACCGGTACGCACGAGGTCCGAGCTCCGACTTCCCCCGTCCCTCCGCCACGTCGGCGATGCCCGGAAGCTGAGCGTCGGCGATGGCCTGCCGGAGCCGAACGTGACCGGTGCGACGGCCTGGGGCTGCGTCACGGCCCGGGCCCGGGGGGTGTCTGTATTGATGGTGGTGTCGGCGGCGCCGGATGACCGGTCGACCGTCCATCGGCGTCTGCGTCCCCTGCCGCCGTCACCGCCGCCCCCGACCACGTACCTCTTCGCCTTGGCCACCTCGTCCGAGTACAGCTCGAGGATGGCGCCCAGGTTCTCCTTGCGCACGACCTGGGCCGAGAACAGGGGCAGTTCGTCCCGGTCGTTGTACCAGTCGCTCGCGACCAGCGGGTCCGTCGCGTCGCGCACGTAGTCGAGGTACTGCGCCGAGAAGGCGCGGATGAAGTCGTCCCACAGGCACCGGTGCAGGGACCGGTGCTTGGCCATGTGGTCCAGGCACATGCACGCCTTGACGAAGAGGGCCAGGCTGCCCGAGTGCTGCGTTATGTAGCTCGGGTAGGTTGTCAGGAACATTTCAAAGGGCTCCAGGGCGCCGTCGTCGCCTCGGGGGTCCCCTGGTGTGTATTGCTGCTGCTGCTGCTGCTGCTGCTGGTGGTGTGCCGGGGTGGAGGCGTATTGGCCTGACCCCTGGGCGGGGGTCGAGTATTGCCGGGTATGCGACCTCGTCTCTGCGGCTTGCGCCTCATCTTCCCCCGGCTCGTGCATGAGCTCATCGCGCCCGCCCGCCACCGGTCCGTTCGCCCTCGACGGCGAGGGGGTAGCTGCCACCTGGCGCCGCTCATTCACCATGACTCCACCGTTCCTCTGGACGGACAGTCCCCCTCCGTGCTCGACACTCCCTGTTTCCGGAAGATGCGGGAGAGACGCGGGGATGACGTTGTCGTTGCTGTCGTCGTCGTCGTCGTCGTCGTCGTCGTCGTTGTTGTTGTTGTTGTTGTTGTTGTTGTTGTTGTTGTTGTTGTTGTTGTTGTTGTTGCTGCTGCTGCTGCTGCTGCTCGGCGTCGTCGTCGTCGTGCCGTTGGAGCTGTCGATGTGCATATACCCGATCGTCGGGGCCATGCGCTGGAACGACGTCGACGGGTTGGCAGACCTCACGTCCGCGCCGGTATCCATCGGGTCATCGCTGAACTCGATGGGCTTCATGCGCTTGGAGCGGCGGCGATACATATCCAGGTCCTTGCTGCCACCGTTGTTCCGATCGTCGGAGCCTGCGTCACGTGCCACCGTTCCTGGGATCACGCTGGTCTGGCTGGGTTGCGCGCACGGCGGCGTCTCCATGGCGGTGCGCTGTCGCACCCTGGGCGTCTTGTCGGGCGATTTCGAGTCGTCGTCTGCCTTCGAAGTCGGGACCGCCTCCTGCTGCTGGCCTCGGGCTACGGGGACTTGGACCTCTAGGTCTTCTGGCTCCTCCATGCTCGAGGGCAGGTGGATGACGGGCGCGAGGCTCTGGGGCTTTGTTTTCGATCGGGGCTTGGCGGCCGTCCGGGCTGTCTGCTGCTCCTCGGCATTATCGGGCTGCGACCTCACTGGCGAGGAGGACCCCCTGTTGGCAGGATGGGAGGACTTCTGCGTCGCCCCGGTGCCGTCTTCCACCGCTGTCGTCTGCGACGCATCTCTCGCGGCTGCAGGCTCCCTGCCTGCAGCAGCTGCGGGCTCCTGCGTTGTCTCTTGGCCTGATGGTCTGCTGTCGTTCACAGCTTCGTCGGTGTCGGCGTCGGTGACGGCGTCGTCGTTTGGCCGACTCTTCTTCTTTTCCTTGGGCCCGCCTGACTCTTTCAGTCCGGCCGCAGTCCAGTCGCGTTTCTGGTTGTTGACGCGGGCCTCTGTCAAGGAGGAGAGCACACGGCTAGAGACATCGTCTACACTGATGGGGTAGTCGTCGGACCGCACGGCGCCCATGCCATGCCTGTCGAGGACCTTCTCCTGATCCTTGGGGACGCTTATCGACGTCTTCGTCCCCAGTAACCGGGTTATTTCAAAAGACATGAGGATTTTGTGACGTGGCCCGGGACCTCTTTCTTCGAGAGGGAGGGCGGGGGGGGGGGGGGGGGGGGGGGGTCTGTGTCACATTGATGGGCTGACCTCTTATCGTCTGTCGCGGTGAGGGTTCGGGCTTATGCAGATGTGGAGCGAACGCGGAAAAGAAATGGAGCTTGAATCTATCGTTCTATTGTTCAGAAAAAGATAAAAAGCAAAAAAATAAAACATAGATGACGCCGGGTGATGCCCAACATTGGGCGTCACGTACGGGGGGGACTGATTGCGGCGGTAGGGACGACTCTGACCTCTTGAATGCGGAAACGCGGTCCGAGTCCTGGGCACACACGCGTGCGGCGTGAAGCGGTGAATCGGAGGATGTCAGAATAAAATAAGCAGGGTTCTGTGGTGAAATCGGTGGAAGCCGTTTGAAATATGCAGGTTTATTTCTGTCACCCCTTCCCTCCATACTAAGCGGTGATCATAATGACACTGACGGCTGATTCAACTCTGCCCCACGGTCACAGCCCACGCTAAGCTTCAAACAGGTGACGCTATGCCATCATCGTTTTCCCTCCCCAAGGTGGTATCAGTCTAGCACCGCTGCCCACCCACCAGGACCTTCTTGGAGAAGGGCCGGATCTATGATTTTTCATCTTGTCTCGTTTTGGCTGATATCAGTCATGGGAAGTAGGCTGTAGCTGGTGATACCCATCCCGATACACTGACACAGTCATCTTGGCCAGACCTGCCCAGCCTCCAGCTAATTGTCACTCTACCGCTGGCCGTGATTCCCCATCTACATCGCTACCACGACCCTGCTACTTGCCGGGGTCTTCTGGGACGGCCGCCATCGTCATTCCTCATCGCCAAGACTGCGACGCTGCCGGAGACGTCGACACTCTTCAGCTTCCCGAGCGTCGGTTCGGAACCTTTCCATCCTTTCAAGGAACCACGCGGCGTAATTATATTGACAACCGCTATCCCCTCTTCCCCTCAGTTTTGGTGGACCAGCATGAACGCCGAGGCGAACTTCACCGTTTGCTGAGCCCGCCCGCCGTGGAGAAAGAGATCGACATCGATCGCCCATTCGGCCGAATTACCTCGAAAAACCTGCTTCGATGGCTAGCGGCAACCCCACGAAGCCGTCCACCGGCGGCGGCTCGCAGGCATCTGATCCCCTCGGGTCGCCCATCAGCTTTCGTCACCGCCGGAGCTCCGTCGCCTCCGTCGATTCAACCTTCAAGAAGGAGCAGCTCACCTACGACCTTGATAAGATACATGACGCGGCCAGGAACCGTGCCGACTCCCTCACGACCTTCAACGACTTTGCGCCCCCCTCAGTACCGACCGCCACTGCCGAAAACAAGGGCTCGGCAAGCGACATCGTCCAGCAGGGCTTCAGCGGGCTCTACAGTCGGTTTCGGGTCGCCGTCGGAGCCGGTGGCTCTTCCGCCAAGAAGAGCCAGGACGGCGACGAGATGGAGGCCGAAGCGAGCGCTCGTGTCTCTAAGCATTCGGCATCTTCTTCGATGCACCGCACCACCTCGGCCGCCAGCGCAGCTACCGCTCTCTACACCCAGCCTGTGGCGGCACCCGACATGCCGTCGTCCATCGTCTTGGCACCCTCCGACACACGATCACAGCACTCGCAGTCTTCCAAGCCCACGAGCATCAACCTCATGCCCGCTGCAAAGTCCCAGCCGTCCGTTCGGCAGAGCCTCCCCACAAACGCCACCAGCGCTGTCGTGGCCGACCCGCCTGTCCTGTCCATGGACGAGTCGGGCCGCAGCAGGCTCGGCAATAGCAGCAATAGGGACGGTGCCGCCGAAGGCTCCGCACAGCGGAGCCTGAGCAGGGTCGATCGCGACGCCCGCCGTGACAGCGCAGAGGTCCCCAACCTGTACGACCTGACCGAGGGCAAGCTACCACCCAGATCCTCCAACAGGGACGACGCCTCGAGCGTCGCTAGTGTCGACACCTCGAGGAGCCAGTCTCAGGCGGAGCGCCCCTCGGCGGCCAAAGCCCAGACTCCGCACCTGCGCACTCCCTCGTCGGGGTCGCTGATGCTGTCACCCGACGACATCCGAAGACGCCCTCCCGCCATCGAGCGTGTCAGCGGGACGAACTCACCCCACTCCCGGGACTCCTCCACAGATAGAGGCACGCCGGCGGCACCGAGCCCCATCAGTATATCCGCACACAACTCCGTCTACCACGGATCCATCTCCAAAGACGAAGCGCACCGCAATGACCAGGCGGGGAGGATCCCAGGGACCACGCTCAGCTTCGAGGTGGCCACGGACCATCTCAGCCGACTGGATCGGATGCGGCGGCAGGTTCTCAGCAAAGATTTCTGGATGAAGGACGACAGCGTCAAGGAGTGCCATCTATGCCAAACCGCCTTCTCGCCCTTCCGGCGCAAGCACCATTGCCGTACCTGCGGGTGCATCTTCGACCACCAATGCACAACCATCATATCCGGGGAGCGGTTCGGCGTCCAGGGCTCCCTGCGCGTATGCAAACGTTGCCTGATCGTCATCAGCCGTCGCCTGGATGGAAGCGGGTCGGACGACTCCGGGGACGACCACCAAGCGTTCCTTCCGCGCTTCATGGGTTCCGGTCTGGGCTCCGGTCATTCGAAATCTCCGAGCGCAGGCAGCCGCTCGAAGGGTGTGGACAAGGGCAGCCCGATCACCGGCTCCTCTGGCCCGGAGGATGCTCGCCCCGTATCCACGCCCATGATGGCCATCCCTGCTACCCGCCGCGTCCGAGGGCCGAACCGCGCGTCGGCTGTTCTTGAGATCGACGCCTCTCAGCTGAGCCGCCCAGGGTCATCCCGCTCTCTGAAATCCCTGGCATCCGCCCGGCCGCAGTCTTTCGCCGGCCCCGGCCACAAGCGCCACCACTCGAAGCATGGCCTTCTGAATCGCTTCAAAACTGCTCCGCCGGATAGGGCGCCTTTCCGGAAGGGCATTGATGATGAACCCAAGAGATCAAAGTTCCCCGCCTTCCACGACGACAACATCATCGACCCCGAACTCGCAGACTACATGTCGGACGAGTCCACCGAAGATGAGCAGATGGGGCTGTTCTCAACCATGTCCAGCGCAGAAATCCCCTCGGGGAGCTACGAAAATGACAAGCCCACTCTCTCGGCATCCCTGAATTCAAACAGGCACCGCCGTCACAAGCAGGGCGAGAAGAGTATCAGTGGTCTGAATAGTCGTGGCGCGTTCGATGACATGAGCGGCCCGCCAAGCCTTGCAGGTCACAGGCTTTCGGTCCGGCGCCGCAACCTGAGCATGAGCGGAAGCATCCACCACCTGCCGCCGCCTCGGCCCAAGTCTGGAGTCTTCAGGCGGCACTCTCCTTCCTCGGAGATGATTGCTGCAATGGAACATGCTACCCAGTCCTGGCTACCTCCTACAAACGCCGACTTCCACGAGATCAAGCGGAAACCCCAGGTCGAGCTCAACAGTTCCAGCACGCGTCACGTCTACAGGATCCTCCAGCAGCTGCTTGAGGACTCGGGGATCCCCAGCCCATCGCCGTGGCAGAAGGCCTTGGTCCCGATACTGCTTCGGGCAACGGACGACGTGAGTCCCGACGTCTCGAGCGGCGAGGACATGGACATACGGCACTACGTCAAGCTCAAGCGGATACCGGGTGGCCGACCCTGTGACACCTCATACGTCTCGGGCGTCGTCTTCACCAAGAACCTTGCCCTGAAGAGCATGCCCCGCAAGATCACCAATCCTCGCATAGTCCTCGTCACGTTTCCGGTCGAGTACCAGCGCCATGAGCAGCAGCTCATGAGCCTGCAGCCCGTCATCGAGCAGGAGAAGGATTATCTGCGCATCGTCGTCCAGAGGATCACCAATCTGAAACCACACGTCCTGCTTGCGGAGAAGGGCGTGTCCGGGGTGGCGCTGCAGTATCTCTCGGAAGCCAACATCGCTGTGGCTTACAATGTCAAGCACACCGTCATCGAGGCCGTTTCTCGATGCGCCGAGACGGAGATCATCACGTCGGTCGACATGCTGGCTCTCCCGGTCAAGGTGGGGCGTTGCTCCTCCTTCGATGTCCGCACCTACGTTAACAACGCCTATGCCGGCCGAAAGAAGTCGTACATCTTCCTGTCCGGCTGCACGCCGGAGCTGGGCTGCACCATCTCCCTGCGAGGAGCTAGCCACGCCGTCTTGGGAAAGGTCAAGCACATTGTCGACTTCATGGTCTACGTTGTCTACAATCTCAAGCTAGAATCGAGCCTGCTGAGGGACGAGTCCATCAACCCGCCCGAGAATGGGGAAGGATCCCTGGCGAGCTCTATGCTCGCGATCAACGAATCGAGACCGATCGGCAACGCCAGTTCCGCGGAGAGATCCGGACCAACTGTCGGTCTTGGTGAGCCATCTGTCGACGGCAAGACCACGTCCGCGCCGGCATCGACGGGAGAAACCTCGGGGATGGCTGTCACCGACGCCGTGTCGACTTCCCAAGAATCGGACCAAGCCAAGCAGGAGGGCCCAGAGGCGCAGCAGCCGGAGGAGGTCCCGGACGACGTGCCCATGCCGACGTTCTACAGCGACATGGTTGCCAAATACGAAACAAAAATCCTTTCTGCCTCGCCTTATGTCAAGTTCTCCCAGCCGTACCTTCTCATGCGAGCTCGCGAGCAGGAGAGGCGACTTCTCTACCTGCGCCGCCTCCTAGACCACGATGTCTCCGAACAGCGGAGGAGGGCTGCGGAGGAAGCTCTGGAGGGAAAGAGCCAGGAAGAGCAGCAGAGGCAGCAATCATCAGAGGCAGGAGCATTGCAGCCGTCGGAGGAACAGAGCGAGGAGGGGCAGAGCCAGCCCGCAGGAACAGACGGCGCGGATGCCGAATCCGTGGAAGCTCGCGGCAAGGAATCGGAGACGAGGTCTAAGGAGGCCTCGGATATGGCCAGCGTGTCCCAGCCATTCCAGCTCATCACGCCCGAGATGGTGGAGAGGATTGGCCACAAGGCGCCGAAGCAGATGATGGAAATCCTCCACGCTGTCCACGATGCCGAGTACGACAAGGCGCTCTTCAACTACCGAACACAGACGCGGCACTGGGAGACATATATGCAGGGGAACCTAGACCTGTTCGACCCTTACTCGCACCAAAACATTGTCGTGCTGTACTCGGCCATCTGTACCGAGACCAAGATCCCCTGCACCGAACCCGAGCTGCTTGCCCTCAACTTCTACGACGAGCAGCGCTACGACGCTCAGATGGATCCGGACTGCTCGCTGGGACAGTACATCGAGGACCTGGTGTACGGCCAGGACGAGGTCTGCACGTCCAACGGATGCGAGCGCAAGATGATTGAGCACCACCGGACGTACGTTCACGACCAGTACCGCATCACCGTGTTTGTCGAGCACTTCCCCAACGCGCCGCCGCGAAGCCCCGAACTGGGCGATGGCATCACCATGTGGACGTACTGCAAGACTTGCGAGAAGGACTCGGAGGAGACTTGCATGTCCACCGCCACCTTCAAGTACTCGTTCGGCAAGTACCTCGAGCTCCTGTACTGGGGCCGCGGCCTTCACATGGCAGATAGCGTGCAGTGCGGCCAAGACCACCACCAGGACTACGTGCGCTACTTCAGCCTGGCCGACTCTCGCGTCCGCATCCATCGCGACCCCATCGACCTCCTCGAGATCGTCGTGCCCCGGGCGCGCATCACGTGGAACGTGGCCAACGATCTGAAGCTCAAGAACGAGATCTACACCAAGATGGAGGAGCGGTGGAACCGATACATGACCTCGGTCAAGGCGCGCCTGCAGGGCATCAGAATCGACAGCGTCCTTCCCAAGAAGGCCGAGGCCTGCAAGGAGGCGCTGGAGCAGCTGTCCAAGAAGGCCCAGGAGGACCAGCCGGCCATGATCCGCCAGCTCCAGGACGTCTACGTCAACTCCAAGTATTACGAGGTCGTGCCCTTCAACAAGATCACGCGGCAGATGCTCGAGGTCGCGGGCGAGTGGGACGTGGCATTTGCCAAGTTTGAGGCCGACTTCCTCGGCGACAAGGATATGAGGCAGCTCACCATCATGCAGCTCAAGAAGATGTTTGCCGATGACGAATCCAAGGAGTCACTCGTCACGAACGAGGGCACAGGGTCCACGGCCGACAGCGACGAGCCCATCTCGCAGACCTTCTCGGAGGCCGACGAGAAGAGCACCCAACCCACCGATGTCACGGAGAGCGCCGGTGGGCTCGAGGGGAGCAGCACGACGGCCTCCTCCGAGCCTGGCGCCAGGGAGCCCCCGTCGGGAGACGATGGAAAGTCGGGGATGGCAGCGGAGGGTGCAGTCGAGAGAGTCGAGGCGCTGGACCTGGCCGGATCCCCCGTCGGAGCCAAGGGCGCTGCGGGAGCCGCCGCCGCGCAGGGTGTGGCAGGCGACGGGATCTCAAAGGCGCCCATACCGGTCACTCCTCGGGCCCCCGAGTCGCCCGAGGAGGACGACGGGATGTATACGGAGCTGCCCCCCCCCCGTCCCTCTCTCGGTGAAAGGATAGACCAGAAGCGGCGGGAGCAGGTTGAGCAGGGACAGGGGCAGGGCCAGCCCATCGACGCCCCCCCGCCTACCCCCGTGTCCCGCGCGACCCCGGAACGCCTGTCGGCGCGCACGTTCGGGAGCACCACCTCGCCGCCGCTGCTGCGCGCCAACACACAGCCTGTGAGGACGCTGCTTAGATCGCAGTCCTCCTCGGGCCGGGTGGCGGCACTGCACGAGGGCAGACCCACGCACCCGGAGCACCAGGCCGACCAGCCGCCGCCGCCGAACGAAGGCTCGGTCAAGGTGGACAAGAAGCTATCGGAGCGCCTAGGTCTGAGCGCTCTCAAGTCCCGGCAGAAGGCTGGCCAGTCCAACATTCCCCGTCTGATCCACAAGAAGAGGGATTCGCAGGTGTCAACGCTGGCGAAGCACTTTGAGCAGCTCAGTCGCGAGTTTGAGAAGGAACGTATGCGGGACCGAAAGGAACGCGCTGCCAGTCTGCGCCATCCCCGAGCGATGCTCCCCAGGACGTCTACCAAGGCCATCGTCGAGGTGTACGACGACGTGAACGAGGCGGTTGCCGAGCCCGGACCTGCCGTAGAGGACGCGCAGCCACCCGATAGCAAGGCGACCTCTGTTCCGGAACACGAGCAGCCGCTGCCGCCGGTGCCCGACGCCGATGCTTCTCAGGAGACGCCGGCTGGAGAGGAGGAGCCAAGGGATGGTGCCGCAGACGAGGGAAAGAGCGACCAGAAGGATGAGCAGGAGAAGAACGACGCCGCCGAGGACCACCCCAGCCAGGCCGGCACCGACGACGAAGGGGCCGCGAGCGACGGTGAGCAGGGCGTTTCGGAGGAGTTCATGCCGGATATCAAGGAGCTGGCCAACTCGCTGGAGCCGAGCGCGGAGATACCGCTGGAGCTCCCCAAACACCAGAAGACGAGCCTGATGAGGTACCTGACGAATTTCTGGGCGGAGCGATCGGCTAGCGGCTGGCCGGCCCTCGACTACCCCGTGACGGGCAACGACCACATCTTTGTGGACTCGGACATCATCATCCGCGAGGACGAGCCGAGCTCCGTGATCGCGCTGGCGCTCAACAACGAGGACTACAACAGCAAGCTGGAGCGGATCCGGGCAGACGCGCAGGCCCTAGCACAGCAGGACCAAGAATCCAGCGACGGCAGCGTCAACCTCGGCCCCGGGCGCTCGCCGGTAGAGGGCCCGATGGAGGAGGCGGAGCTGGAGAAGAGCCTGCTGCGGAGCACGGGCACGCACCTCAAGTACCAGTTCAAGGACGGGGCGTCGGTGATGACGTGCAAGATCTTCTACGCGGAGCAGTTCGACGCGCTGCGCAGGAAGTGCGGCGTGGCCGAGCGCATCGTCGAGTCGCTCTCCCGCTGCCTCAAGTGGGACAGCAAGGGCGGCAAGACGAAGTCGGTCTTCCTCAAGACGCTGGACGACCGGCTGGTGCTCAAGTCGCTCTCGCCCATCGAGACGTCGGCCTTCCTGCGCTTCGCGCCGGGGTACTTTAGCATCATGGCCGAGTCGCTGTTCCACGACCTGCCGTCGGTGATTGCCAAGATGGTCGGCTTCTTCCAGGTCGTCATCAAGAACCCGCTCACGGGTGTGGACGTGAAGCTCGACCTGCTCGCGACCGAGAACCTGTTCTACGACCGCTCGCCGCAGCGCATCTTCGACCTCAAGGGCTCGATGCGGAACCGCAAGATCCAGTCCACGGGCGAGCAGAACGAGGTACTGCTCGACGAGAACATGGTCGAGTACATCTACGAGTCCCCCCTCTTTGCGCGGGAGCACTCCAAGAAGCTGCTGCGCGCGTCGGTGTGGAACGACACGCTGTTCCTGGCCAAGCAGAACGTCATGGATTATTCCCTCATGATTGCCGTGGACGAGGACAGGAAAGAACTCGTCGTGGGGATCATCGATTGCATCCGTACATATACATGGGACAAGAAGCTCGAGACGTGGATCAAGGACCGTGGGAGGAACAGGCCTACCGTTACGAGTCCGAAGGAGTACAAGAATCGGTTCCGTGAGGCCATGGCGAGGTACGCTTCCCCCGCCCCCCCTCTTCTCTCCTCTTCTCTCTCTCTCTCTCTATTGAAACCAGTTTGGAGGAGGGCTGATTACTGACTTGAGGATGCAGGTATATCCTTCAGTCGCCGAATTGCTGGCACCTTTTCAACTACCCCAAATACCCTCATTACTATGCACGTGCTAGATTCGAGGAGACAGAGCAGTAGGCGTTTGTTGTCCTAGGAGATGTAATCTTTACTGTATTGTCATGATGTAATGTTGGGGGAGGATTTTACCAAACTTTTTTTTTCGAGAGAGAGAGAACAAGAAGAAAATAACGACTTGGCAATCTTTAGACCTGATACACGATCAATGTCATGTACTATCTGACGCATCTCACTGAGCAATAATATTTACTTTTTAGTCTCTCCGATTCTATTCATGGAGCAATATAATGAATAATCTTGATCGGAAGACTGGCTAAGATAGAATAAAAAAGTCCTGCCTGAGACTCCCTAAAGTCACGCCCCACTGTGAGCCAATAATATAAACACAACATCCGCAAAACCTCATGACCAGAGCATCATTGCTCTGACAAGACTCTCTCTTCCAACCATGATATGAATGGAATTGATGGATACTCGACAGAGAAGAGCATTCATCAATCACACATAGAGGGCAGGATAGACCCCTCACCCTCCAATGTCCATAGAAGTGGACTGGGACGCGCTGACGAGCGGTCCCGATGGCAGAGCGCTGGCAGAGCGCATCCGCATCTTCATCCACGACAAGTTCCAACGCGTGCCGCTCCCACGCTTCATCAAGTCCGTGACGGTGCACGGATTCGACTTCGGCACAGTCCCTCCTAGCCTTGTCCTGAAGGACATAACAGACCCCCTGCCGGACTTTTACGAGGAAGACGAGGGGGACACGGATGACGACGACGGGTCAGGTACCACCGACGAGGAGCATCGTCATCGTCGTCAGCAACAACATCGTCAACATCATCATGCCGCCACCACCGCCACCACCACCACCTCCTCCTCCTCCTCTCCCTCCCCCACTACGAAGAGGAGGAGACGAAAACAGCAGCAGCAGCAGCAGCAGCAGCAAGGGTTTCCGAGGCAGGAAATACCCCATCATAACCACCATCACCACAGCTACCACGACAACATGGGCGCACCTTACCTGGGGACCTCGACGCCCGGCATCCTCGGCGGCCCGGGGCTGAACTACTTCCACGGCCATCTAGGCACGACGGGGACGAACACGCCCCTAGCCGCCGTGGCGGGTGCCCACCACTGGATGGGCACCATGACGTCGTCGCCGTCGCCGCCGCCGTCGTCGTTGTCGTCGTCATCGCCGTCTTTGCCGTCGTCGTTCCCCTCGCCGCCGCCCAGCGGCCGGCACAGCCGCAACCAGTCGCAGGGGAGCATGCTGTCCGTCGACAACGCGCCGCCTCACTCCCTGCAGCCCCAGCAGAAGCAGCCGCCTCCGCCGCTGCGGGAGAAGGGAAGCGTGTCCACGTTGGCGCCTACGTCGGCGAATACTTCGCGGCCTCCGACACGGGATGCCGCCGCCACCGCCGCCGCGTCGTTCGAATCGGCCATCACGGAGGAGGAGGAGGAGGAGGAGGAGGGTGCTGACGGGGCACAGGAAGATGGTGGTAGGAGGAGGAGGAGGAGGAGGAGGAGGAGGAGGGAGCCAAAGGTGGACGACTTCCAGTCCGTCTTCAGGATCACGTACTCTGGCGATGTGAGGCTCAACCTCACGGCTGAGATACTCCTCGACTACCCGATGCCCAGCTTCGTGGGCATCCCGCTCAAGCTCAACATCACCGGTCTGTCGTTTGACGGTGTCGGCGTGCTGGCCAAGATACGCAAGAGGCTGCACTTCTGCTTTCTCAGTCCCGAGGATGCCATGGCTGCTGTGGGCCCGGATGACGATGAGGAGCAGGAACGAGAGGGTGAGCAAAAGCTACAGCAGCAGCAGCAGCAGCAGCAGCAGCAGCCGCCGCCGCAGCAGCCGCAACAAAGGGATATTCAGAAGCAGCAGCAACAACAGAGGGATACTCAGAAACAGCAACAGCACAAGGGTAGATTCGGTGGATTGCTTCAGGAGATCAAGGTTGAGAGTGAGATTGGTGAGAGGGAAGGTGGGAAGCAGAGCTTGAAGAATGTTGGCAAGGTGGAGCGGTTTGTTCTGGAGCAGGTCAGGAGGATATTTGAGGAGGAATTTGTATATCCTAGTTTCTGGACGTTTTTGGTGTAATATTCAACTAAATAATAACAAGATAGGCAAGGCGAGAAAGGAACGGAGAATTAGGCTCTGATGCCATCATTCCTACGCTATGCAGAGACCCTACGGCATCCTTCTTCTGACTCCCCACTCTTTGGAATATCTACTCAACCCGCTGAGATTGGAAGAGAATCCTTGCTCGTATACACACCACCACTGCACTGTTGGGCCGAAAGATCAGAGGCAACGGACGTCGCGATCACGTCAAGGTGCTCCGGAACCCCTGGTAGGCTTGCTGGATATCCAGCTCCAGCTCCCGAGCCTGCTGCTCGCCTAGCTCTTCGGTGGCCTTCATCTGGTTGAGCGTGATGAGCCACTGGACGATCTTGCCGCGGTTCTCAAAGTCCTTGTCCGTCACCTTGTTGACCGACTGGATCACGTCGGACAGCAAGGGGTGCAGCTGGTCCTTTGACAGGAGCCCGAGCTTGACGGCGTCAAGGAACGTGATGAACTCCTGGGTCGCCTCGAGGATGAGCACGCCGCTCGTGCCCTTGGCTGCGGCGGCGGCGGAGCCAGGTGCGCCGCCGCTGCCACCGGGACCGCCTCCCCCCATGCCTCCGAGCCCGGATGATGAGGGGGTCGGCCCTGATGATGATGATGCCGTCAGGGTGGTCGATGGCATGCCTACGCGTAGCCGTTCCGTCGCGCGTGGGACTTCGAGCTGTGCTGCGGCGTCAGCCGTTTTTCATAGGGGAGAGAGAAGAGAGAGAGAGAGAGAGAAGGAAAGGCAAGAAAAGAAAGAAAGAAAGAAAGGAGAGATATTGATGAGAGGATGAGAGACAAAAGAAGACGTACATTCCATCTGGCCTTGAATTCTTCGAGAGTACCAAACGCCTTGGAGATCGTCTCATCGGCCAGGAGAGCCTTGTACTGCCTCAGAGACCGCTCACATATCTCGGTGTACTCGGCCTCCGGGATGGCATCTTTCAGAAAGGCCTTCTCCAGCTGATCTATAGTGACGATGATGCTGAACAGCTCGGCGAGAGACTCGTGGATATCCTGCTCGGCACGTGTCTCCGAAAGCTTGACTTCCTGGCGAGAGTGCAGAAGAACGAGGCATCGTTAGCAGGGATGGGCACGGATGAGAGGGGGGTTTTCGACTACCGATGGTACTAACCTCGTCAAGGTTGATAGTGGCCGACATGTTGGTGTTCGGTACGTAGCTGTGAGGAGTGGGCGCGTAGCTCTGCTGACGAGGGTTCATGGCGGGCGGTCGAGGTGAGGCATCGGGGTGAGACCCGATGCTCGCTTTGCTGTGCAAGTATCAAGTCTTGAAGTAGAAGAAGGATGGATCAGGTTTGAGGTTGAGGGCCGCGGCTGCGATAATATTAGTGAATAGAATAGAACAGTACTATCAACAGTCAACAGAGAACAGGCTCCAGTGCATTATGGTACAGCAGCAATACAGCGCCTGCTGACAAGTTCAAGCACTAAAAGGGTACCTATACTGCCTATATATAGGCCTGTACACTACTTATATATGGGCTGTACACTACCTATATAGGCTATAGCCTATACCCGAAGTCCTGAACCGACCTACCCTCCCCTCCCCCCCCCCCCCCCCCTTCCAGCATACATGGCAGAATTCTGACCGCTTTCCATTTTCCTCCCCCCACCACCCCCACACCAACTAGCTTAGACCAGAGTTCCTATCGATAAGACGCCAGTCAAGGGGAGGAAAAAAAAAAAAAAAAAAAAAAAATCGGCAACTTTTCCTCCACTCATACGCAAAGAAGACGTCCTTGCTCGTCTCTTTGCATCCAAAACAGACCTGACCATTGCAACCGCCGCCGTCACGATGGGTACCGCAAAGAAGAATCTCAAGGCGACAAAGAAGTTTGAGAAGAATCGCCTCAGAGGTGTTCTCGACAAGAGGAATGCCACGGCCAAGGTCAAGCAGCGCCAGCAGATGAAGGACAAGAAGCAGGGCCGTCGAAACAAGGATGCCGAATTTTTCAAGGGTCCCTCCGAGGAGGGCGGCGACGGTGCCGCAGACGGTGGCCGACCTTTCAAGAAGCCCAATGCTGGTCTGATCGGCAAGGGAAAGAAGGTCAACGACATGAGCGTCGACGACTTCTTCCAGGGCGGATTCGACGACATCATCGACAACGACAAGGCTGCCGCTGACGGCAAGCTGGGCAAACGGAAGCGCGGCGCCCCGTCCAGGAAGGCCCAGTCGGACGACGAGTCCGACGACGAGGAGCCCATCCTCACCAATGGCAAGGATGACGGCGACAGCGACTCGGACGAGGACGACGAGGACCTCGAGGAGGGCGGCGGCATGAGCAAGCAGACCATGGACGAGCTGGCCGACAAGGACCCCGAATTCTACAGGTTCCTCAAGGAGAACGATCCGGAAGCGCTGGACTTTGACGACAACGCCGACCTGGCCGAGGTAGACGAGCTCAGCCAAGGCGACTCGGACGAGGACGAGGAGCAGCAGCGGCGGCCTAAGAAGAAGCGCAAGCAGGGCAACAAGAAGACGGCCGAGGCCGGGGGGGAGGAGGAGGAGGAGGAGGAAGAGGAGGAAAAGCCGGCGCTCCAGAACAAGGAGCTGACGCGCGAGATTGTGGCGTCGTGGAAGAAGTCGATCACCGAGAGGCAGTCTCTGCGCGCGGCACGGCAGGTGGTGCTGGCGTTCCGGTGCGCCGCGCGGCTGAACGAGGACGAGGACGAGGACGAGCGGCGGTGGAAGATCACCAGCCCCGACGTGTTCAACGACGTGCTCGTGCTGGCGCTCAACGAGATCCCGCGCGTCATGAACCACCACCTGCCGGTCAAGGAGTCGTCGTCGGGAAAGGTGTACGTGCAGACGGAGACGGCCAAGTTCCGCAACCTGTCCCTGCTCCTCAAGACATACACGACGTCGATGATGGTCCTGCTGGGCACGCTGTCCGACGACCGGACGCTCAAGCTGACGCTGTCAGCCATGACGCCGATCCTCCCCTACCTCCTGTCGTTCAAGAAGCTGATCAAGGCGCTGGCCAAGGCCGTCGTCAACTTCTGGGCGCAGCCGGCCAGCTCGGAGACGACGCGGATCACCGCGTTCCTGGTGCTGCGGCGGCTGGTCAGCATCGGCGACAAGGGCATCCGCGAGACGGTGCTCAAGACGACGTACCAGGGCCTCATCCAGGGCTGCCGCGTCACCAACGCCAACACGGTCCAGGGCATCAACCTGGTCAAGAACTCGGCCGCCGAGCTGTGGGGCATGGACCCGACCGTCGGCTACACCACGGCCTTCGGCTTCATCCGCCAGCTGGCCATCCACCTGCGCAACAGCATCGTCAACAACAAGAACGACTCGTTCCGCATCGTCTACAACTGGCAGTACACGCACTCGCTCGACTTCTGGTCCTGCGTCCTGGCCGAGCACTGCAACCCGCTCAGGGAGGCCGAGGCCGGCCGCGAGTCCCCCCTCCGCCCGCTCATCTACCCGCTCGTCCAGGTCACGCTCGGCGCCCTCCGGCTGATCCCCACGGCCGTCTACTTCCCGCTGCGCTTCCACCTGCTGCGCTCCCTGCTGCGCACCTCGCGCGCCACGGGGACCTACATCCCCCTCGCCTCCCCGCTCATCGACGTCCTCAACTCGGCCGAGATGCGCCGCGTCCCCAAGCCGTCCACGCTCAAGGCCCTCGACTTCTCCCTCTCCTACAAGTGCCCCAAGTCCTACCTCCGCACCCGCGTCTACCAGGACGGCGTGGGCGACCAGGTCGTCGAGCTCCTGTCCGAGTACTTCCTCCTCTGGTCCACCTCCATCGCCCTGCCCGAGCTGGCCCTGCCTGTCGTCATCCAGCTCAAGCGATGGCTCAAGCAGGCCCGCTCCAGGTCCGGCGGCAACCGCAATCAGAAGCTCATCGCCTCCGTCGTCCTGCTCGTCCAGAAGCTCGAGGACAGCTCGCGCTTCGTCGAGTCCCACCGATCAAAGGTCGACTTCGCCCCCCGCGACCGCACCCAGGTCGACAACTTCCTGCGCGACTTCGACGTCGCCAAGACCCCCATCGGCGCCTACGTCGTCGGTCAGCGTGCCGGTAGGGCCCAGCGGGCAAAGATGCTCGAGGATGCTCGCAAGGAGGACGATCGGAAGAGGAAGGAGGACGAGATGGCTGCCAATGCTGCTGGTCGTGATGACCTTGACAGCGAAGAGGACGACGAGCGTGACGATGACGATATGGATGTTGAGCATCAGCTTGCCGAGGAGGAGGATGATGAGGATGACGAGTAAATTCCATCTTGTCAGGTCAACCTTTGCTTCCATGTCTGTTTCTTTTCCTCATTTATCAGGTTGTTCCCTTTTTTTTTTTTTTTGCCTTGGTCGATACCTCGTCACACACACACACACACACACTTGTATCAAGGGTTATATTAGAGATGATGTTGCATGGGAAAGAAGAGAAGAACAAAACAATAAGAATTCAAACGATTTTCGTCTGTATCCATGCCAGGTGCTCCTATGCCAACTCCTGACCAAAGGATAGCAATACGCACCCACCGTTTCCCCCCTCCCCCCTTGATATACGAGAAAAAAATAACCAATAAAATACTCATAAACGCCAAAAACCGTACGCCCATCCAAATCTGCGCACTGCCATACTTCCAAAACGTAAAGCAGGAGAGGATGAAAAGATGAAGAGGCCTGATCCGTTGCGCCAACGAAGCAAAATGCACCAGTTTTACATGACCATCATTCCCTCCCAGGTGGCCCTACATATCCAGAATACCTTCCCATGTGAGTTGCTCCGTCCCGCCAGATGTCACTTCCCTAACCGTCATGCCCGTCACGTGAAGAACCGTCATCTCAATCTCCTCGTCCGTCATCTCCTGCTCCGCCACCTTTTGCCCCTCGAGCACGTCGTACAGGTTGTACACCTGGTCGTTCTTGGCCTCGAGCTGCTTGAGCACGGCACGCACGCCGGCGGCCATGCGGAGCCTCTCGCGGCGTCCCAGGGCCTTGTCGCTGGCGTTGTACTGAGCCTGGAGACGCGACAGCTCGAGCTGCAGGTGCTGGGCCTCATCCTCGATCCCCTTGATGACCACGGCCAGAGCATAGCCAGGGGCCTGAGCGGGGCGCATCGTAGGGTCTTCGGTCGAGATGTTGCGATCCGACACGGGGATGGGTCGGGGGATGGTAACGCGCTTCTTGCCACGAGCGACGTCGGAAGACGTCACCACACCGCGGTGCGCGATGCGGCTGCACACGGTACAATTGCGGCAGTTGTGCTCGCACAGACCATCCAGGATACGACGAGCCTCCGGCGACAGAGAGGGACACGAGTCCTTGGTGGTAGCTGCTGCTGCTGCAGGGGCAGTTGCAGCAGTAGTCTTGGTGTCCTCCATCGTAGGTTCGGCAAAAGCAGCGTGTTTCCCTGATGACCGCGGGCGAGAGTGCGATCTCGACTTCGACTGCGACCTCGACTGCGACTGCGAACGTGAGTGGGAGGTCTTGTGCAGCTTCTCACTCTGATGAGTCGTTTCCTCTACCACCGACTCCAATCTTGTCTGCTGCCTCTTGGGCTCCTCGTTGAGGGCCTGGCATTGTTCCTGCTCCTCCTCGTCGCTAGACAGCGACAGGTCATCGATCTCCACAAAGTCCGGTCGAGACTCCGTCGTCTTATCGGTGAAGCCGGTTTCCGTCGGCTGGGGCATCCAGAGGGACTGCACCGTGTCGTTTCGCAGCCTCTCTTGGTCCTGGTTGCTCTGGCTGTTGATCTTGTGGTTGTTCGTGACATCCTGCGTCTTCTCGGGCTTCTGCTCATCCTCCCTGGGCACCTGCTGCTCCTTGCTGGGCACATGAGCCGGTCGCTCCTCCTCGCCCGTGTAGCTCTCGCCGGTCTCTTCAACATCGATCGTCTCGGTGTAGTGATGACGGGAAGCCCGTGAAGTCCGCGAGGCCCGCGAGGCCCGCGATTGGGAGCGTGCACGGTGCTTCTTCTGGCTGTGAGCCGTCATCATTTCAAGCAACTTGAGCTCTGCCCTCTGCTGGAGCTCCTCGACTGTCTGACGCAGAGACTCATTCTCCTCGCGAAGAGACGCATTCTCGACCTCAAGGGCGTCGTGGCCCTGCTGGATCATGGAGATTTCGCGGCGCAGCGACTCGTAATCCTGGCGCATCTGCTCCGTCGACTCCACTTGGTGTCTGTGGGTGGTCTCGTACTCCTTCTTCTTGATGCTGAGCTTATGGGTGAGCTTGTTGATGTCTTCGCAGGCTTCCTGCAGCTTGCGGACAGCCCGGTCCTTTTCCTGCATGAGCGAGTCGTTCTCGATCTCCCTAAGGCTGAGCTTGCGAGCGGCCTGCTCCAGACGCGACTGCAGCGATACGACTTCGGCTTCCAGTCGGTGGTTGTGCTCGGTGAGGTGGTCGCTGTTGCTGGCTTTGCGGGAGGCCTTTTCCAGGCGAATCTGCAACGAAGCAACCTCTGTCTCCAGCTCTGTTGTCGAGTTGTTAGGAAAAAACAAGAGAATAACGGCACACTTGCAAGCTCAGAACTTACCATTGTTCTGCTCGAGGAGCTGCTCGCTGACTCGGCTAGAGGTGAAGCGCGTGGTAGGAGTCTGGTTTCTCGCCTCTGCGACCTGGCGTTCAAGAGTCTCGACCTGCTGCTGGAGGCCGTAGGCGTACTCCTGGACCTTATCGTTGTGGTCGCGCAGCTCGAGGATCTCCTGCCGGATCATATCCATGGAAACGAAAATCTTCTCCTCGTCCTCGGGCACCTCGAGCCCATCTACCTCAGCGTGGGACTGGTGGGATGACTTGTCACGGCGGTCGTGCACACGGCCGTTCTTGACAAAGACTGGTACGCCATTCTGGACTGAGCCAGCAAAACGGAGGGTCCCGGTGACAAAGTCCTCGAGATGCGAGACATCAGGCATGATGAATGACGGGGCGTTCTGGCCTGGGCTGTTGTGGATAGACTCGGGTGAGGGCGGCACGGCCGTGAGGCTGGACCTGGCAGAGGACATGTGGGGAGAGCTGACATGCTTGTTGGCCGGGGTTGGGGACTCTTTGGGGCTCGAGGAGTTGGTCTTGCGCAGGCTGTCGACGGCGGCCTGGTAGGATGACGAAGACACCTTCCTCTCGGTAGCCGAGTAAGACTGGGTACGGGCCTGCGCGAGGGGACTGGGGCTGTATGCGCTCTTAGAAGAGACGTGCTGGGGAGTGAGGCCGCGACCGGGCGACTTGGAGAGGATGGACAAGTCCGTGTCGTCGACGCGCGGCTGCATCTCGGAGCGCGTTCGCTGGGAGCCCTTCCAGATGTCGCGAGAAGAGTCGTCGTCGAACCTGACGGATGTGGTAGGGGGAGCCCTGTTCTCCTTTGTGGAGCCGGCACTCATGGGCCGGGTGTTTGTGTTGTTGTGGTCGTCAAAGTTTGCGGCGGCGCGGTCCTTGGGCATGCTGTAGAAGTCGGGCCACTTGCGGTGGGCAATCTCCCAGTTGACGGAGAGCTTCTTCTGATTGGTGAGGCGAGCAATGTCCTCGTTGAGCCTGCGGGTTGACTCGCCCTCTGGGTCGGTGAAGACTGAGGACGTGGTCGGGCTAACGGTGCCGTGGGAGCCAGTCGACGAAGGGGGTGAGTTGAAAGGGTCTTTGCGGTTAGCATTCATCTCCCGCAGAATGCGAGAGCGGTACCTGCTGGCGTTGTCCACCTCCATAGCTCCCGACGCGCGTTTCTATCGAACGCGGACGTACAGAACTGGAGGGCGGCGGCGCGTGTCGTAGGGGGACGAAATCCAAAGGCGCTCCAAGAATAAGAAAGCAAAGGCTTGTGGAGGGCAGGAAAGATGTAATCAATATACACAAAGACCTCCAGAGGCAAGAAGACGTGCGCTCCCTGATGCCGTCACCTCTGATGGTGGAGGGTGAATTGTGTTGAATAAGAACGAGAAAGATGGAAAATGAGAAAGAGAAGAAGCGCGGAAGGTGCATCACACAGAGATGTGTGTGAACATTGGAGAGAGCGATCTGTTTTGGGTCGAAAGTAAACAAACCCCGTTTTTAGCGGTACGTACTCGTGCTCCTTCCTCCACTGAAAGGCGCGTACCGTCAGTGGCTAGTATCCAGCTCTAGCCTATGGCCTATAGAAGAGCCCATGCCCCACCATAACAACCACAAACAATGCTCCGCAGAGACCTGCAGCAGGCTGCCCACAGTAACCGCGTGAAAACCGCTAAACGGGAGGCCTTGAAGCACTGGGAGCCATCAGCCACAGCGTGCTTCGTAGCGCTGGTTTAGCGTTCCCGCAGGACCGCTGTCAGGTACGAAGCAATGGGCCCGTACGCCTATATTATATCAATACAGGTAGGTCGGCCTCTGGGCATCCTCCATCCTTGGGTGGCTGACAATGATATTACTACAGGTCAAGGTCGTGACACCTATTCTTTTCTCTTGAGCGATCCCAATGACTTGAGCAGGCTCATACTTGACTGAAACGTGCAGAACTCAGGACGAATCCTTGAGTGCCACTACCATAGTATTTGTTCGATAGGTCCCTGTCATACCACTCTAATCTTTCTCTGGACCTCTCTCCCATGTCTCTCGTAGCGGCATGGTGTGGTGGTACCTGCATATAATACACTATTACTTCTGAGGCGCATGCGCTGATATCATTCTCAACATCAACACCAAAATGAAGATATTGAGGAGCCTGGATTCCCGTCCGCTCCGGTGAAAGCAGCAACTGGCAGCGTGAAAACCCGTCATAAACATTCTTCTCTATTTCCCAGTCCCACTTCGGTTGATCGAGTACAAGAACCACCACTTCCCGAGTCATGCCCGCTCCTTCCCTCTTCCCCATATGCTCCAGGGTGGGTCGCAACCCGCACATCTTGCCTGTTATCGGCGACATCTGACGATAGCGCCTCCTCCTGCCGTCTCAGTCCATGTGAGCCCTTTTCTCTTCTCTCTCCTCCTCCATCTTCACGAGCCGCACGGCACACACACTCTTTTCATTGCCATCATCAGCACTATTCTGCTTCATTCTTATACGTTCCCTCCGCCTTTTCGAGCGAGAAAAGGTGACGACAGGCTGGCCTTGACGGGACAGATCATGGCTGTGCCTTGCTCTTGAAACGTCCATGCGTCTTGACGGCGTATCACTTCCTCCCATCCTCTTGCTCTCTTTGCCGGCATCTCACCGTAGACCTTTCAACTTCTTGGCTTGCTCTCTCCACCCCTTCGCTTTCCATCTTTCATCTTTCGTCTCGTCCCCGCTTCCGTCATGGCCTGGCCCACTGGCCTAGGCCTTGCCGTCTGCTGCCTTGCCGGCACCGCCACCGCCGCGGCAGTATCAGCAGCCTCGCAAGCGTACTGCCCAGTCTATTACCTGGGATCACAGCCGGGTAATTGCCCGAAGACATTGATACCGGACACGTACTTTCTGGGCTCCTCGTGCTCCTTGTCTGCGGAACAGATCGTCGCGACCCGTCCGCGGGCGGACCAGGATGTGTTCGAGAACGTCTTCAACGCGTTGGAAGTCCTGCAGCGGGAGTACTATGACGCCAACTATGGAACATGGCCGAGTGCTATCGACTGGACGGCCGCCGTCACGCAGACGGTCATGACCGGAACGCTATCGACCTTTTCCAGGTCTATTGACAGCATTCCACTGCGAGGCAGCGCCCAGTCGTGGGCGGATAAGGAGAATCTCATCTCGTCATTTTTTGCTCAGGTGGTTGGCTCGTACTTTGGACAGGACATCTTGTCTATACGAGGAGAGGTATATAAAATAACCTATGGTGGCCCTCCCCACCCCCCCCTACTCCATCCTTCTGACACAGCATAGGCGTACGATGATATCCTATGGGTGGCCCTTGGCTGGATCGAGGCCATCAAGTTTGTCTCTACACACTCTCAAATCCACTACCCCAGCGACAAGTACCGCGACCACTCAGCCGGCCAACATGGACTTGGCGACTTCATCCGAACACTCCCTTGGCACGGCCACAACTGGATCTCGTCGTTTGCGCACCGGTCTCGGGTATTCTGGAATCTGGCTTCGCGTGGGTGGGATACTCGACTCTGCCACGGCGGCATGGTGTGGAACTCTCGCCTCTTGCCGTACAAGAACGCCATCACCAACCAGCTGTGGATCTCGACATCCATAGCCATGTACCGGCACTTCCCCGGTGACAACTTCACGTCCCCGTGGCTCACATCGGCAAGGTTCCCCGAAAAGGACCCGGCCCACCTGAAGGCAGCCGTCGAGGGATACAGATGGCTGATGGGGATCAACATGACCAACGATCAAGGCCTATTTGTAGACGGGTACCACATTGACTCCGGCAAGCCTGGAAACGTCGAGTGCGACGTGCGCGACGAGATGGTGTACACGTACAACCAGGGCGTGGTGCTGACGGGCCAGCGCGAGCTCTGGATGGCCACGGGGGCGACGTCGTACCTGGAAGACGGGCACCGCCTCGTGCAGAACGTCATGAATGCCACGGGCTGGAATCTCGAGACCAACTCGCCCCGCGATGCCGACCCGCCGCCCAACCGGCTGCCACCCTGGCGTGGCCTCGGACGCTTGGGCGTCATGGAGGAGCGATGCGACTCGAGCGGGACATGCTCACAGGACGGTCAGACGTTCAAAGCCATCTTCTTCCACCATCTCTCCAACTTTTGCCGGGAGCTGGACCCCCCACCCGCGCGCGAGCACGGCTTCCTGGTCGACCGGAAGCAGTACGGGGCGGCAACGAAGGCGCACGCGGTGGCCTGCAGGTCGTACCTGGGCTGGGTGCGGCACAATGCCATGGCGGCGGCGGGGACACGGGACGCGAGTGGCCGCTTCGGCACGTGGTGGTTTGCAGGGCTCATTCACGACGCCGAGGTGCCGCACTATGACACGGGTTACCCGACGGCGAATGCGACCGACTACCGTAACAACGGTACGCCAGCGGACGACGTCTGGGGTCGCAATCGGAGATGGCTACCTGGACTGGGCAACAGGGCGGTAGCAGGCGGCGGGGCGGTCGACGAGGCTGCCTCTAGCCGTTACGAACAGCAGTACCAGAAAGTGTATGGCGATGCCGAAAAGGTCGATATAGGCTGGCCCCGAGATCCCAACAACCGTGGGAGGGGCCGCACGGTGGAGACGCAGGTTGGTGGGTTGGCAGTTTTGAGAGCGTACTGGGATCTGTCGCATGCATGAGCAAGGCCATCGGATCGTCCGTCCTACTCCTAGACTCGTACACATGTATAATGGATTGACCTAGAATTATTACGATTATCATGACAAGCATACATCTCTCCACGAGCCGGAAAAGGTGTGCCAGAGTATGGAGTGACCGTATACCAGTAGCGGGTATCACGATATTACCTGACAGCTGGGGCCGACGGCGGCCAGTTGCGGCGCCTCGATATCGATGCCCGTGACGGGAGTCGGTGCCTTGGTTGGACCCGGGACTCTGAGAAGAAGGTCCTGGCCCATGGGTTCGCGGTTTGGCCTTGGATGAGCTGACCAAGATGCTACTCGGATGAGATGATCTGATAGTAGTGTTGAGATTCGAGCATTCAAATAGGGGACGCTGCCGAGGCCCTCTGGTCTCTACATCCGTCCATCGTTCGCCATGCAGTCCCGTCAGTCCATCGAGACAGCAGGACACGACGACATGACGACATCAACTCATCATTCCAGCCTACTCTACGTTGCATGTTGAAGAATATCGCGTACAGCAATACACACAATACCACTACCACTACCACTAGTGATGCTACAACGTATATGGGTATGTGGATTTGATCGATGGCCATGTTTCGGGAACAAGATGTGATGAGGAACAATGAGAGCAGTTCCACCATTGGTAATATTACTTGTAGTGTTAGAGGTATTGCTAGCAGCAGAGGTCGAGTCCTGGCAGTAAATGGGAACATCAAGGGAATGAGAGCGGATGAAACCATTTTAAGCAATAGAGGATATGAGGATTGGAAGAAGCATCGAGAAGAAAAGAATGGAAATGATGATAGCAAGAGGAAAAGGACAGAGGATTCAGGAAGTAGAGGCGACCACAACATGTCCTATGACTTGATGACCTAATCATTATAATATTTCTATATCAGGTCATCCGACTGCTCGGGCCTCCATCAAGTCCTACGTCCTGTCCACCACACACACCCCCGTTGCCATTACCCCTCCATTATCGGCAGCCCAGTATTATTATTACTCGTCGATAAGGGGGGTCCATCGAGGAAAAAAAAAAAGAGATCATAATACTACCAGTATCGTTATTATTATTACCAAGGACGAAAAAAAAATACTCCGTTCACTCCGTCTTCGGGGGGAGGGGGAGGGGTCCCAGACGTCAATTGAACAAAGCGGTGACTCAAGGAAAGGGAAAAAAAAAAAAAAACCGAACCACTTTCTAGATCCCAACTCTTTTTTTCTTTCCCTAAGATCATCACACCTCAGCTCTCGTTCCAAGGACTCGTCATTCTACAACGCAGACACACACGCGCATACAGATATTACAGTCTTCCTTCGAAAGACAGGATCAGAAGCCTCGTAGACGTAAAACGCAAGATGCCTTCTACAGGAGAGGCGGTAGCAACCCCCACCACCGACACCGACGGTTACTTCAATGGCACCGACGGCAGCGCTGCAACGAACGGGAACAAGGCCAATTCTTCCAACAGCGACGACCCTCACGGCGTGGCCGAGATCAACGAGATGACGCGCACCAGGTCCCTGACCGCCGACGCCTCCAAGCGTCCTCGCACGCCGACCGGCAGCATGGCCCTGACAGATTACAGCGTCAACCCTACCACGCCTTCTGCCGAGAAGAGGCAGCTCATCAAGGAGATTGTCCCCGAGGACTTTCTCCTGCCTAACGGACACCCAGATGTATACACACCCGCCCTCCAACCCCCCTCCTCTCTCTCTCTCTCTCTCTCTCTCTCTCTCTGTATGTGTGTGTGTGTGTCTTTCGCGGGATGATCTCTGGCGGGGTTGAGAAGAAGAAGAAAGACGAGGAGAGGAGAGAGAGGGAGAGAGAGAGAGGGAGAGAGAGAGAGAGAGAGAGAGAGAGAGAGAGAGAGAGAGAGAGAGAGAGAGAGAGAGAAAAGAATAAAAACCACATCATGCTAACATCCTGGCTGTAGTACCTTCGCCTCATCGCCAGCGCAACATCGCGAGTCTACGAAGCCTGCAAGGTCACGCCCCTGACGCACGCGGTCAACCTGTCGAACCGTCTGGAGACCAAGGTGCTCCTGAAGCGTGAGGACCAGCAGCCCGTCTTCAGCTTCAAGCTGCGCGGGGCGTACAACAAGATGGCGCACCTGGACCCGAAGAAGAGCTGGCGCGGGGTGGTGTGCTGCTCGGCGGGCAACCACGCGCAGGGGGTGGCGTACTCGGCGCGCAAGCTGCGGATCCCGGCGACCATCGTCATGCCGGAGGGGACGCCGGCCATCAAGCACCAGAACGTGGCCCGGCTGGGCGGGCACGTGGTGCTGCACGGGGCCGACTTCGACGCGGCCAAGGAGGAGTGCGCGCGGCGGGTCAAGGCGGACTCGCTCATCAACATCCCGCCGTTCGACGACCCGTACGTCATCGCCGGGCAGGGCACCATCGGCAATGAGCTGTTCGGCCAGACCAACATGAGCCAGGTCGACGCCATCTTCTGCTGCGCGGGCGGGGGCGGGCTCATCGCCGGGATCGGGCTGTACGTCAAGAGGATGGCGCCGCACGTCAAGGTGATCGCGGTCGAGGCCGAGGACGCCAACGCGCTGGCGCAGTCGCTGGAGAAGGGCGAGCGCGTGGTGCTGGACAGGGTGGGCCTGTTCGTCGACGGCGCGGCCGTACGGTCGGTCGGGGAGGAGACGTTCCGCATCTGCCGGGAGGTGGTGGACGAGGTGGTGCAGGTGACGGTGGACGAGGCGTGCGCGGCCATCAAGGACGTCTACGACGACACGCGGTGCAGCGTCGAGCCGGCCGGCGGCCTGTCCGTGGCCGGGCTGAAGAAGTACATGCGGCTCCGGCGGCAGCGCGGCGAGCCCGTCGACGACCTGTCGTCGCGCACCATGATCTGCGTCACGTCGGGGGCCAACATGGACTTTGACCGCCTCCGCTTCGTGGCCGAGCGGGCGTCGATGGGCGGCGGCCGCGAGGCCCTCCTGCACGTGCGCATCCCGGAGCGGCCCCAGGCCTTTGCCGAGCTCATCGACGCCATCATGGGCCACCCCGTCACCGAGTTCTCCTACCGCTACTCGAGCGACGACGTCGCCAACATCTTCTTCGGGCTGTCGCTCGTCGCCCCGCCCGACGAGAGGGCCGAGGAGCTGCGGACGCTGCTCGAGCGCATCCGCGCCGAGCCCGGCTTCGACGTCACCGACGTCACCCGGGACGAGCTCGCCAAGAGCCACATCCGCCACCTGGTCGGGGGCCCCTCCTCCGTCAAGGACGAGAGGCTCTACATGTTCAACTTCCCCGAGAGGCCCCGCGCCCTCGAAAAGTTCCTCGCCGTGCTGCGACCGAGATTCAACATCAGCCTGTTCCACTACCGCAACTCGGGCGGAGACGTCGGCAAGATACTCACCGCCATCACGTGCCCGGACGGACACGCCGACGAGCTGGACAAGTTCCTCAACGATATCGGCTATCCCTACGAGGAGTGCACTGACTCTCCGCTCTTCAAGGCATTCTTGAGGGCATAGATTGGTCTATCCTGCCTGTTTTCTTCCTCTCTCCATCTTCATTCCATCTCCCCCCTGTGTCCTCCTAAGGAAGTAAGTGTGTGCGTGTGCGTGCTGTGTCTGTGGTAACGGGGAGTTTTGGGAGTCCCTTCTTCTTCTTCTTCTTCTTTCTTCGTCTTCTTATATTTCACGGTCTTTTATTTCATTCATCTGCTCATGAACGGTACAGCAAGGAGATGACTGCTGGGTGGTGGTGGGATATGTTGCACATGATAATATAGAGCTGAGAAGTGATCTGCAGAAAATCTATAGATTTCTTCCTTCTTCCTCTTCCTCTGTCTCTTGATTCCTCTGTTGATTCTTTTGTTCCCTCGATGACCTCCCCCCCCCCCCCCCCCCCCCCCCAACCACAACCGTTTGCTTGTTTGTCTGCCCGTGAATGGTACTTGCATATGGGTAATACATGCAGGTCGTTTACCTGTGTGTCCTGTACGGAGCAACACTGCAGCGGTAATCGTGATACTTCATGATAGTAGGTAATACGACGCGGCTCATCGGCCAAGAAAAAGACGAGGACGGATGGATCACTGACGCAACTGCGCTGGGTAAGCACAGCCCTGCCCTGCCCCCGTTCCTGCCGTGCATCCTTGTTCCTGTTCTGTTTATTACCTGTGATCACGGTATCATCACTGCTCTAGGCAACTCTAGGTGGTATTGTCATATGAACAGAACGGAAGAAGTATTATCTACCATGCTCGGTGTAACGGTGTGATCGGATGGCAGTCGTGTTGCTCGTTATCGAACAGGACGGAGGAGAAGGACGAGAGAAGAGAGAGAAGAAGAAAGAAACATCCTGTCATGGCTCAATCCTGGCACGGGACGAGCAGATTGAGTGCACATTGATGGAGGCATGTCAGAAATGGCTCTGATCTGAGAGGATATTACTGGACAGTATATGGGTCGAGTTGAAGCTACTGAAGTGAGGCAGGGGACGGGAAGGATGAGGCTCGTGCGTTGCGTTCCGTTCCCTTTTTTGTTTTTAATTTTTTTTTCCGGGGAGGAGGGTGTGTGTGTGGGGAGGGGGAGAGGAGGGCAGTCCAACAGGGACTGATAATCCGTAATATTTATCCGTACACGGCACGAAGATGGCAGTGCAGTCGGACTCTGCACGCGCATGAGCAGTGGCCCGTGGGAAAGTGAAGATGAAATATAATATAGAGTAGGGGATGAGTGATATCATCAGACAGAAGTTGCATCTGTCAGCCCATCCGACAAGGCTGTGCTACTCTCCCGTGTCATGTCATCCTCTTTCCGTCCGTCGTCCTTGTACGATGATGTTAATATGCACCGAGTCTGGCTCTGTTGGATCCTGGCAGCGTGACGTGGGGTAATGACCATCGGACTGCCCGGTGCTGATATATCATGCTCTAGGCTCTAGTACCTGCTCTACGTCCCTACATATCCTCCGTAGCGGGCTGTGCTACGGGCCCCTACAGCTATCATGTATCAGCACTACGCACCGCCAGCGCAGGGCGCCAAGTAGGCTTGACATGCAGTATCGTTAGGTGACATGCAGTGTTGTTAGGTGACATGCAGTAGGTGACATGCAGTAGGTATGTGGGCGACCTCCAGTAGCTCTGCCACCTCCTCTGTAGACTATCCGTGACCGTAGCGCCCACCTCACTATCAGCACCAGCCAGCACCAGCCAGCACCGCCAGCACCACCGACCCTCTCTTCACTGAAGCTTGGGAGGTATTGATATTACAGAGGTGTCGGCTGCTATCGCTCGGTCCCTTGGGGGAGAACTTTTACTACCATCATCATCGTCATCGTCATTATTCACTCATTTCCGATTCGTACCTTGTCTCATCCATTCTTCCCCTTCTTCCGTCCCTCTTCAATTTTTTTTCTTTTTGGCTCGTTTTGTCTTGTACTGCATCTAATATCATCCCCCCCCCCCCATCTCCTCCCCCTTCTATCTGATATCATCTTCTTTGTCCCGTAGCCTGTGATACCTGTCTGTATATATCCCTGTCACCATTGCCGCTACCTGAGGCTGACAAACTGGACCCCTCCATTCTCCGCTATTACCGAGTTGGTCCCCTTCTCGCGACCGGACGGTTTCGGCCACACTGATTTTCTGTCCCTGTCCCTCTGGGTCTCTTTCTTCCTCTCTTCCCAGTCTCTGTGCGTCCCTCTATTTTTCGTCTGCACAGCCTTAGAGGGAGAGAGAGAGAGAGAGAGAGAGAGAGAGAGATCATCGTACAATCCCGAGTTCGACACGTTTTCGTCACCTCCCCTCCTCCCGAGACGAGACACGCAGCGCGCGCGTGCGCCACACACCTCTTCTCCAAGAATTGCCCCATCCTTTGTCTCGTCCTGCCGATCCGAGGGTTCGCGACAGACTCCACCTCCAAACTCGCCGTAACACTTCCTACGCGCACTTCCCCTTCCGCCGCCACATGAGTGTCCCCCTTACCCTCTGCGCTGCGTCGGCCTTCCGGGCGGAGCCTTGTCCAGAATTCGCGCTTGCCGGTCCTTTCCCGAACCGCACCGTGCCGCGCCTGGTAGATTGATCGAGGTGCGAGTTGCGCATCTGCCTGACTGGGCAGCTCTGCACTGGTCGTCGAGAGAAGCCGCCGGTCCAGGCAGACCGCGATACCCCGAGACAGCACACACACACACACGCACACACACACACCACACACACACGCACACGCACACGCACGCACACACACAACACACGCACACGACGGCGAACGCCCCCCAAACATGAGGCGTTCCCGCTCGCCGGGCTCGCCCTCGCCCTTTCGAGCCCTGGCCCACCACCACCTGACCAATTCGAACCCAAAGGACAGCATCGCCCTCATCCGCTCCTTCAACAATGAAACCAACCCCTCGCGCCCTATACGGCCCTCTCCCCTGACCGCCTCCGTCATCCGCGACATGCCCCAGGACCTCGTCGACCGCATCCGCTCCTTCCCCCTCTTCTCCTCCGCCCCGGACGACTTCTTGCTCGAGATTGGCCACCACCTCAAGCCCCAGATCCACGGAATGCACGACCTCATCATGACCGAGGGCGACGACGCCAAGGCCATGTACTGGCTCGTGAGGGGCGTCGTCGCCGTCACCTCGCGAGACGGGGAGGCCGTCTACGCCGAGCTCAAGCCGGGCGCCTTCTTCGGCGAGATCGGCGTCCTCATGGACATGCCCCGCACCGCCACCATTGTTGCCCGCACAAAGTGCCTCCTGCTCGTCCTCAAGAAGGAGGAGCTCCACGCCGTCATGCCAAAGTACCCTGACATGGAGATGGCCATCCGCCAAGAGGCCCACGAGCGACTCACCCTGCTCAACAAGCGCCGCGCCGCCGCCGAGACGGGACCCGCCGACGCCCAGAACAGCGCAAAGGGCGACATTGCCGCCCGCACCGCCGCCCCCGGCGAGGTCTCCAAGGGCGAGACCGGTCATATCCGCGACGGCACCACCGTCGTCGCCAAATCCTCGAAGAAGCGCAAGTCGCCCAGCCCGGGCATCATCGACGACCCCGCCGCCCCCGGAAGCAGCGCCATCGGAAGCGGCCTCGTCAGCATCCGCCACACGCTCAAGGAGCTTCCCCTATTCTCCTCCCTCCCGCCCGACATCCTCCACTTCCTGGGACTGAGCGCTCACCCCAGGGCCTACGCGCCCTTCACCGACATCGTCCGTCAGGGATCGCCCGGCAGCGACATCTACTTCATAGTCAGGGGCGAGGCGGAGGTCATACACGAGCCCCCGCGCACCGCCGGCGCCTCCTCGGCCGAGACCATGCCGCCGGTCCGCCAGCGTCCGAGACTCAGGCAGGGACAGTATTTTGGCGAAGTCACCAGCCTGGGCTACTCTCGGGCGCGCACCGCCACGGTCCGATCCATCACGACGGTCGAGTGCCTCGTGATCCCGGGCGACGCCATGGACGAGCTGTGGAAGCGCTGTCCGGGCGAGATCAGGTCGCAGGTGGAAGAGACGGCTAGGATGCGTCTCACTCGGGAGGACCGGGATGTCGATATGAAGGACGGCAGCGCGGACGAGGACGGACCGGATCCGACGGCGAAGCCGACCGAGAGGGCCGGTCCCCCCGCGCCCCTAAAACCATCGCCCCTGGTCACGCTCACGACGCCTTCGAAACCGTCGTCGCCGAGCAAGGACGACGGTGAGACGATGGAGCACCCGGACCCGGATCCATTCCTCAGCGTCAACATGGAGAATCTGCGGAATAGGAGACGTCATTCGCTGGCGCCGCCTACACTGCAGACCGAGTCGTTGACCAACGGCATCCACCACCCGCACTCCCAGAGCTCTTCATCCTCTCCGACGACGAGGAGCCAGCAGAGGTCTGGCTGGAACCGCGACGAGCCCGAGGCACCGCTGGACTCTGACATACCCGCCAAGAGGGTCAAGACGCTCCCGCAGAGACCGGCGAAGACGACGACGCCCTCGCTATCCGACGACCTGCTGGTGAACATCTTCTCGTACGCCGACATTGGCGAGCTCTTGCGGCTCCGACAGGTCAACAGCCACTGGCGGCGTCTGGTGCGGTCCTCTGATAGGGTGTGCCGCGTGGTCGACCTGTCCATGTACAACCGCACGGTGACGGACCAGATCGTCAGCCAGGTGGTGGCGCCTTTTGCCGGCCACCGCGCCGAGATCATCGACATCAGCAACTGCTTCCACATCTCGGACGAAGGCTTCGCCGCACTGTGGAGACAGTGCGGGCGCAACGTCAAGAGATGGCGCATGCGGTCGGTGTGGGACGTATCGGCCAGCCAGATTCTCGAGATGAGCGAGAATGCCAAGGGGCTGGAGGAGGTGGACTGGAGCAACTGCCGCAAGGTGGGGGACAACCTGCTGGGAAGGGTGGTAGGATGGGTCGTGCCCGAACCGCCGCCTTCGAACCGCCAGATCGTCCTCCCGGAACCGGGGAAGTCCAAGAGACAGGTTCAGGGGGAGACGCCTTCCCCGCAGCCGAGACAGCAACAGCAACAGGCCAGGGCCAACCCCAGCATGCCCGCCCCCGGCACCGTGATCGGCTGTCCCAAGCTGAACACGCTCAACCTCTCCTACTGCAAACACATCACCGACCGGTCGATGGCGCACCTGGCCGCGCACGCCTCGAGCCGGATCGAATCGCTCTCGCTGACGCGCTGCACATCCATCACAGACGTGGGCTTCCAGTCCTGGACGTCGTTCAGGTTCGACCGGCTGTGGAACCTCTGCCTGGCAGACTGCACGTACCTGTCGGACAATGCCGTGGTGGCGCTCGTCAACGGGGCCAAGAACCTGACGCACCTCGACCTGTCGTTCTGCTGCGCCCTCTCGGACACGGCGACGGAGGTGGTGGCGCTGGGTCTGCCACGGCTGCGGGAGCTGAGGCTCGCCTTTTGCGGGAGCGCCGTCAGCGACGCCAGCCTCGGAAGCGTGGCGCTGCACCTCCACGACCTGCAGGGGATAAGCGTCCGCGGCTGCGTGCGCGTCACGGGCAAGGGCGTGGAGAGCCTCCTCAGAGGCTGCGGGGGGTTGTCCTGGCTCGACGCAAGCCAGTGTCGGAACCTGGAGCCGTGGATCCGTTCCGGCGGAGTGGGGAGGTGGGGGTACGACAGTCGGCTGGGCTCTCCTTCTCCCCCCCCCTTCTCGTCTCTATCGCCCCCCTCCTCCACGTCGTCCCTGTCACCCCCTCCGGCCAGCACGAGGACGTCCTCTCCCGCCTCGCCGCCAGAGATGCGGCCGCTGTCCCAGGCCACGGGCGGCATCCCGTTGCAGGCTCATGGGAGGTACAGACGGCCAGTGAGGTTCATCATCGAGAAAGGTGGTGGACTCCGATGACCCTCGCAACCCCGTCACAACCCTTGATACTCCTTCCCAACTCTACGCCATCTCACACACCACTCTACCCTTCTCCTACACCTCTTGCACACTTCTTCTACACTCCTCTCTACACTTCATCTCACCATGGTGCTGCAGAATATATCTAGAACTGATCATTTTTCTGGCTTTCCATCTTATTCTTACCACTACCCCCCCCACCTCTTTATCTTTGGAATGGATTGATTTTGTGTGTTTTCGAGTTTTTTTTATACAGTTTTATTCACGATATCATGACTGGAGGGTTGGAAAGCATGGGTGGTGTATTTGCATAGATAGAACAAGACACATTTTCTCCCCCTTGAACTGGTGCCGTGACTGCTGGGATAGGCGAGTGGAGCGAGAACTACCGGCAGGGTTCCCGGAGGAGAAGAAGAGAGAACCACGGCGCGTAGTAGGATGAACTTTACCAGATGAGCGAGCGGAGCGAGAAGGGCCCCCCGGAGGGAAAATAAAAAGAATGGAGATGGAGAGGGTAAAGAGGACGATGATATAATCCGGGGTTGGTCATGATAGATTACTAGACATTAAAGAGAGTAATATTATGGGGAGTGGAAGGTGGAAAGAGTGGCGTAGTGCATTCGACGCGGTTCCACGAATCAATCGAGGCACGTGACTGATGGCCAATCCGCAAATCCGGACTTGCCAAACAGCTAACGCCGGCAAACAGTCCGACGTCACCGAATAGTTTTCCACTCTTTACTAAAGGGTACTACCCCCCCCCCTCTCTCTCTCTCTTCCTCTCCTCCTCCCATCAACAATCATCATCACACCATCCACACCATCTTTCTTTTGTTTGCATACTGCAGTGTTCTGAGCAGGAAAAAAAAAAAAGAAGATGTCATTCACCATGACTGTCCGGCAAGGACCGGCGCGTCTGGCCCAGCGGCTCCCCGAGCTGATGGCCAAGCCGGCCTTCCGATCGTCGGTTGCCGCCCGAGCCTTCCACCAGCAGACCAGCAAGCGCAGCAGCATCAGCATGGCACCGCGCAGCCTCACGGCCCAGCTGGCGACCGGGAGCAGGAACGCGTTCGCCCGTCCCCAGGCCAGGTCGTACTACCAGCAGGCGCAGCAGGCGCAGCAGGGCCAGGGCGCCGGCACGCGCAAGCTCCTGGTCGGGGGCGCAATCTTCGGCGGAACGCTGGTGGCCATCAACATCGTCTTCAACCGGGAGACGCGTGACGACGGAGGCATGCCCGTCTTCGAGCGGGACTACCTCAACAACACCTTCCTCCACACCGGCCTGGGCATCGGCATCATCGGACTCACGGCGCGCCAGATGGTCAACACCGGATTCGTCTACAGGCTCATGGTTACGAACCCCTGGGTCGTCGGTCTCGGTGGTCTCGCTCTGAGCTTTGGCACCATGATTGGTACGCGCTCCATCAGCCCTGACAAGTAAGTGTCCCATTTTCTCGCTCCCCCCTTGTCGAAAGCTTCACGTGCCCCCGAGGTCATTCGTCCTCATCTCGCCCGGACTGACTGATCACCTTGTAGCTACGTGGCCAAGTATGCCATGTGGACCGCCTTCAACGCCACCCAGGCCGCCTTTGTCGCTCCCCTGCTCGCCTTCGTCCCCCCGGCTCTCCTCGGCCGCGCCGGCCTGTACACGATCGCCATGATGGGTGCCCTGTCCGTCGTGGGCGCCACGGCCAAGCAGGAGAAGTACCTGTACATCGGCGGTCCCCTCTTGGCCGGCGCTGCCATCGTCGCCGTCTCCGGTCTCGCCCCTCTCGTCATCCCCGCCACGGCCGCCCGCACGCTGGCCTTCACCGAGAACATCTGGCTGTACGGTGGTCTGGCCGTCTTCGGCGGCTTCACCCTGTACGACGTCCAGAAGGTGCTGCACCACGCCCGCCTGGCCGAGAGGGGAGTCATCCCCCGCGACCCCGTCAACGAGAGCATCTCTCTCGAGCTCGACTTCCTCAACATCTTCATCCGCATGGTGCAGATTCTCATGATGCAGCAGAACCGCAAGAAATAAGGGTGTGCGAGTGAGCGCTCCTCTGCACCTGCGGCCGCGAAGGAGTGGTGCATGGATAGAGTAGGAGGAGGAAGATGGATTTTCGATACCAGAGGAATTATTAATGGGTGAACTTGTATTATATAGATATAAAAACTGCTTGTCATGGCAACATGCATACTGTACGTCTTGCAAGTAACAGAAGGAACAACTCCACTCTGGGATGGAGTACATACTGTACTGGTCTCCTTGCCTCGTTAATAACATTAAAGAAAAAAAAAATCAAAGAGAAAATCAAATTGATGTAGATGTAAGAAAAAGAATTTTATCGCATCAATACATGTATCTTGTTTCTTTCTTATCCTCTTGACACGTGGTACAGGGAATGTTTTCCCGTACGTATTTCAACCATGTTTCCATCCTAAAACAAGGCGTTGCGAGCGAAAGCGAGAAAGGACGGACGGCTCCCGGGCCAGGGTCTCCCCCCTCTCTTCCCCTCCTCCCGGCCTGCCGTCCCCGAGTGATGCAGATGGCTAGATCTTTTCGAAGAAGAAGAAGAGAAGAGGGGAAAAGTTGACGTCACTCATCGAGCGGGGGGAATTGCCTGATGAAATGCGACGGACACTCGTAACCGGCCGGATTCTTGTGGAGGTACTCCTGGTGATAGTCCTCGGCGGTCCACCACTTACCGGCGGGGGCGATGTCGGTGACGATGCGGCCGCCCCACCACTTCTCGTTGGCGAGCCGGGTCACCTCCCTGGCCGTCCTCTCCTGGTCGGGGTCGTGGTAGAAGATGGCGGAACGGTACTGGGGGCCCGTATCGGGGCCCTGGGCGTTGAGGGTGGTGGGGTCGTGGCTCCGGTAGAAGAAGTCGAGGAGCTGGGCGTACGTGACTACCTTTGGGTCGAATATGACCTGGAGAGCTTCTGCGTCTGTTTATACCGGGGAAGAAAGGAGAGGGGGTCTCTGTCAGATATCTCTCTCTCTGTCTCTCTCTGCCTCTCCTGTTCTCTTCTTCTTCTTGCTTCCTTCTCTTTACACCTATAGTATCTTGACGCAACAGACAAAAATAAAAAAGTAGATTAAAAAAAAGAAAGGAAAGAAAAAAAAAATTATCACTCACGTCCTGACTTTCCCCCACAGACAAGACGATAGGTGGGATTCTCGACATCACCACCTATGTACCCCACCTTGGCATCCAGGAGACCCTTCCCCGTGAACTTCTTGCGATAGAGGTGGTCTGTCCCCCAGAAACATCCCGCGGCGACGGTGCATCGCTGGGCTCCCTCGGGTATGGCACCCGGGGCCGCCGAGGCGTCTGCGCCGTTCGACATGGCCGATAGACGCGTGGTGGTGGGTTGGGCGGCTGAGCGGAATAGGCGGGCAATGTTGGATAGGGGCATGAGCACGGGACGGGTATCTCTTGCTCTCCCGGGAGGAGGTGGTTTGCTGGTGGCTTCTTTCTTATTCTTCTTTTATCTTCTTCTTCTTCTTCTGGTACTGTCGCTGTTGCCGTCGGAGCTCACGGGGTGTGATACCGTACTGTGCTGTGTTACTGCAGATGTGACGAGGTGGAGAAAGATGGAGAGAAGAAAAGGGAGGATGAGAGTGGTAGTGTTATTGTCGAGTAAATAATAATAGTAACAGTATTAGTAGCTTAGAAATAGACAGTATTAATACTAGCACTGTCGTCTAGCTCTGCATTGTGTATTATTAGTACCCTGGAAAGGTGTGGAAGAAACGTCCCGTACGCCGGCTATGACGCGATGGGGTCAGGGTGGGGGGGAGCGGGAGGGGTAATACGTCAGAGACTAGAATGTGGATTGATCAATGTCAGTCACTTAGGCTGGCGTCTCAGATGCATAGTAATATTGCTGTTTACTTCTTTACTGTCTCATCTTGACTCCAAAGGACATGATTCCAGAAGGAGCTCCTCTTAAACTCATAGTATTGACGCTTTGTGGTTGATTGCCTTCAATGATGCCGCCATGCCCAACTTTGGCCACGGTCACATTTCTGATTCATCAGACGTATGCTGGAAGCTGCACCTTTCCGACCGGAAAAGGTCCTCTGCCGTCTACTCCGACATGAGGCGCCCTCTCTGATCATCATCGTGCATCTCCTGACACCAGACGGTCCCACACCTGCTATCTCGTTCTACGGCGCGGCGCGCATCCCCAGATCGTACGAGCGAGCGGAGCGAGAAGGGCCCCCGGCAGGACCACCGGGGGGGAGGGGGGAGGAGCGGGTGGGGGAGAAGCGCTGACAAGCAGGCAGTCTCATCTCGACTTGTCCCCTCTAGCGGCTTCGGTGTTGACACCGTCGATCGACCGTATCCTGAGCCAGGGACGTCACCCGGAGTATAGTGTATAGTTCTGTCGTTAGAGGATCCGTCCCCTGCATCAGGCCCCCGGAACATCGTATTCGTTGATTGTCCCCATCCATGCACTCAGCGGTTCGAGCGAAGACATGGCCTCGAATACCCCGGGAGCCATGGCGATGGGATCGGGACCGAAGGCGTCGACGCCTTCAGCCTGCGACTGGAAGAGGTACTCCATCGGTTGAGGCTGGGGTCCGAGCTGGGGTCCAGGCTGAGGGCCATGCTGAGGATGACCATGGGGCTGGGGCTGGGGCTGCTCGTCAAAGGGGCTCATGGCAGCACCGGGGGTGCCGTAGAATGCGTTGCCGCCGGGGGCCATCTTCGGGGCGGGGTCTGCAAAGGGTGCTGTAGCGGGAGGCTGATACGTTGCCATGCTGAGAGGGATGCCAAGCCGTGCTAGTTCTCTGTGGATGAGGTTGAGGGCACCGGCAATGACTGTCATCGTCAGTACACAGCAGGATATCGAGGGGAGGAGAAGAAAGTATCGAAGGCGCGCGGAGAGGGAACTGTGAGCGAGACGTACCTGGAGTGTACACCTTGATCTCCCCCAGTGCACGAAGGCAGTAGTCTAACCTCATGAGCGCCTGCTGGTCGTTGGGGAAGGCTTGGACCTGGAGGAGGTATATCGTGGCGGCAATGTACAGGCTGTATGACAGGGAGAGAACGCAGTAATTCGTGCCGAAGGTGCGAGAGAAGAGGTTGAACATGGCGATGATGGATGTGGCCGACGTGACGCACTGGACCAGATAGTTGTGCACCGGGGGCGCCTCGGGCTCCTCCTTGATCAACGGCCGTGAGGAGGGATGGGAGCTGCGGGTCAGGAATGGCCTGTACAGGAGGATCTTGAAGGTGTGGTAGAGGCAGCTGTTGCACCGTCAGTGTCCCGCGACGACGAAGGGCCCAGGATGAGACGGGCGGGAACTATGATGGTCATGGGGGCGGCGAGAGGGTGTGCGTGTCTTACTTGAGGGTGATAATGTGTGAGGGTGGGGCTAGTCCAGGCAGAGAACTGGGATCGAGACGCAGGTACGGCGGTAGATTGTCCCACCAGCTCTGCAGGGCGGCTTCCTGGGAGCCCAGACACTCATTCATCTCGTCCTCGGTGTTCTGAAAGAGCGGGTCGTACATGTGGATGAGGATCTCGTTGAAGATGATGACAAGCTGGCATGTGCTGGTGAAGGTCGAGGTGGAGTGGGCGGTGGCGGGCGGGTATGCCCATGTGCCGGCTGGGTTGGCGCCAAATGGCATCCAGAGGTCATTCTCGGCAGAGTTGTCGACTGCACGCGCAGATGTGGTCAGCAAGGACGGAACATGCTCCGTGTCTGGGGTATTCTCGGGAGGGGACGAGATCTTACAGATGACGTGGGGCGGAGACACGGCCGTGTGCTGAAGCGAAGGGGCCCGTCCAAGGTACAGGCTGATCATCTTGTCCCAGAAAAAACAACTCCAGTAGAGTCGATGGCGCACCTCTAGGTCTTCGTCGCTCAGGGGCACGGAGCCCATGTACCTCTCCCCGTCGACGCATGCACCCAGGTGGTCGACCAGCCGGAAAGCCAGGCCACTGTACGTCCAGGCTTGGGCGGTGTTGGCGAGGGAGCATTCCTGGGCGCTGAGGAGAAGGAGGGTCTGTACCGTGGTGACGGAGACGACGCCGCGGCTTATCTCGTCGAAGACCATGCTGCGGGCGTGCTTGCCGAATATCGCTCCTCCTTCGTACGAGTGGTCTAGAATGCTGCGCGTGCTGGGGTCGGCGCGGGCGAATCGTATCGAGTGGGAGAGCATGGCGTTCAGGAGGGTGTGGGAATAGTAGGGGCCCATGGACTGCATATCGCCTGTTCAAGTACAGCTCTCGGTCAGTCTCCGCGTGTTTTGCAGGCATTGCGTGCCTTCTGTGGACGGCCGTGACGTACGTGCAAATGTTGGACGGTAGACAAAGTTGAACAGAGGCTGGATCCAACACCAATGGACATTGACGAGATATTGAAATGGTTCCTACATGGGCCGACCCGTCAGAGCGACTCACACGCACAAGGAGAGGAGGCATCCGGGGGAGGGGGACGACGTACAGGAATATCCGTCATGTTTTCCAGAGCCCTCTGATGCCAGGCATTGCTCACGAGCCGTTCCCTCCTATTGCTGACGGCGACCTCGGTCAGGGGCAGGAACTTATTCCCGCTCGTCGACGTGGCATTCGTCGCGGGCGAGGGCGCAGACGTGACGGACGAAGGACCGCTAGGTGATGTCACGACATTATTGTCGCTGGGTATGTGGAAGAAGCTGGTGGCGCCGTGGTAGGTGATGCTACCCCTGTCGTCAATCTTGAGACCGCGGAAGCGTCTGTTCATGTAACTCTGCTCGTCGGCGTGGACATGATGCCTGCTGCCGCTAGTCGTGGTGGCGGTCGAGGAGGAGGAGGAGACGGGATCGTTGGAGAGGAACGACGACGAGGGGGGACTCGAGTGGTTTGATGAGGGGTGAGTCGATGCGGGAGATTTTGTCCTCGCCGTCGTGTGCGCAGCCGTGTGCGCGGCGGCGGCGGCGGCGGCGGCGGCGACAGCAGCAGCGGTAGCGGCATTTGCAGCGGCCACCTGGTCTTCGAGTTCCTTGATGCGATTCTCAAGACGCTGGGTATAAGACAGGGTCGGGTTTCTGGACAGATGCAAAGAGTGAGCCAACCATGATATCTGCACGGACACTTGGCATGTGCACATGTGGCTCCTGGCAGGGACGGAAGACTCACAGTTTGTAGATGCACTCGTCTCTGCGCAAGGCACATCGATTGCAGACTGGCTGCTCTCCACCGCATTTGACCTAGATTTGAATGCAGCATCAGCATTGCACGCGCCACAGTGAACTTCCACAGATCCATCCTTCGGCTGCTCATGGGTAGATGACCTTTCGTCTGCGACATGGCTCACAAGAGAAGGCGCTCTTTTTTGTCGCTTTTGCTGTAGGAGTCGAAGCCATGGTGCGCGACGGTGGGGGCGGGGGGGTGGGCGGCCAAGATCAGATGGGAAGGGAGGGTGTTGACAAGGTCCAAGGGAAAGGGCACAATGACGAAGACGGAGGAGGGGACGACAAGGTTAAAAGAAGGGAAGGGGTAAAAGAGGGAAAGAGGAAGAAAGAAGAAGAGGAGGAGCAAGGAGAGAAAGGACAGAATACGGCGACGCGGTAGGGATTAAAAGAGAGAAAAATAAAATCACAAGACGAAAAGGTAGGAAAGAGCAACCGGCTATGGGCCATGGGTCATGGATGGCTCCTGCCCTTGGACCCTTTTGCGAAAATTCCCCGCCATCAGGAACAAGTTCCACAAATCCCGAGCATCCAGAATTGTGGGAGTTTATGGGGGACGGGCCACGGGATGACTACGGCGGGATGGCCACGGGCTAGGGGATGATGCAGCTTGATTCTACTCTTACGAGTGTATAGGAGTCCTTAAGGATAGGAGTTCCTTATGGTAGTTCCTTATACTGCAAGTACATGCCATGTCCTATAGCCTACCGTGTTTACATCATCTTGACCTCCGTTGCTTGGTTTGACCTGGATATACGGACTAGGGCATCACATCACGTAATAATACATGACGTTTGCTTTTGGAAGGCACCCAAGACTCTGACTTGTCACCCCTCCGGTCATCGGATGTCGGTATACATGATTGGCTAGCAGGATTTGTTTATATTGAGCGTATTGCTCGCAGCCGTATCTCTACGTATTATTATCTATTCGTCGCAAGACTATTAACGCTCTATCCTAGCTGCTGGTAGAGCAATGATACTTACTCAGTAGATAGTGTCAGACATCAGCATTAGTTGCTCCTGACGAGTACGGATTATAGGTTGCTGTATTATCGGAATACCAGCTTCCGTTTGAGCTGACATTGATCAATCAAGCATCTACGGGTCAATACAAGGAGTATTGATTATCTGTCATTACCCTGGTCACAATTAATCATTGATCTATTTAGTTGATAATATTACTGTCTACAGATATGTCTTGGCACTCTCTGTTAGTAGAACAACGGCTTTCCCGCTCACTCAGCTCTGTCCCCTTGATCCCTACGACATTTGATCGGCATCAATACATGTATTAAACGCGGAAATACGTACAGATTACACGTGCTTTAGTTCTCTATAGTAAGTATCATTACCCAGTATGAATACTCCATCGTTGCGTATATTGATACTCCCCAAGTTGAAAGAGTATTACTCGTTATTACTGCCCATAATACAGATATGTATCTTTAATACATGATCCTCAGTCCGTCAACACCATCAGCCGACAACGTCATCGTCCATTCTCAATCACTCGCCTTAACCATCCAAGGCCAACCCAGAAGCGCCCCGCCGCCACTTATGATGCACTTATGATGCACGTCTACATCTAGATTCTAGGCTTACTACCATCTACCCCGTAGTTGATCTACTGATCCCACTCTGTACCGATCTCTTCATCCTCATATCGTCCATAGACCCCTCCTCTCCTTCCTCAATCCTCTCCGTCCCAGCCGACCTCTTCATCCTAGGATCGGTCCGGTTCTTAGCCATCTACCGATCCCTGGTCCACACGCACCTCCTCACGCGACACACCACCCGATTCGACAACCTCTTCCTCGAGAACCTACGGGGCGGCCTGGCCGTGCTGGTGATGGCCACGGTACGGGCCGTCTTCCTCGGCTTCCTCGCCTCGGCCAACTGGATCACCCTCGCCGTGGGGCGGCTCTCCCACCTGGGACCCGACGCCGGTCCTGTCGCCAAGCAGATCGAGTTCTCGTCTTGGAGCCGGTCAGGCTCTTCGCCCTGCCCGGTCTGGCCGTGAGGTCTGCCGCCGCGGCTACCAAGGCGCTCCGGAGGGTTACGAGACCCAGCGACGGCGATGAGAGAAATCACCCTGTCGGACTGTGAGCACGGTAGCCTTTTCAGTACCAGCGATGACAGATTTTGGCTTCGATGACGTGAGAGGTGGAGGTGAATGCAGCCAGGATCTCATGGTTGCATCTATAATACTGCTATACCTATGAACGGATACAATCGACGTCATCTTCATCCCATGACAAGATACTGTACCTACTGGAATACATTCTCCAGACCCCTACCGCTGGCCCACCGTTCGATATTGGCCACCTGCTGCTCATACCACCCGCCCAGGTTATCCTCCTGCACGTACCCCATATGCGGCGTGAGCAGCACGCGGCCCGTCTTGCCATCCTCCCCCCAGCCGGGATCCCTCCAAGGACTGTTCGGCGGCAGCGGCTCCACGCCAAAGACGTCCAGCGCCACGCCGGCGATGCTTCTCCCCCTCAGCGCCGCCAGAAGATCCTCCTCCACGACCAGCGGACCCCGCGACGTGTTCACCAGGAAAGCACTGCTCTTCATCCTGCCCAGGTCCGCTGCGCCGATGAGACCCCGAGTCCTCTCCGACAGGACGACATGCACGCTCACTACGTCGGCCGCGGCAAACAGCTCCTCCCGCCCGACGACGCGGAACGTGCCCGCCGGCAGACCCAGCTCCCGCGCGCGCTCGTCGGCGGCCTCCTGCGTCAGGTTCGCGCTCCATGCCACCACACGCATCCCGAACGCCAGGTGCATGATGCGCGCCGTCGTCCCGCCCAGCCGACCCAGCCCCACCACACCCAGCGTCTTGCCGGACAGCCCCGTCGCAAAGCCCGTCTGCCACCCGCCGTGCTTGATGGCTGCGTCGTCGGCGGCAACGTTGCGCGCCAGGGCCAGGATGAGCGAGACTGTGTGCTCTGTCGTGCTGTCGGCGCCGTTGGGGTTCGCCGAGATCGCCCCCGAGGGAGATGTTCCGGCCACGGGGATGCCGCGCGCCTTGAACGAGGAGAGGTCGAGGGCGGCGTTGCGACGGCCGCTGGTGAGGAGAAGCTTGAGGTTGGGGAGCCTGGCTATCAGGTCGCTTGGAAAGGGTGTGCGTTCTCGCATCGTGCCTGGGTTTGCTCGTCAGTTTTCGTTTCGCAGGGAGGATGACTACATAGGGTGTGGCTCAACAGAGGGATGCAGTGAGAGGGGGAGGGGGGTGGTATACATATTATGCCAAATGGCTCCAGCCGTTGCACCAACTCGTCCTTGACAGACTGCGGCGTATCTGGATGGTCGTACGGCAACAAAGTGTCGCGGAAGTAGGTGACGTCGTACCGAGAAGCATCGAGCTTGGCGAAGCGCGTCTCGGCGAGACCTTGGTAGTCGTCCAGCACTGCGACTCTGAATTCGGCCATGACGAAGACTTCGCGAAGGGATAGAGACAGAGAGCGTCGGGGAGGGTTATGGTTGAGAGCGATGATGGCTGATGTGAGGATATGGTAGCTCGGATATGTGTACAGCCGGGCACAGTGTTGAGGGGTCATGGCATGACGGTGCAGCGCCATGGCGTGCTCACATGCGCACATGCGCATGCAATCAATCAGCAGCACTTCAACTCCTTACAATACACGTCCAACTGCTGTAATCGATTCTACAAGTACGGAACACTAGTAGTAAGGCGCTACGCTGCGGGGAAACAATCACATCTTACTGGGCATCCTCATCGCCCCATCCAGCCTAATAACAGTCCCGTTGAGCATGACGTTCTCAACAGCCTGCCTAACCAGCATGGCAAACTCGACTGGTTTGCCGGCCCGCAGCGGGAACTCCATGGCCCTCTCGAGACTCTTCCGCACCTTTTCCGGCATGACGCTCGTCATACGGCTCTCGAACAGGCTGGGCGCAATGGTGACGACGCGGATGCCGTGACGCGCCAGGTCGCGCGCCATGGGGAGCGTCATGGCCGCCACGGCACCCTTGCTCGCACTGTACGACACCTGGCCCTTCTGGCCGTCAAAGGCGGCCGAGGAGGCCACCATGATCACGACGCCCTTCTCGCCGTCGGGGCCGTCGCTGGCGCCGCGGGCCATGTGCGACACGGACCGGCGGACTAGATCGACTGTGCCCCGGAGGTTGACGTTGATGACAAAGTCGAAGTTCCCCAGGTCGAACGGATCGCCGTGACGGTCGAGGATCTGGTATAGTAGTCAGCACATGCATACTACCATGCATGGGAGAGAAAGGGGCCGGGGGAGGAGGAGTGGGCACGTACTGTGGCCGGCGTAGATACTCCTGCGGCGGGAATGACGCCGCCCAGTGGCTTCTGGGTCTCCTTGGCCCACTGCGCCGCCCCCTCCACGGCCTTGGCTACGCTGTCCGTGTCGAGGACATCGCAGACGAAGAAGCGCACTCTCGCGCCACCCAGGTCGCGCTCCAGCTCGGCGCCTGTCTCCTCATTCACGTCGAGCACTGCGGCGTGCCCGCCATTGTGGCAGATTTCGTCGACGCAGGCGCGACCTAGGCCGGAGGCGCTGCGTCATGTGAGTCAGTAGGTATTACGTTTCGGGTTCAGCACCGTGGGACGATGAGGGGGGACGCTGGGGATATGGTACCCGCCTGAGATGATGAATGTGCGTCCGTCAATCTTCATGGCTATCGATGGAGATGATGGAGAGGAGAGGCGCAGCTCATTCGAATATGGGTGAGACGTCGACGTGTATAAACGTGCACATGCATGAGCCGAGGTTTAGTACGGATTACAGATTACAGTAGCTCGATCCCCCACTGATACCGGTGACAGTTCAGCTGATCAGCTCACCCTGCCTCGCTTTCACCACAGGACCTGGATCGGGGAATTGTCCTCTTCCGCATATTAATACGGCGCACCTTGATTTCACGGTGATTTGTATGTATCTATCCATTTCCTTTCAAATTGCGTTGTATAGTTCGCTCCTGAGCTGCAGGGCTATTCCATCTGTTCGCATGTTGCCGGGGCTACTTACTGCTCATGTATATTGACGTAATTCTGTTTACTTGGAGTTGCCATGCTGCTGTGGGCATGTTACCTTATGTACATTAACACCCGTCGCGCGTGACGAGTAGTCAGCATCGGTGTCGACAAAGATGAGACTTCGGATCGATGGAATGAATCGAGAAGAAAAAGACAATTTTTTCTTTTTCAACTTCAAAGCGATGATTTCACACCTAAACTCGAGCTAACGCCCAACCCACGACACAACTGCGACGGCCAAAGTTACAGCCGTCAAAAAAAGAAAAGCGGCTTATATAATCTATACAGGGGTCCTCCCCTTCACTGTGCCTCCCCCCCCCATCCGAAGATTAGACCCTCTCCTCCCGCCCCCCCCGGTCATAGAGACAGAAAATGACATTCTAAATTACTTGCTGCCGCCCGTCTCGAGATAAGAATCTTGTCGTCTGAATCACCCACATACGCAAGCATCGCACAACCGGAGGCCGCTGGATACACCACCGAAAAAAAAAAAGAAGAAGCAGGAAGAAAAAAATACAGATCGGAGACCCCGCGAGCGATAGCATACATACACACACGCCACGATGACGAGACCTCGCAACTCGTCCGTCGCCAGCGAGGAGAGCGGCGGTACGGCGGTGCCGGACCAGGTGGGATGGTCTTGCCAAGAGAAGCTGATACACGCAAAGACATGACTGACTTTATCTGTGCGCACTGCAGGAACTCGGGAGCATGTATGACTATCTGGCCAAGATTATCCTCTTGGGACCCAGTGGGACGGGCAAGTAAGTTTGGCGACGCACCTCTGCAGCTGTAACCTCCCGATGATCTCCTTCCGACCTGACAGACAGAACACAGATCATGTCTTCTGCACCGATTCGTCAAGAACGAGTGGAGGGTTCTATCGTCGCAGACCATCGGCGTCGAGTTTGCCAGCAAGATAATCAAGGTCGGCACCGGTTCGCGGAGGAAGCGGATCAAGCTCCAGGTAGGACGCCGTCACGCGCACACACGCGCATGCACACACAGGGGAGCTTCTCTGGATGCTGACACGAAGAAAAGCTCTGGGATACAGCAGGCACAGAACGTTTCCGCTCCGTCTCTCGTTCATACTACCGTGGCGCCGCGGGGGCTATCCTCGTCTACGACATGTGCTCGCACGCTTCGTTTCGATCGCTCCAGCCCTTTCTCAACGACGCGCGCGCCCTCGCCTCACCCAACCTCAGCCTCGTCCTGGTAGGCAACAAGCTCGACCTCGCGGCCGAAGAAGAACAGCGACAGCGGCAAGACAGCCTGATCGACACAAGCATCCCGACACCCAGCAGCGTGGGATCCACGTCCACCATGGCGACAGCCATGGCGGCCGGACCCCCCTCGGCGGGAATCCCCTCCAGCTACGCGACGACGACGGGGTCTGTGCGCGACTGGAGCGGCTCCATATCCGCGGGGAGCACGACGCACCTGCGCGCTACCGTGGCCCCCGAGGGCCGCGAGGTATCCAACACGGAGGCGAGCCGGTGGGCCAGCACGGCCGGCGTGTCGGTCGTGACCGAGGCCAGCGCCCTAAGCGGCGAGGGCGTAGACGAGATCTTTGGCCGGCTGGCGCGCATGATTCTCACCAAGATCGAGCTGGGCGACATCGACCCGGACGACCCGATGAGCGGGATCCAATACGGCGATGGCGGGCAGTGGAACTCTGCGCCCAGCGACGGGGGCAGCATCAAATCTTCCACGACGGGTGTCACGGGCGACGACCTCGGCGGCGGGGGAGGCGGCGGTCCCGCTTCCGGGCTGCGCAGACGCCGACGCGGTAAGAGCCGCTCGCAGAACTGGGGCGGCCTCAGGGAGTGGGAGGAGGTCTTCACCCTCAGCAGTGGGCGGAGGAGGGGAGGCGGTTGCTGTTGAGGCCCGCTTCTTCCCTTGTCCTCCCTGTCCCACCTTACGGCACATGCTCTACGTACTTCATGACCCCTTTGTTATTCTCTTCATCTCTCCTTGTTCCCCCTTTTCATACTGTCCGATCCGCTCTCTTCTTTTCTTCTCTTCTTCTCTTCTTCTTCTTTTCTCATATCACTTCTCTTGACAGAAACTGCTGGGACGATGGATGGCAGCATTAATTGAGGAGGCATAAGCTGGAGTGTTGGATTCCATTGTTGAGCAAGCGTTGAACGTGTTCTCTTTTTTCTTCTTTCTCCTTCCATTACACCGTTCTTTGCTCCTTTTCTCATCTTCCTTTCGTTCACTCCTGCGAGAATAGACCTGTTTTTTTTTTTTTTTTTTTTCTTTTCTGGCTGATTCTTTTCATTTGCCATTTCCACCCTCAGGCGGTTGACCAAGGTAGCACATTCCATATTTCACTAGATGGCAGGAGAAGAGACAGACAGAAAACTATATGCTGTCTTTGAATACTCTGTGTTCCCTAGGTATCATGGTTGTCAAGTTACATCATTGGCCATCATCACTGGTGGGAATGAGTATCGACATGGTCACGCTTATGCATGGAGGGAGGGGACCCGGCCCCGAGAATGAAGACCCCTACATAATAAATGTACTGATATTGATTGATTTATTACTGTTATGATTATAGAGGCTTGGCGCTGCTGCTTGCCCCTCACTGAGCCCCTCTACGCCCCTCTCCAACGCGGGGGGTTCGCTCAGTGCCAGCGTAGGCATAACGTCTGATCTGGTATTTCGATAACTTGGACATGGGTTCGTCTGGGGATGGGGGAAGGTGCAGACCATGCAGTCAATCATAAGGCAAGCGACTGCTCTTTCCTTTTGGATGTTTGTGTTTCAATGCTACATACATTTGTGTATTTCCTATGACAAAAACATCATCTTCCCCGCTCTCTCCCCTCTCACACAACCATCTCACAACCATCCCTCTCATCGTCAATTCATCATCCCCTGGCCTTCAGACCGGCCCGGTCCCCCGATCCCCATCAGACGTCATGTCAACCCACACCGTCATCCCCATCAATGAAGATTGGCAGTTCAGACAGGCAAATAGTGAGGACGTAGATGACCCAGCCCACGATTATCTCCCCGTCAGCCAGTTCCCCACAAACGTCCATCTCGACCTGCTCCACCACAAGCTGATCCCGGACCCGTACATCGGCAAGAATGAGCTGCAGGTCCAGTGGGTTGGCGAGACTGCCTGGACGTACCGGACCACCTTCGGTACCCCTGAAGATGGTCGATCGCTGCTGCGCGACGACAGCGTAAAGGCTGTTTTGGCCCTCGACGGCCTCGACACCTTTGCTACTGTCATGCTCAACGGCACTGCTGTTCTCGAGTCGGACAACATGTTTGTCCCGCAGCGCGTCGACGTGACGGAGCAGCTCCGGGACGATGAGGAGAACGAATTGGTCATCACTTTTGACAGCGCGCACGTACGTGGCTGGAGGCTCGTCGAGGAGCATCCGGAGCACAAGTGGGGGTGTTGGAATGGCGACGTTTCTCGTCTTGGTGTCAGAAAAGCACAGTACCACTGGGTATGTGACGAGATGGAAATACCCAAAGGGTGGGATGTTATCACTGATGGAAAACAATAGGGCTGGGACTGGGGCCCTACATTGATCACCTGTGGTCCTTGGAGACCTGTCAACCTTGAGATTTACAAGTCAAGGATCGCCGATCTGTGGGCTGGTGTAAAGGTCGACGATGACCTGGCTGCTGCCCAGGTCACTGCCCGTGCAGAGATAGAAGGCCGCGCTGCAACCGTGCGCTTCGACATATCCCTGAATGGGGAAGCTGTGGATTCCCAGACAGTTGACGTCGCTGACTTGGCAGCAGCCGAATTCACAATTGAGAAACCCGAGCTCTGGTATCCCATTCGATATGGGAAGCAGTCCCTTTACGAACTCAAGGCGACACTCCTGGATGGCGCGGACGAGATTGATTCTTCCGCCAAGACTATCGGGCTTCGCAAGGTCGAGCTAGTCCAACGTCCCCTCGTGGCCCAGACAGGGACCAGTTTCTTCTTCAAGGTCAACAACATCCCCATCTTCTGTGGGGGGAGTGACTGGATACCGGCAGACAACTTCCTCCCTCGCATCTCCAAGGAGAGGTACCGCGACTGGGTGCGTCTGGTGGCAGAGGGAAATCAATTGATGCTCCGCGTATGGGGCGGTGGCATCTACGAGGATGAAGCCTTGTACGAGGCATGCGACCAGATGGGCATACTTGTCTGGCAAGACTTCATGTTTGGCTGTGGAAACTACCCTGCGTGGCCGGCGTTGCGTGAGTCCATCAAGCTCGAAGCGACGGTCAACGTCAAGATTCTGCGCCACCATCCGTCCATTGTCATCTACGCTGGTAACAACGAGGACTACCAGTACCGCGAGTCTGAAGATCTCACCTACGACCCCCAAGACAGGGATCCGGAGAGCTGGCTCAAGACTGACTTCCCCGCGCGCTACATCTATGAAAAGATATTGGCCGACGTGTGTGCCGAGCTGGTTCCCGACGTACCCTACCACTTTGGCAGCCCGTTTGGTGGGAAGGCAACATCAGACCCCACAGTCGGCGACATACACCAGTGGAATGTCTGGCATGGGACGCAGGAAAAGTATCAAGACTTTGACAGGCTCGCCGGCCGTTTCGTGTCCGAATTCGGAATGGAGGCCTTTCCCGACATCCGTACAGTTGACCAGTTCCTGCCAAAGGGGCGAGATGACCCTGACAGATACGCACAGTCATCAACAGTGGACTTCCACAACAAGGCCGCCGGCCACGAGCGACGTCTCGCCCTGTACCTGGCCGAGAATATCCGCTACTCTCCGGACCCGTTTGAGTACTACATCTATTGCACTCAGCTTATACAGGGCGAGTGTCTCGCATCGGCCTACCGACTATGGAAGCGTCAGTGGAAAGGTCCGAGGAAGGAGTACTGCGCGGGAGCTTTGGTGTGGCAGACGAATGACTGCTACCCCGTAACTTCGTGGTCCGTCTGCGACTACTACCTCCGCCCCAAGCTAGCTTACTACACGGTCAAGCGGGAGATGGCGCCCATTTCTCTAGGTATCAAGCGCCGCGAGCACCAGCACATGAAGGACCACGACGCGAACGGCCCCATAGAGATACGGACCGAGATTGCAGTGTGGGCGTCAAATTTGATGCTTGACGATCTGCAAGTCGATTGCGTCCTGAAATCCTGGGATGTCGAGACGGGCGAGGAGACATACTCGGACACGGTGGCCTTGGATATCACCATTCCGGCGAACCAGTCTACCGAGATCGTCGCCGTGGATGTACCCGTTGCCAGAAAGAACGCCGGTCTCGAGGCCCGCACCGTAGTGGCCGCCTACCTTGTCGAGAACGGCACGCAGATTGCCCGCTATGTCAACTGGCCGGAGCCCCTCAAGTACCTCCACCTCCAGAAGCCAGAGGATCTCAAGGTCCTCCTGTCGGACGATTTGAAGACCGTCTCTCTGTCGGCTGAGGTTCCTGTGAAGGGACTGGCACTCGGGTCTGAAGATGATTCCGTCCGCTTCAGCGACAACCTTGTCGATCTCGTCCCCGGTGAGGTGGTTAGGGTGGGCGTCGGGGGTGCGTCAGAGGGAACAGAGGTGACGAGCCAGTATCTGGGCATGGTGAATTGATTTGTACTCTCGGCTATCTTGTTTCGAGAAGTGCAACGAATACTACTGGTATGGATAAGATGGACAGCTATGTTGTAATGGACGAGAATTGATGCAGATGAAGCTAGAATGAGCGGTCTATATTAGCACATCAAAGTAAACAAAAAAAAAACAAAAAAAAAAAAAAAAGATACTCTGCTGAACAGTCACTTCATATAGCCGATACCAGATGGAAGAGGCCAGGGTGAAGCAACCGCTGCTAATGATAAATCAAGACGAGCGTGATGAGAAACAAGGAGAGAGAGGGGCAGAAGTGAACCGGATCACTTTGGGTACCTCGCAAGGAGAGTGACAGCTAAATACCGAGGTAAGTTGCACTATTCCGACCATGACCAGCGTGTACGCCGAAATAGGAGAGAAAGGGTTCTCGATGACCGGCATGAAGCAGGAAGGGGTGATGGCCGACGTCCAAGGTGCCCCCCTCACTGATGTCCCAGACACCCCTTGCCCACTCGCATTGGGCGGCATGCCGGAGATATCCGGGGACGGTGTAGGTGACGTCCATGTAGGCGCGGACGAAGGTGCTGCTGCTGCACAGGGCCTTGAGGGTGCAGCCCTTGCAGCAGATGCCGTACTGGGCGGGCAGGTAGGTCTGGATCAGCGGGGCAAAGTGGTCGGGCATATCGGCGAGGTGGGGGGTCCCGCGCTGGTTGAGGGTGGAGGATGTGTAGTGCGGGTAGGTGACGGAGACCATGAAGCGGCGGCAGAGGGCCTCCTTGGGGTGCTCGTAGCCGGGCGGGGGGCTGCGCAAGGCGCCCAGCCTGTACAGCTCAGCCCTGGCCCAGTTGACGGGGACGATGGACTTGAGGAGGGCGGCGGCCCGGCGGTGGGGCTCGGCGTCGTTGTAAGGCCCGGCGACGGGGAGGGGGAACTGGCCGAGCAGGCGGCGCAGGCGGGCGACGCTGCTGCGCACGGACCTGGCGAAGCGGCTGAGGGCCTCGACGCGGAAGTCCGGGTGGGTGCGCAGGCAGTTGAAGCAGGCGCGCTGGACGGTGGGGATGAAGAGGAAGTGGCCGAAGCCGCCGCAGTTGACGCAGTCGGAGCGGGCGAGGGCGCGGTCCAGGTCGCCGACGGTGAGGGTGAGTCCCATGCCGATGGCGACGACGGCGCGCAGCCCCCCGAAGCCGTACGTGGCCACGCGGCGCAGCGGAGGCGAGCGGCCGGCGAGGGAGTGCGCGCGGCGGTTGACCTGGCGGAAGCGCAGGAAGGTCTGGACCGGCATCCAGCCCATCACCATGGTCAGCAGCTCGTCGGGAAGGCGGTCCAGCTCGCCCAGATCGGCCTCGTGCGGGCCCGCCAGCAGGTGGAGGAGCCCCTGCTGGGCGATGACCTCGCGGAACCAGCTCCCGCCCGCACCGGGGACGCCCATCTGGTGGAAGTCGTTGCGGACGTGAGTCCCGACCCGCACCCTGGCTGCCTCCTCCGTCTCCCACGGCGGGACGGACCCGGGGGCGGTCTGGAAGACGGCCACGATCTGGGCCTGGACATCCTGGGGGACCGGTACGTCCGGCAGGTACTCCGAGGCGGTGCGCTTGAGACCTGCCCACGCCTCGGGGTACCACGCATAGTCGGCGTCCGCTCCCCCGGCCCCGGTCCCGGTCCCGGGCTGTGCGTTGGCGTGCTCCTGAATCTGCAGCGTGCCCATGACTTCCTGGACCGCCTGAACCAGGGTCGAGTCGTCTTCGCCGCCGCCGCCGCCGCCCAACATGTTGGTGTCTACGGTGATCTCATCCTGCGTGGCGTCGGCCATAGTCACGTCCTGATTGGGGCTAGCATGCTGCTGCTGCTGCTGCTGCTGTTGCTGTTGCTCCGCGTCAGATTCCATGACGTCGTCATCTTCACCTTGGAGATATATAACACTCGACTCACTTTGCGTGGAGGGGGAGGGTGGCATGTAGGATGAGTCGCCGTCTTCTTCGAAGTCGGACTCCCCCCCAAACGAGAGCATCCAGTCTTGTCCTGGGCTGCCTGTCATGGCTGGCGGAAAGGATGTTAGTAGAATAAGAAAGAAGCTGTTGTTGATAATTGGGTGTTTGTAGGTGTGTGAGATGATGATGGAGACGATGGGGGCTGAGGAGGGGACTGTGCATCATTATATATTCAGAGCTCTCGAGCGATCTTCGCGGTTGCGTGAGATGAAGCAACTGATGATGAGGAAGGACAATGCACCACCCCCTCCGCCAACCCAGCGGAGAACGACACGGGGTGTGAACATGACACAAAGGGAGGGGGGACAAGAGCGGAAACAAGAGATGATGCGGACAAGAGAATGTTTCAAGAACATGAACGACCGAAACAAAGAATATGCCCCCTAGGGAGGAGAGGGTGCAAATGACGGACGTTGAAAACCAAGCGATCGAGTAGGAGAACAAGGGGAAATGTTTCGAGAGCAAGAAGAATAATTCAAACAATGAGATGAACTGCGCCCCAAGAATTAAGACAAAGAAGTGCCCATGGAACGATGCGGCGGCGGGACGGTGATGAGAAGAACAAAGGGGCCTGTTGCCCTATGACAATACTAGCATGTTGATACATCAATACATGGTTCTCCGATGGCTTACACCGACTGAATACGACGGCCTTCCACCTGCTCATCTAGAAGCACCACTTATTATTACAAGATATCACATGCAGCTGTCACAGGTATCACCGGCGACAAAGGTAGAGATGGGCCTGGGACGACGACGACGACAACAACAACAACAACAACCGAGATGGAAAAAATAAGATGAAGAGGACTGTGTACAAAGTCTCCCTTTGGTAATAGCAGTTGACATGAATGCGATCGTAAAGATTGAGGTCCGATCCCCCGCATACACGACAATTGTGGTTCGTAGATATATATTATATACGAGCACGGATCACATTGATAATACAGAATACGCAACTCGTCTCATGTACATGTATTCTATGAACCCCGGGGATTGATCCATCAAGCCACACACGTACGTCCAAATACCCCCACGGTTCAAAGTTTTCGCCCATCTTCTTTTTTTCTCTTTCTCATATGATTAGCTGTCATCTTGACCATCGCCTCAGTCCCGGCCAAGGCCTACTACCGGTAGGGTTCCCACCTACATAGTGTCATCGACCACGTCGTCCCCCCCGCGCACGTGCTAAATCGATTCGCGCCAGGGAATCTCGCATCGTGCATGTACGGCTGGGTCATGTCGATTGCTGACATTTACAGGATAGATCGACAGGCACCCACCTGGCTAAGTAGTATTGATATTTCCAAGTTGCTCGCCGTAGTACATGTACTAATATCTCGGCGCGACGAGCCGGTCGGGGACTGCAGTATACTATACTGTACTTGCATGGCTCTCAAAGTACTAGATATCATGATGAACCCATTGACCCCTCTCCATCCGACTTGCCTTTCGAGGACAGGTTTTGCTGGCCGGTCGTGGGGGAGGGAGGGGAAAGAGGGGGGTACGCTGTTTAAGACCGTGCCAAGGGAGGAATTCCCATCTCTAAACTAGTCAGGTCCACAGATAGGATCACGAGTATAAGGGGCAACGAGCGCCATTGGAACATCCGACGGAACAGAATCCATGTCACGGTGGCTCCGTATACCAAACATGATTATATATATAAAGACGGCTGAACCCCAACCCCAGCCCCAGCCCCAGCCCAGCCAGCCCAGCCCAGCCAGCCCAGCCCCCTCCTCTTCCTTCTTCCTTTTAGTTAGCCAGGAAAAGTTTGTGTATATCCTCCAGGAATTTCTTGTCATTCTTCCGGTTCCTTCTAAATCTCCGTACGCCTCTATACATTCCCCGTCATGCAAAAGACTCTTGTTGCTCTGGTAGCCCTGGGTAGTGCTCAAGTCCAGGCCACGCCCCTGTCCACTGTCCGGCGTCGCGACATTATTGAAGCTCTCCCCGAGTCAGCGTCGGACGACGAGCTCAGGTTCCAGCCGCAGCTCGACTTCGACTCGGACGGCTGCTACCAGACCGCCGCCATCTCCCCGGATGGTACCTGCAACCCCGGCCAGGACGCCACCGGTACGCCCCAGGGGAACTGTCGCGACCCTCGCCAGCTGGAGAGCAGCAACACGTATTCTCGCAAGAGGTGCAACAACGGCTACTGCGCTTACATGCAAGTTCCCTTGCCCCTCGAGAGGATAGAGAGAGATGGAGGGAGGGGAGGGGAGAGAGGAAGATTGGACTGCATTGCCGATGGCAGCACCATACCGAGACTGACGAGAGCAAACAGGTACGAGCACTACTTTGAAAAGGACCAGGCCGTCTTGGGAAGCTTCCTGGGCGGCCACAGGCACGAGTGGGAGAATATCGTCGTCTTCACGCAGGCCGGCAGCACGGTGCGCGTGGCCCCCTCATGCCACGGCAAGTACGACGGCGCGAGCAACGAGTTCCCCGTCGACGGCACGTCCCCGCAGCTGGTATACCACAAGGACGGTGTGGCCACCCACTGCTTCCGCTTCGCCAACGACGACGACATCTCCAACCCGGCGAACCCTACCGGTTCCTTCTTCAAGGCTCCCCTCGTCGGGTGGGACTCCTGGTCCGACGAGAGCCTGCGCGACACCATGCTGTCTAACTGGAGCGGTGGCGTGGGGCCCAAGCTAGACGACGAGTTTACCGACTCGCTCAGGGCTGCTGCCGGTGACTATGTTCCTGGCTTCGACCCTTCTGTCGATGAGTGAGAGGTTCTGTCTTTCGGTGCATCCTCTCCGACTGCTGGATATGTATGTACGCGTCTTTCCCCCCCCCTTGTTTTTTTTCGGTTCGTTCTCTAAACTGCTGTCGAGACATGATGTGTTGGCGAGAGGGAAACGGGTACAGTCCAAGCCAGGGCAGATATAAAATTCTATAATGAAGGAAAAGAGTAACTGTCACCGATTAAAAATTAGACACCAATGTTCCGACATTCTTCTCCTTGGCCAGGTCTAGAATCTTGCTACCCGACACCAGATCGGTGACGCTGACGCCCACGCTCTTGTAGACGGCAAAGCCGTGGCTCGTCCAGGCGTCCACCTGCGCAGGGGAGAGTGCGCCCCGGGGGGACGTGGGCCTATCGCTCTTCCAGTCCAGCACCTGGCCCACCTCGATGAGCTGTCCGTCCTCCAGGGCGGCGCCGATACCCTCGCCGGTGCTCTCCCTGACCTCGTGGCGGTTGTCGACGAGGACGGCCCCCTCCTTCCGGGCGGCGTACCTGAGGATCTCCGGGTCGAGCTCGATCATCTGGGGCTGCCAGGCGCCGATGGCGGAGATGAGCGGGTTCCTCCTGCGCTCTCCGCCGCCCAGGACGTCGTCGAGGGAGAAGAGCTGGGCGGTTGAGGGGACGGTGCAGAAGATGACGTCGGCGCCGGCCGTGAGCTGCGCGAGGCGTTCCTTGCTGCCGGGCCGCGAGGAGTCGAGGAAGGTCAGCTCGGCCGACGACTTCCAGTACCTGCCGTTCTCCGCCTTGAGGGTGTCGATCATGGCCGACGCCGTCGACCCGGAGCGGTTCACGGCGACGATGCTCTTGATCTCGGAGCCGCGCAGGGCGAGCGCCAGGCGGATGTGCCAGAGGGCCTGCTTCCCCGCGCCGAACACGAGGATGCTCTCCGTGTCGCGCCTCCACATGTAGGGGATCAGAGCGCACAGCGACGTCCGGAAGGCGGTGACGCCGGCGGCGTTGACGAGCCCCTTGGGCGCACCCGAGGCGTCCACGAGGGAGAGCATGCCGCGCAGGGGGCTCTGGACCTTCCCGCCGTCGGCGTCGAAGGCGGGCGCCGCGTCGACGATGATCTTGGTGCCGACGAGCTCCGGCGACGTGAAGGAGCGGAACAGCACCTTCTGGCCGTCGGGCCGGTTGACCACCCCGGCTACGGGCTGGTACTGGCCCTCGTTCTGGACCGAGACGTGCATCAGCGACTGCGCCAGGTCCCGCTGGAAGTCGAGGATCTCGTCCTTGGAGAGGCCGATGAGCAGCTCGTGCACGGCGGAGTCGCCGACAACGACGAGGTCGGACATGATGATCTGCCGCGGGGTAAAGGGCGGGGTGGGGGAGCAATAGAGAAGGGTGAGGCGATTTATGATTGCACGCAACACTGCCCCGTAGAGCTGTCAGCGTTTATTGTATGGTGGCTGCTACTGTGAAGGGGAGAGATGGTAGGAATGTACAGAATCACGCAGGGCCCGCTATCACTTGAAATGTACATCGTCTACGAAGAAACCGAGCCTGGAAATCATGCCGGTCCCAGGCTCCGATTGAGGTCCGGTCTGCCCCCGCCGCTTGACTTCGGATCGTACGAGACACTGACAGCGTGCGTGTGTTATAATATTAGCTGAACCGCCAGCCACTCGGCCCATGCGCTGCGCTTGCGCAGATTCGTGATTCTGAGACGTACGATCCTGGAACATGATTGAATAAAGCAGTGGCTTACAATACAACCTGCAATACATCACCTTGACCGCTTTGCATCCCAATCCACCGTCTGCCACCTCTACCACTGAAGCATTGACGAATATCCCGTGTCATGGCCCGGATGTACAGACGGGACGCCCCTCCGGCCGTAATATTATACTCTCCACAGGCGTTCTTACAGGGTCTTGCAGGGCCTTACAGGGTCTTACAGGATCTTACAGAGGACTGACGGCGGCTTACAGCGGCTTACAGCGACCAGCCCACCCCAGCCCCCCGCCCGCTAGGATGAGCCCGGGCCTGGAATCCGGGCCGACCACTGCGCCGATGGTAGGGAGCAGGAGCAAGGGAAAACTCACGGGGAAAGTGCAACCCGCGACAAATTTTCCCCCTCACACAAACATCACGAAGAAGGAAGAAAAGAACAAGGACGTGCGGGGACGACGATGAACGACGACGACGACAACGACTGCCGGGCGTGAGCTGCGTCACACATGACGGCTATTGTCTCTGTATATCCGCTATACGAGACATGGGCAATGTTGGCCGTCCGTCGTGCACGCTCTCTCTCTCTCTCCTGGTCGGTACTCTGTCCGGTCATCTTCGTCACCGCTCCCCCTCCTTGATTCTTTCATTCTATCCTCCCTTCGTGCGATTCGCAGCGTTCCTAAGCGAGCCACTCGTACCTCATCTCCCACGAGTCTTCTCACGAAGATCCTCCGCGTCGAGCACGTCTTGTGTGAGGCGTTGGAGGCCGGCTGGCGACGCGAATATGGCGGACGGGCTTCTACAGCTCGTTCTGCCTAGCTGCAAGACCAAAGATATCCTGGACCATCATAGTCCGCGTCCGTCTCCAAAATCTCGGTTTTGTTCCTACACGGGCGAGGCTCCAAGAGCTCCAACAATTTCTCTTCTTCTTCCCCTTCCATCTTTCTGTCTCCTGTCTCTCTCCTTCTCTTCTTCCCCTCCCCCGAGAGCGAGTGCAGGCAACGTTTGTAGCGTCATAGATTGGATGTTGATTGGGTATTAGCTGTCATGTTAAGCTCATGCCGATTGAGCCGAAGACGTCACTTCGAAAGGGAGGTGCATATCTTAGAATCAATCAACGATCCTCTCACCAACATCACAGAATTTGCGTCTCTTCACCTATCTGCTCTGCTGTACGTGTGTATGCGTCGTTACTGTTACCATTATTGAATCTTGGTTGAAACCAACACCCCCCCCCCCCCCCAAATCATAATCATGTCGCCCGACGATAAAACCAAGCATTCCAGCTTCTCCCACTTACCCCTCAGCACCAGCGGATCCATCGACTGTGCCCTCAACGGATCCGCCCTCCTCAGCTCGCCCTACTTCAACAAGGGCTCTGCCTTCTCCGCTGATGAGAGACGCCAATTTAACCTGGCCGGCCTGCTACCTCAATGTGTTCAGACGCTCGAGCAACAGGTCCACCGTGCCTACGAGCAATACTCGTCGAGATGTGACAACCTGGCCAAGAATACGTTCCTGACGTCACTCAAAAACCAGAATGAGGTCTTGTACTACAAGGTATGCGGATATTCATTCTCCCCGGGCTCCCTTTGAATAGAGAATAGAAGGAGAGAAATTCAGGGGGAAAAAAAGAAAAAAGAAAGGGATGGGGGGGGGGGGGGCTCTTGAGGGGAAGGGAACTGAACATCGACAGCTTCTGCAAGACCATATCAAGGAAATGTATGGCGTCGTATACACGCCTACCGAGGGAGACGCCATCCAGAACTACTCAAGACTGTTCCGCAGACCAGAGGGCTGCTTCCTCAATGTGAATGACCAGGACCGCGTGATGACCGACCTGGCCCGGTGGGGGGCCGCCGAAGACATTGACTACATTGTCGTGACTGGTGAGATTTTATTTATTTATTTTTGCAGTCAGCCCACTGTCCTCCCTTCCTTTCATCTCCCCTGACACACCGATATAGATGGCGAGGAGATCTTGGGTATCGGCGACCAGGGCGTCGGCGGCATCCTCATCTCGGTAGCCAAGCTGGTACTGACGACCCTGTGCGCGGGGATCCGCCCGAGCCGCACCCTCCCCGTCGTTCTGGACTGCGGGACCGACAACCAGGAGCTTCTGGACGATGAGCTCTACCTCGGCCTCCGACAGAGGCGTGTCCGCGGTGTCAGGTACGACGAGTTCGTAGACACCTTCGTCACGTCTGCGAGGAAGCTGTATCCCAAGGCGTACATTCATTTCGAGGACTTTGGCCTCGACAACGGTGAGTTGCGGAGAACCCGTCACTCGTCACTGCCAGTACCCACCTATCTCGTACTCACAAGCATCCCTGCCCAGCTCGTCGACTGCTCGACCAGTACCGTCCCCAGACAGCCTGCTTCAACGACGACGTCCAGGGGACGGGGTGCGTCACTCTGGCCGCCATCATGGCCGGCCTCGAGGCTAGCAGCCAGAAGCTGAGTGACCTGCGGATGGTCGTGTTCGGCGCAGGTACCGCCGGTGTCGGCATCGCTGACCAGGTGCGGGACGCCATGGCGGCAGAGGCCAACATCAGCCCGGAGGAGGCCTCGAGGCACATATGGTAAGTATCACTGCCATCCGATACCCCCCAGATACGATTGTGCGAAAGCTCACGGTAAGTCCAGGCTGATCGACAAGTCGGGTCTCATCACGACCGAGACAGCCTCGTCGGCCGCGCAGAATCCCTTCCGCAAGGACACCTCGACGTGGACCGACGCGGGGACCGACCTGCTGTCCGTCGTCGACGCCGTCCACCCCAACGTCCTGGTCGGCACGTCCACCGTCCCCGGCGCCTTCACCGAGTCCGTCGTCCGCACCATGCACAGGCACGTGTCGCGGCCCATCATCCTGCCGCTGTCGAACCCTACGCGACTCCACGAGGCCAGGCCGTCCGATCTCCTTCGCTGGACGGACGGCCAGGCCCTCGTCGCCACCGGATCGCCCTTCGAACCCGTCGCCGGACCTTGGGGATCCGGCGGCGAGGACGTCACGATCGACATAGCCGAGTGCAACAACTCGGTCGTGTTCCCCGGCATAGGTCTGGGGTGCGTCCTCTCGCGCGCCTCCCTCCTCACGGACCGGATGCTCGTCGCCGCCGTCAAGGGCGTCGCCGCCCTGAGCCCCACCGAGTCCTGCGCCACGGCCCCGCTGCTCCCGGACGTCGTCGACGTGCGGAAGGTGAGCGTCCGCGTCGCCCGCGAGGTCATACTCGCCGCCGTGGAGGAGGGTGTCTCCACCGTAGAGGGCGTCCCGTCGGCCGCGGACGAACTCGACGACTGGATCCGTGAGCAGATGTGGGACCCCATCTATAAGCCACTGAGGCCCGTTGAGCTCGCAGGTGCGTCTAGGAGTGCGAGGGGCCAGCTGCGCCAGTTTGGATCCGTGATTCGGTGATTTCCAACTCGCGTCATGGCATGACGACGCTCCAAATCACGTCCCCCGGAATACAGCGTAGCGGATAATCTATAGTGAGATGATGTGTTACGGAAAAAAAATCCTACCCTCTTTCCATCTCTTGTTTGGGACATGGCAACGAAAGACAGCCCGATCCCATCTTTCTTCTTCCTTTCAGCTCACGGCCGAGAAGTGGCTTGCACAGTGCCGGAACTGAAGATTTGCCCAATTACCCTATTAGGAAATATTGAACCCCCCCCCCCAGTGTAATATAATTTCTTGCTTTTTTTTTTGGACGGCCACCGCGGCATGTGGGTAGACGGTACGTAGCTATCGATGGGAGAGATCTCTATATGATTGACGATGGTGGTCAAAGAGTCAGATGTGTGCATATCAGTCTTCATTATTCGTAGCGGGACAGCTTCACGGGCACATACGGGGTGATAATACATGGAGGCCGATGAGGAGTCAGGAAACAGGAAGCAATTGATGGGGTACGGACGTGTACATTTAGCAAACAGAAGAACATTGGAACAGCTCGACATGCCTAAGCGGCACTAACACACACATCTCTCATTACCAGCGACGACAGACCGCCTGTCTCGTCCTTTTGGCTAACGTCCTGTCGACAGAAGACCCCAATGCAGTCCGGCATAGACCAGTTCCTGCCCGCCAGTGATCCGGTCCGGGCTGGACGGCGGCGACAGGCCCCGAATTCCTCTCCAGCGGTCGATTCTATGGACGCATGGGCATGAGGTTTTCGAGGGTGGCGACGAGCGAGTTACGCAGGATGCGGTAGTTGTTGTCGTGGGTGGAGGCAAACTTGCAGATGGAGCGGTGGTCGGCGCTCATGGGGGCCTCGAACTCGTTGACCAGGTCCATAATGGCGGAGCTTTTGTCGACGATGAGGGAGCGGAAGTGGCTCATGATCTCGGTCTCGTAGAAGGAGCGGATGTCGAGGCGGGACGAGAGCCAGAAGAAGTCGTCGTTGATGGTCCTGACGGCGGCCGAGTTGCGCTCCAGGTCGCCGACGTAGGCCTTGTCGAGGGCGACGGCGCGCAGGAGGATTCCGAGCAGCCTGGCCGAGTCCGCGCCGCGGTGCGGCGTGGCGAGGAAGTACATGGACGCGAAGCGGCGGGCGATGTCGCGGTGCTCCGGGTCCCGGACCGCTCCGATGAAGGCCCTCTTGGCCACCAGCCCACCCATGCTGTGGCCGATGGTGATGATGCGCGTCCCCGCGCCCCGGATGTACGGCGACGTGGCAATCTCGGTCAGCAGCGACATGCCGAACTGGTGGATCCCCATGCAGTCCGTCCCGCTGCTGCCCTTCAGGTACCGCGAGTCGTAGCCGAACGTCGAGATCCGCACGCCCCTTCCCATGATAGCCGGCTCCTTGGTCAGCCATAGTGGCCAGAAGGAAGACGGCGAATGGCCCTTGCTCCACGTCTTCCTCGAGTCCCCCGCCAGTCCGTGCACCATGATGATGTCGATCTTGGGGTCTGGCGGCGAGTACACTAGGCTCAGTCCCAGAGCACCTCGGGTCGAGCCGGCAGCTTCGCTCGGGGGAGGCGCTTCTACCGCCGACACCGTGTAACCGTTGTTGGGCCTTGAAGTGACCTTGCCTCTGCCACGAAGCTGCAGCGGAGATCGATATCAGCCCTCAACCACGTTTTCAATCTGCAAGTGTGGTACCGCAAGGAGGGCCTAGGTTGTACGAACCATCATGACTACTCAATAATCGAACCGCAAAGGACGATCAATGCTTCATATATAAAAGTCTTTGTGAGTATGTAGTTATTGTGGGGGGGGGAGAAGAAGAGAAGGAAGAGAAAGCAATGTGTCGTCTCACGTTGATCTTGCCCAATTCAACCATGAAAATCGCGGCAAGCAACCGCCCTTTTTATCCCCAGATTCTTCACCCTCCAAGCGCCCGATTAAAGACTGTTGACCCGACCAGGAGGCCTGCCATGAAGAATCTCGGAGGAAGGAAACAGATGAGAGGTCCAAGGTCCCACTCAAAATCACATAATTGTCCCTGCCATCATTCCGTTAAGTTTCTGTACGCGCCTCCATATTACTATGTACATGTAAGCTAGAGAGCCTCCGAACATACATGACCGCAACCAACATCCATGCACCGTCGGATGCAAACCTCTGTATGGGCCAGACGCACCATGCAAGCACGCTTTCGCAGAGCTTCTCGGACACCAACGGGGCAATGTGGCATCAGGAGACTACGCGACCCGTCCGTGGTCGAGACACCAATGGCCGTGACCGCGGTGGAGCATCGATGCACGAACTGCAGCATGACAGGGTCCACGGCGAAGCGCGTCGAGAACCGCGAGACGATCATCTCCCTTTCCTTGCTTTTCTCTTCCCGCCGGGGACCTTGCTCCAATCAATCAGTATTGGCAGATCTCTGTGCCGGGCTGACCCAGTTCCGTTGCCGCCATGATCTCGTCTTCCGCTACTGCAGGAATCATGATAATAATAGCCGTACGCGCTGCCACGACGCCAACGCAAGGGGCTCACCATCACCAAGATGGCTAATATTAGAGTCCACACCCGCGCTTAACACTGCACGTCACTGCAGCCAAGACGAGACGATGGGTCCTCTCCTCTTCAGGCAGTCAGTTAAAACTCATTACCATGAATTCCTGAAGAAACATTCAAGGTATAGATAGCTACCTTCCGTATGACTACGTACGAGACGGAACGGAGTTAGGAATAGAATAATTAATGTTTATCCAACAACCTCCCCCCCCCCCCCCCCCCCCCCCCCCCCCCTCACACACGGGGGGGGGGGGGGGAGTAATTCCAGGACAGATCTCGTAGTAATAATAGTATCACTACAGATTAGTGGAGTCGTAACCAGGGTTCGGCACTGCACCTCCCCCCCCCTTAAAAAAAAAAAAAAAAAAGGAGAGATGCGCACTGATCAAAAAGTAGAAAGAGCGTGTTGACCGAGATGAAACAGAGTTGGTTCCGACAAGAGAAGAGTGAATCCCCCTCGTAGTCTAGTACTAGAGCAGACCAGCCCTCGCCGCCTCCCCGGCATTGTCATTGATCAGATCCTCGACCCTCTTCTTGCCGCGGCCGAGGCCGCCCTCTCCGACGCCCATCCTCCTGGCGACGTAGCGCTGGGCGACGACGCCGACAGCAAGGCTGAGCTGCTCCTCGATCCACTCGGCCACCCACTCGCGGGGGTCGACGCCGCCGCTCTCGATAATCTCCCTGATCTCGTCGGGCAGCTCGTCGGCAGCCGGATAGTCTGAGCTTCCATCTCCCTCCTGCTTGTTCTCGTCGCCGCTGCCCTCGCCGTCGTCGGTGGTGCGCGGGGTGAACTGGGCGGGGACGTCGAGCCAGCGGGACCAGCGGGCGGGGATGGACTGTGAGATGGTCGAGTACTCAATCTCGTGGATGGGGTCGAGGACGAAGACGGCGAAGCAGACGAGCTCCTCGTTCTCGGACTGGTCCTGCACCGCCGAGGAGTCCTTGTCGGCCGACGCGGACGCCGTCGGGGCAAACAGGGCCTTGTCGGTGTCCGTCGTGATGGCCTGGACGGACAGGAACAGGTCAGACGTGCGGACCGGGTTCGTCTCGCTGACGGCCTCGGTGGCCCGCAGCTTGGCCTCTGCCAGACCGCCGTTGGCCGCGTAGTACTCGCTGGCGTAGGCATCGGCGCCCGCGCGGCAGAGCTTGGTACCCTCCACCAGACCCTTGATCAGGCCCAGCTCGCGCGGCGAGTCAACCTGTCGCCACCAGGGACCGTCCTGCCATCCCGCAGAGGCGTCGGCCGACCGGCGGGAGCTGCTCTCGTGCCCGCGCTGGATGACCAGCAGGTCCCCGCCCTCTACCTGCGACATGACGCGGGCAAAGGTGGCGTGGATCAGAGGGTCCAGGGAAGGGTAGCCGACCAGGTCGTGAGTGATGTGGATCAGGAGCCGTTCGTGCGAGCCGATGGGGGGGGCCAGGGTGTGGAGGATGTTGGCAAACGTGGGAATGGCGCGCTGACGGAGCTCGTCGCCTATCATGCTTCTGCGTTAGCCTCGCGTCGCCGGTATATAGAGGGTGAACGGGAAGCATCTCACGATTCCCATGTCCTTACCGTAAGTGCGCAGGGTGCCGACATCGAGTCCCTTGATGCCCCTGACCTGCTCGGCCCACTTCTGGGCTTCCTCGTTCTGCTGAATCTCCTTGTACGCCGCCTCGGCCTGCTTCATGGCAGCCGTAGCCGTAGCCGTAGCCGACGAAAGGAAGCCACCCCACCATCCGCCTCCGGCAGCCTGCTGCGTCTCGGCCTGCTTGGTGTGCTCGGCGCCGCCCTTCTTCTCCGACTCGTGCGGCTCGGAGCTGGTCGCACTGGGGGTGAGGCTGGCCTTGAGACTACGAGCGCTGTCGGTCGACTTGCGGCCCACGAGGGTCGAGGCCTTATCGTCGGCGGCGGGAGGTGTGGCCGTGGAGCGCCTGCCGTCCTTTATGCGCGGCGTATGAGGTCGGGACAGGTCCTGGGCGGCGAGCTGGGACTCTAGGTCGGCGAAGGGGTCGTCGCCCTTGGCCTTGGAGGCGGAGGGGCCCTTGTTCGTCTTGACCGCCGTCGAGGGCTTCTTGGCCTTGGTGCCGTCCCCGATGCCGGAGAAGAGATCGTCGATGTTGTCGTCGGCCGTGGGGGCCTTTGTCTTCTTGGATGCCATGGTGTGTGCCGACGAAGGAGTGGGAAAAGAGCTGTGATGACGGATGCCGCGCAATCAGGAGGAGAATCGAGAGCAAGCTTCTTCCCCCACGAGTCGAGACGACGGCGGATCAAAGTGGGGAGTGCTGGGCCGTGGACGGGAGATAGCAGGTATGCGGTGCTACCAGAGGCCGTTGTTGTTGTTGTTGTTGTTGGATACTGAGCCGAGGAGCCTTGAAGGAGAGTCGCTAGGCTGTCGTCATGAGGTCGGTATAAGTGGGTCCGACGGTGGTCAGTGGTCATTGGGCTGTTGTTGTCTGCAGTCCGTCTGTTGAATCCGTTACGTGCGTATCACGGGTACGGAGTACTATTACCAGTACGGTGTCGCACCCCTACGGTTCTGTACCCCGTAATACTGCGTGCTGAGAACCAGCGTGTTCTATAGGCGGTGGCTACGGAGTACTGACAGTGCACATATAAGACTGTGACGGCGGGTAAATCTGCTGGACGGGGTAACTTCGGCTAAGTGTTCCCGTGCACTTGTCACCGGTATCATTGGTAGATGTATTAGAGTATTACTATGGGGCCGTACCGAGACGGCTTCTGGAGCTTCATTGGCCTGTGGGGCGATGCACTACGGGGCCATCTGCCTTCCATGGTAATGTGCAAGGAATTACACGCAATTATATGACACCTATTACAGGGCATTCTCCCAGGGCACTCCTACAGAGCACTCTTACAGACAGACCCCTTATGGATGATAGCAGCTTAACAGGTGCTGTATGCAGTAATAGGGAGTGCCCCAGGTGCTTCTTCTCCCCCTAATTGAGCCACCATTTACACCTGCCACTGACCGCATCGGTGCGGTCACAAGCCACTTGAGGCTTGGAAGGTGGCTTTGTTGATTAATAGGATCCGTACTTGTACATGTAGTAAGAAAGAGCGGCAATCGTCTCACACAACACTGATCAAACCCTCACCCGCCCCCCCCCCCCCCCTCCATTCCCTCATATCAGTTGCCTCACGCACCACATCCTCATCATACCTCTCTTCATCTGTGTCCTCCCGATGATATTTCAGAGTCCATCAGGATACTATCCGAGCTGTCTGTACTGTCTGCCAGCCTCTGCCACCGCAAGAGGCTCTTGTCAAATCTCTTAACACATGACACGCCCTCGCATATAGCGTGCAGCACAAAATTCTCACCCTGACTTCAGCATCCACGTCACTGCTCTGACGACTCTGATTACAGAGACGTAGAGTTCACCATTCGTCTGCTCACCTGTCCTCCGTCCTCTCCTTCTCTCTCTCTCTCCTCTCTTGACAGACGTCGGGCATCTCTCCTCCCCGTGGCACCGCTTCTACTCATTTGCGTACAAAAGGGTTGCTCTGTCTTATTAGACACCCCCCTGCTCTCTTACACTTGGCTTTAGCGCTCTTATCCGCTAGTCACTTTTCAATCTTTCCCCCAATTCAGTGGTCCGCCAGCGTCACACGCAAAACCGCTTATTGCTACTCCTACTACAACTACATCGCACACACACACACACACACGCACGCACGCACGCACGCACACACACACGCACGCACACACACACGCACAAGAAGCAAACCTCACCTCCACTTAACCCTCCCTTAAACGCAATCACCAACAACATCATAGCATTCTCCTCTCCCCCCTGACACTTCCCGCACATGATGGATCGCTCATCGCGGCGGTCTTCGATTCGTCGCCCATCTCATGCCAATTCTGCCTCGCCACCCCCGTCTGCTCAAGACTCGTCTCTGCGTAGACACTCTAGTGTTAGCCCTGTGTCGAAGACACACTCTTGGCATCAGTCGTCACAAGCTTCTGCTTCCGGTCCTCCCCCGGCCCGGCGCACTTCCAAGGCCAGTAGCAATCACGAGCTCACCATGTCTACTCCTGAGCCACGCCACGACTCTGCCCTCACGCGCCAGAGGTCGAGGGTCTCTGATGACATGGCTGCCGATGGTCCCGACGGCGACGATGGCCCGACAAAGGGTGGTCACAGTCTCCGTCGCAGGGCTCGCGTGAATTACGCTACTGAGCTGATTGATGACGATGTCACTGTCCCTTCATCTACTTTGGCAGCGCGCCAGAAGAGACGCAGGCAAGAAGATGCCCTCCTGGACTCTCCCGATGATTCTCATCATCCCAAGGCACGTGGTTCATCTCTTGGGGTGGATACTCCCAGCGGCCGCAGGCGCAATCCGTCACGTCGTCTCACCGAGAACTCGAAGCCTGATTATTTTGACGGCGTCGATGGTGACTTCGGCCAGCATCATGATTCGGACGAGGAGATTCACGACACTATCCAGGTCGGCCCCTGGACGTCGGCTTCGCCAAGCTCGTCGTCAAAGAGCGGCTCGAGGAATGGGAGCATCTCCCATCCTTCCGCTTCGTCACCGCTCCAAAATGCGTCCCGCCATGTATTGGATGCTAAAAAGGCGATTGCTGCTACCACGGACGCTGATGCTGGGCCCAAGGCTGGGCCTGAGGCTTCCATCGCCAATGGCGACAACACTCACAAAACGTCAACTACCAGACCCAAGAATGATCAGCCGGGAGAACAATCCACGGACCCCAGCAGACAACTCCAACATGAATCAAAAGAGTCTCAACAGCCTGCCGTCTCTACGAGCACGCCGCCTGCTGCTGACGCCCCTGCTGATTCTTCTTCCTTGGTCCGTCGCTCCCCGGACGGCGGGTCTAGGGCCCCACCGACGCCTCCCACCAATCAGGACGGCAAAGACACGCCGCACACTCATTCGCCAGACCCCATCCACAACGGCCACAAGGACTCTTCAGCTGTTGCTGCTACTAACACTACGAGTCTCACTACCTCCTCCGACAACTTGCCTGGTGTGAAATCAGAGCACCGCAGCCTGTCCATGCCTTCTGCCGTAGAGCCCAAGCCTAGTTCTACTGATGCCGCTGAGGAGGGAGAGCCCCCCAAGCATCCTTCCGCTCAATTGACAGCCTTGGAGAAGAATTCTGTGGACCCGTCTGCTGAGTCCCCTGCCGCCCAGGATGCTTCTCTCACTGCCGAGACTCAGACGAACGATGAGCCAGACGACCACAAGGGCTCCTCGTCACCCAGAGACACTTCCATGGCAGATACGCCAGCCTCGTCCCCCGCAAAGGATTGCCAGAGCACGCCCGTCGAGTCGCCCACTCCTGCAGCAGACGCCCCCAATGAGGTCGAGCCCTCCAAGCTGGCCAGTGAGCCTGCGGTGGGAACTCCCCTCAAGGAAGAAGTTGCCGTCACGCGCAGCGAACCTGTTTCGGATCCCCGTTGGTCAAGGCCTCAACCCGTCCCCCAGGGCCGCTGGTCGCATCTCACTCCCTACATTGACGGTGAATACACCGTGTACCCTGAAAGGAAGACGGATGAAGACGATGCCAGTGAGGATCAGTCGCCCGAGGAGCAGGAATCCGGCAAGGAAGCCACCGATGCCGATGCTCCCGCCGACGATAACGACGATGGCGTGGACGCGCCCGTCACCGAGGCTCCCACGCCAGCTCTGAACACGCCCACCAGGGGATCGCCCGTTCCCGAGGCGGTCGAGACGGTCCTCAACTCGCCCGCCCCTGCAGGCGAGGAGCCGGAAGAGGCCGACGTGTCCGATGCTCAGGATGACATGGAGAGGAAAAAGTACTATCGGTACCGCAAGCTACGCGATCCTGACGAGTTTGTCACGGCCATCGAGAATTACGAGGACATGACTACCAGCGAGCTGTACGACGCCTTGCAGGCCATCAACCTCTCGCTCGTCGGCTGGCAGGATGAGTGGATCGAGCTCGGCAAGATTGTCGACGACTACGAGAACGCAACGCGTCGCCGCATCGCCGATGCCAAGTACGAGACGCGCACGCGCAACCTGCACCAGCACGGCATCAACTACGAAGAACCCGACTTTGTCGTCCGCGGCTACAAGGCCAAGGAGAGAGAGCCCATGAGCGAGACGCGCTACCTTCAGAGGCAGGACCGCATCATGGCTGCCACCTACGGCTTCGAGTATGACCCACACCCGTCCAAGATTGGCCGCCAGAACCCAGAGATGCAGCAGGCCGGTGTCACGACGCGTGGCCGTGCCCTGCGGAACCAGCCCAGGCAGACTGTCAAGGCCACCGAGTCCGACCCCAACGTCGTGGGCAAGAGGCAGAGGAAGCCCGTCCAACCGTACGACATGGCCGCGACCCACGACAACAGCCGCGCCTCGAGTCCCGTCGGCCGCGGTGCCCGACGACGGAAGACGGCCAACCAGGACAGCACCAATAACGACGATGTTCAGGCCAGCTTCGCGTCGAGCTTCAACGACAACCACTCGGACGGCGAAGCCACAGGGCCGGGTCGTCGCCGGAGAGCTGGTAGGCCCAGGGCGTCTCGCGGCACCGGTGACGACTACCTTCCCAGCAGCAATCAGGCGAACGCCCAAGAGGAGACTCCCAGAAGCTCCGGCCGTCGCGGCAGACCCCGGGCCTCGGCCAAGTACGATGACCAATGGTCCTCCAGCCTGGACGCGGAGCCCAAGCAGCAGCAGCAGCAGCAGCAGCAGCAGCAGCAGGGCCGCCATCTCCTCACGCTCAAGCTCCCCAAGGGCCAAAAGTTCAGTCAACCCTCGTCCATCACGGACAACGGGGACTCGCGCCCGTCTACGGCGTCATCTGACTCGACGACCGAGACTGTCGAGTCGTCGTACTCGCTCCGGCCCAAGCGCCAGAAGCGCTTCCGCGACGAACCCGAGGATTCACCAGCCCCTGCCGTCCAACCTCCCCCTCGGAAGAGGAACAGGCGAGCTGGACCTGCGGCCGGGGACGGCGACGAGGTCATGAAGACGGGAGCACCGACGCCGGCTACGGCCACTCCCAAGGCAGCCGCCACCGCCGCCGCCACCACCACCACCACCGCCACGTCCGCCACGGCCACGACTACTCCCACGGCTGCGACGCAGAAGTCGGGTGGTGCTGGCAGCGCCTCCGCGTCTTCTCGCAAAGGCCACAAGATCAAGATTATGCGTGCGTCGGCCGGACCTCCCGCCCCTCAGGAGCCTAGCCGCAACAATACGCCCTCGTCACAGCTTGCTCCTGAGGGCGGAGATGAGCCCACCAAGGACTATAAGGCCATGACTAAGTCGGAGAAGATGTCGGCGTCCATGAAGAGTGAGTTCCCATACCCATACGCACACATAATCATCTTCTTCCTCTCCTGCCACTGTCGAAAGATGCGGGGGGAGGATATGAAAGAGGGGGAGAAGACAGAGAAGGAAGAAGAATGCACTGACACATGACAGACCGCTGGGCAAACGGCAACATGGCAGGCGCCGTGGAGAAGCGCAAGGCCACTCTCGCGGCCAAGAAGGCAGCCCAGGTAGCTGCCGACCAGAGAGTCGGCCCCATCGCCCCCAAACCAAAGGCCAAGCAGGCCAAGAAGGAAACGGCGCCTCTGCCGGGGGAGAACCCGGCTTTCATCCACTCCCATCACCACCAGGCACCTCCTCTCCACCCTCAGCCCGGACCTGGCGGCCCTCCTCCCGGCGCTCATCTCCACCACCAGCAGCCTCACCGGCAGCAGCAGGTCCATCACCAGCAGCCGCACCAGCCTCATCCTCATGCCGCTCCTCTACCTCACCATGCTCCTCTGCACATGGGGCCTGTTCCTCACCAGCAGCAGCAGCAGCAGCAGCAGCAGCAGCACATCCATCAACACCACATGCACCCTCACCCTCACTACGCCCCCCCCCCTCCTCCCCCTCCTCCTCCTCCTCATCCTTCTCAGGGTATGCACGGGCACGGACACCCTCACGCCCATGCGCACCCTCACCATATGGCGCACCAGCAGCATCCTCATGCTCATACGCCGCAGCATCGCCCTCACACGCACCCTCACCATGAGTACCCTGGTATGGGGACGTACCCCACGTCTTGATGACTCTTACCCCTCGGCTCTTTTTTTCTTTCCTAACAGGGCTCGCCTTGTTAAACTCTCCACCTTTCTAGTTTTGTTTTAGTCTTTCTAATTTTTTTCTTTTGGGCTCTTGACTTTGTTATTGTTGTCATATCCCACTAATTGAGAGACCCTGTATCAATATCTAGCCTCTAGCCGAACGACATTTTCATTCTCACCTTTTTTTTTCAAGAAGAAAAAGAAGGAACTCTGCTTTTTTTGTTTCCCGCTGTCTTTTTTTCTTCCTCTTTACTTTATCTCATTGTTCATTTTCCTTTTTTTTCTTCCTAACATTATTGTACAGGAATCATGAATTCTTGATCATAATCCAAAAAAGTCACCTCTTTCCGAGTTTTTTTTTTTTTGAGATATTTTTTTCTATTGTGTTTTTTTTTTTTTTTTTGGGTGGCGGGGGGTTGTTTAGTTTTTGTTTTATATTTTTT